TTTTAGGGTCCGGATCAGAGTACACTACACTCCCAAAGTCCGGTTCATTTGATCAGTGTGAACACAAAGGAACCGTACTTGGGTACTGTGCCAGAGTCCGCTTGAAGAGGTGGTCTCGGGCACGTTTCATGTGTACTAGAGTACGGTCTGCTGGAGATGTGAACGCAACCGAGTTTAAACAAGGAAGTGGGGGTGCCGGTGGCTTAGTGGTTAGATTGTGTACCCCATGTCTAGAGGCTGTAGTCCTCCAAGCAGGCGACCCAGGTTCGAGTCCGACCTGTGGCTCCTTTCCTGCATGTGATTCCCCTCTCTCTCTCGCCCCAATTTCTAAATCTGTCCACTGTCCTTTCTCTTCATTAAAGGCATAAAAAAGCCCCAAAATAAATCTTTAATTAAAAAAAGAAAGTGGACTGCTATGTGACTTCATTCTAAACGTCTCCTGACGCTTCAATAACCATCGTATCTGTGCAGCATGGGCCCGTTTCATCCTCTAAGCTGCACGGTAGATGTGGAAGTAGGAAGAGGGTCGTTGTCGGCGTCTCAGAAATCACAAAAACATCCACAGTTAGCAGGATTGGCACAGTCCGCGAGTGGTTGCCATGGTTGGTTCTTCTTCTTTCTGTTTTTTTGTGGATTTCCAAACTGACTATGTGCATACTGCCTCCTGCATGTGTACTAGGGTATCACACTTTTGATATTGATGGGAACGCAGACCAAACGTTCTCGGGCATGGTACCAAACAATCGTTCCTAATATGAAAACGCCCTTACCTACTCACTAAGTCCTTCCATCTGCCCCCTCCGCAGGACTGCAGTGATTCTGTACATTAAACCCACCCTGCAGGAAGTTCTAATCCAATCTGATCCAAACTTTCAAAGTGATCTCCTCTTTACTCATAAACACTTAATCTAAAGCCACTACTTCAGGGTCTAAAGCGGTCAGATTACTGAAAACTCCCGCACTAATGAGAACTTCACTTCCTGTATGGAGGTCTCCACTCCGAGGAGTCGGTCTGAGGAGATGGAGCCCTGCAGGCGGCGTCTTCACTCTGCAGATTGAGAAACGTGTAATCCTGGATTAGACGGCTATCATCCAGCTCTCAGAGGGAATAAACGCCACGCAGCAGGAGAGCTCATCTCCTAATTTGCAGCGGCTTAATAGGAAACTGAACAAAAACAGGACAGGTCATGGATTTAATACAGCGAGGAGGCTCGGAGCACGCAGAGGGTTTGTTCTTGGTTTGGAGTTTCTGAATTCATTTTGGTTTGAGTTAAAGGAGAAGTCAGTAAGATATGAGGTGAATAGATGATAAAGTGACCTTACTATTTGATCAGACATTGAGGAAACGTTCTATGTTGAAGTGCTTTTTGTGAGCAGAGAGTGGCGGCTGACTCTCAGACGGACGAGAGCAGCGACCAGCGTGAACACAGAAACACAGAAAAGTTCATACTTGGAGCGTTTTTACTGAAATCTTTAAACTACGAGGGGTTCATTTTCACCCCTAGCCTCGCTCGCCGTCCTCCTCCTCCTCGTCTGTTCCCCTCTGACTCTCAGTCATCTATGTAATGATTTCCTGCGTGCAGTGATGTCAGGAGGTGACATCATTAACCCGAGCGTCTGCACAGGCATCTGTCACCTTAATGAAGTAAAGTCGACGCCCCCAGGGGCCGTTACAGAGCGACACCTCATTACCATAACAGAGCGACTGGGAGACAGAGAGCAGAGGTCACATGACACAAAGAGGAAATAAAGTGACGAGGTGAGGTGTGTGTTTACAAGCAGGCTGAAAAAATGTCAGGAATGAATTGATGGAATTAGCTCGAGGGCAAAATGAGCGCTCACATTTTACTACAAGAGAGACTGCCGTATGTTTCTGCTCAGAGACCCTGACGTTTGAGGAGTTGAAGGCTGTAGTGGTCATTCTTAAGATGTATTGGAATTATAATAATCACCCTTACAAACAGAGGTGGGAAAAAAAATCGTTTTATGTAAAAGAGATTCTTATCTTCTGAGATTTTTAAATCGATTCACAACTTCCAGATTTGGCTAATCAGTCCATCCATGCTAAGTGCTAATGCTAGCTCTTTAACTCAGAGTGTCAAATGGAGCAGCAAGAAATTCAGCCAGTCTCACAGATGACTGGAGTAGATCCTGAAGTATGTACTAATTCAAAGATAGACTTTGAATCATGAATCCAGAATCATTTTGAATCGAAAATAGATTCTCAATCGAATCGTGACCCCAAGAATATAAATTAAATTGTATCGTGAGACACCCAATGATTCCCAGCCCTACTTAGTTTTAGTCCCACTGGGGAGCTTTGTGTGTTTTTCCATTTCTCACATTTTTCCATTTTACCCTCTTATAAAGTTGACTACATATATTTAAAAACCCATTTCCCATTATCCCTTATTCACAACAGACCAGAGAGAATGAGAAATCGCTGCACGACCATAGACTGTCTGCACGCCACCTCTCCGATCTCCGTGCTCTCATCAACCTGCTGCATTATGTTTCCTGTCCTCCAGTATGTTCTTCTTCACTCTTTAGTTCAGATTGAGACTCTATGTACTGTAACTACACATAGCACTGATATAAAGGCAGATATTCTCATTTTAGCATCATATAGAGCAGTGGTTCTCAACTGGTCTAGCCTCAGGACCCACTACCAATTCCCTTGTCAAAACTGCGGCCCAAATTGTGGATACTTTTCAACCAATCAGAATGAGTTAAGTGAAAATTGTATAGTTTGGACCTCAGACGGAATGACATAATAGAAGAAATTGAAAAAAACTAACAGGTTTAAAAAGTGCTACATAGCCTTTTTGAAAGTTTTTTTTTGTCCAGGCAGAGATTCCGCGACCATCTGAAAACAGCTCTGCGACCCTCTTTTGGGACCACTGGTACAGAGGACTCTGTTGCTTTGTCCTCCACTTCTGCATCGTTTTTTTAACGTCATGTCTCGCCTCGGGAGACCTCTTTGCCTCCCCTCCCATCCAACCGGGTTAATCAGCTGTTGTGAGGTGCATGTGTGAACAACCAGATCCGGAGAATTTCAAGAGCAGTCCTCCTGAAATTCTCTAGAAATCTAGAGTACAAATGTGAAGACGAAACAGTCAATCTCATTCCTGTTGTTTGTTTTTGTAGCTCGTAAAGATACTGTTGGTTGTAGCAATTAACAAAATAAATCATCTCAAGAGCTTTAAAGTGCAGCAGCTCGGCCCGGCCCAAAGGTGTAAAGGCCTGTCTTCATTAACCTCTGAACCATGTTTACTGAAAGAAAGGGACTCAGGTGAGGAGGCAGGAAGGAATCTACTCACCGGAGCATTTTCACTGGATCAGTTTGAAGTAGCTGAGATTAAAGAAGCACAAAAAGAACAGAAACCACAGAAGAAGAAGAAGAAGTCAACCCGACAGGCGAGGTCACTCTTAATAGCACTGAAGTGAGTCACTGATGCTCTGCAGCTCCGTGCTGGATTCTTTCAAACCGCCTGTAGCCTTTTTTATATTCAACAGTGGCTGCATATCCGAAGTCTGTGTTTGTGTTTGTGTTTTTTTTTTTCTGGCAGCTGTTCAATGAAAATCTTCAGCGGTGACTCTGTGTCAGCGAGACGTTAAAAAAATCTAAATCAAACGCACCGAGAGCCAAACTGTGAAACACATTCAAGTCCAACCAGCCGATGAATCTGTCAGCGCAGGAATTTAACAGGGACGTTTCAGTTGCTTCATTTACTCTGTAAAAGGTTTTACTAGCTTCCAGCACACGAAGCAGTGATCTGTGGAGCTCAGATGAAGCCTTTATTTAAAGGTACCAGTTAAATTATACCTTTATTACAGACAGATTTATTATTTCATACTTACTCTTTGTTTTTTAATGGCTAGATTAGAGCTCGTTCTTCGGGCTTTTCTGATCCAAAAGACTACTTAAAAGACAATTTCCACATAGTATCAGAATCAGAATCAGAATCAGAAAAATGTTATTAATCCCAGGGGAAACTTGCACACTCAGCGCCATGGTTTTACCTTGCAATGGCTCACTGGGTCCGTTTCTGTGGTGCAGCAATGAGCAGCTGTTCACAAGATCACAGGAGAACAAAGTGAGCAACGTGCAAACAACATGTTGTTTTGTGTTTCTGAGGGTGGTTTGTTGTTCATGCTGAGCTCATTTTGACGTCATGTTGATGAAGTGATGAAAAATACGATCTGTATGAGTCCATATATTGTATTTTATTTTAAAATTTACCGGACGCTCTGTGTGTTTCCTTGTCTGACTTCCTGTCCTGTTGTCGAAAATATAGTCGCAGTGTATTTTAAACGGAGCAGAGTTGTACCGCTGCTGGCACACTCCAGACTGACCATGGCGCTCGCTGTAGAAACATGGCTTGGACTAGAGTGTCAGCAAACAACGGTGTAGGGTGCGGCTCTGACGGACCGCGGCACGCACTGAGTAGGTGCAAATCGGCAATTAGGGTTTGCAAAAAGGAAGTGAAATGATATGTATATTCAGGCCAGATGCTTCCCCAGGACAAGGAACAAAAAAATGTACATTTGGGGGCGCTGATGGCCTAGCGGTTAGATCGAGCCCCATACTGTATACGAAGGCTACAGTCCCCCAAGCGTGCAGCCTAGGTTCATGTCCGACCTGCGGCTCCTTTCCACTCTCTCTCCCGATTTCCTGCTCTATCCACAGTCCTTTCAAAATAAAAGCACAAAGTCCTCCCACAAACACCTTTAAAATAATAAAGTTGGAAACTCTTTTTAACAACACAGGGACACATTAATATGTATAGAACAGAGGTTCCAGGGGGGTCGGGACCCAATAGCAGATCGTGGAGCGGTTTTCAGTGGGTCATGAAATAAATTGTGTCCAAAAGTTGTCAAGATGTTTGTTCTGTTCTGTCACATGAGTTCCGATCTGTTCGATTCTTTATTGAATAAATCTGACTGTTTGTTTATATCTTCTTCTAAACATTTCTTCTCTTCTCTTCTCTGTGTTGCAGCCGATGGATACGCATACAGGAATCAACGCAAGATCTCAGAAGACATCGACTGGTCGTACGCAGGTCAGTACCAGTATTAAACATGTACCCGCATTTTCACTCGACCCGGACCTGTAAGTAGGCAGGCCCTCTTTTAAAATGGATAAAGAATACTGTGGATAAAGTTCAGCTGTGTGTTGACGTGACTGGAATAACATCAGGTCTGTGACGTTTCAGTGACATGATGGCTGTGTGTTTATTCAAAGACATTACAAAAACAGACAGTTACATCAAATAAAAAAAACAGACAGATCAAACAAAGTCTGAACAGACGAGTCTTTAGCTGCTTTTTAAAAGTGTCCACAGACAAAGACAGCTCCAAAGTTTAGGTGCCACAACCTCAAAAGCGCAGTCTACTTTTGTTTTCGGCTGCGTGCCAGGAACAACCAGCCGACCCTGGTCAGGGACCTGCTGGTATTATATGGTGTCAGCGGCCCGAGCTTGACCATGCACGGCTCAAAAAAGTTTGAGAGGAAAGGTTACTGTCAAATTGTCAGACTAATTCAGGACATGGGAATAAAGTAAACCAATATTTGAAATTCTCTTTTTGGACTTGTGGTATCAAACAGGAAGAGTTACATATCGCTCCTCTAAAGTCTGGCTCAGCCTGCAGGATAATCAGGACGATTTGAGGTCTGATTCTTCCTTCCCGACAATCGCAGGATCGCTCCGACTCAAGGATGCTGCACAGATGATCTTTTGGTGTGAGCGGTATAAAGATCTTAAGTCGCATGTGATGTGTCATGATGTTCATATCTTGTGATGTGAGCATGTTTGAGATCATGCTGTTAGGATTCTCCTGAAGTGTGTGATGCTGCCCGAATTCAAAATCGGGAAGGATTTTACAACTCCTGCCGTGTGAGCCGGGCTATCACCTTTAAAAAAGGAAACTTGAGAGTAAGCAGCTACTGGTGTACTGTCAGGGTTTGTTTACAGCTTGTGTGTGTGTGTGTGTGTGTGTTTGTGTATGTGTGTGTGTGTGTGTGTGTGTGTGTGTGTGTGTGTGTGTGTGTGTGTGTGTGTATCTGTGTTTGTGTGAGCTTCATTGACATGCTAATATCGGTCCTGACCCAGAAGTCTGTGTGACCTGGTTGGTCCTTTTTGTGCTCTGAAGAAGGAAGCTTCAACAGCCAATCAGAGCAGAGACAGAGAGTCAGGTGGCGGCTGACGTACCTGCTAACAAACAACAACACCAGCTGGCAGAAACAACACTACGACACCTAATTAGCCTGAAAGAGAGACATAGCTGCACACATCTGGGAGGTCGCTAAGACGGGTCGTTACACTGAACATCTGGCTGCTTGTTTTTTCATAAGAGAAGAAATCTTTTAAAAAAGATTCTTAAAAGATCTTAAACACTTTTATATAAATAACTGTGAACTTTGGGGGAAACAAGTTGCTGGTGGTGCTTTTATTAACTTGTGAATTATGATTTTATTCAGGTTTGATAAACAAATTTATGTCAGTTGGAAACTAAGAAATCTCTAAATGTTAGAACCAGAGCAGAATAATTTTAATAATTAAAGTACTGGGATTACAAACGGTAACAAGGAGATTAAAAGATGATTACTGGTCTTGAACAAAGTCAAAGCTTGATCTGTTCAAAGATTCATTGACTTAGATAATGACTCTTAATTAAGCTTTTCAAATCTGGAGCAGAAAAAAACAAGCTTTGAAGCTGTTGACAACAGGTCCAAAAAAAAGTTGGAAACCCACTGTGCTATGGTATCCAATTCATCCAACTCTATCCCATCAAGTCCAATCATATCGCATGGTATTAGATCATATGTGAAATTGTACCATAGATTAAAAAAAGGCAGCAATTATATTACCAGCAAAATTATTTAGTGGCTCAAATTTTAAATTCTTCAGAGATGGTATGGTCCCAATTTAATTTGTTTACCCAGGTTCATCATTTCAATCTTTTTATTTCTACTGTAGAGGTCCAGCTGCTGCTTTAAGACCCAACAGTCCCGCTTTGAGTCTGTGTTTTGTCTCTTTAATTACTCTGTCAATCTCAGAGAAGCAGTCATCCCCTGAATGAAGACGTTAACCCTTAGCAGATGTTAACACACCTACATGTAGTTGTCTAACATGCTTTAGTCACAGCAGCGGGACACATGAGGGTTGCTGCTCAAACCTCATATGCTGCTCGGATTATTTTGGCAAACAAAGAAACTCAAAAAGCTGGAGGCTGTGCATCACTCTGACACGACTATGAGCTGCTGGATTAAATCTGTCAAGAAATGAATGACTGTATAAACGGGCTGCAACATGAGGGGTGATTTGTATTCCCTGCTGTAACACTTTCCGTACTGTATGCATGCGATCCATCATGTTGGCATGCTTTTTGTGTTTAAGTAAACCTGACGCTGAACTCTTTGTTGTTCGCAGAGCACCGCAGGCTGTTTGAGAAAAGTTTCCCTGAACATTCAAAAATGTGGACTTTGACCTCCTGAGAGCTGTAAGAGTGAAATATGAGAGCAGATATGACTGTTAAAGTGAGAGCAGCTGGAGGCTATTAGCTTATTAGCCCATTTGCTAGCTTTTAGAGAAGCACACCTGTATGTGGTCGCTGCATAATTCATTCAGGAGAGACGTCTGCACTTCGTCCTTTTATTGAACTAATGGAAGGACAGCGCTGTAAACATCTGCACTGTAAAAAGCTACATTTATATAATTACAGTATGCTGTACTAATTTAATGCCAAACAAGTAATTTGAGTGGACAAGAGACATATCATGAGTGGTGATACAGAGAACAACAGCACTGGTAGTTTTCACATTAAACTGACTCGCCAATTAGTCACTTGAACAGCTGACAGAGTAGCCAACAGTCGTCACTTGATTGTGTTAATCATTTGGGGTTTCTGGTGTTCTCTTGAGAAAAAAATAATACCCATAATGACATCGTATTTAACTTGACAATTTGACAGCTCTGAGATGGTTAGGGTTGTGAGAATTTTGAGACCTAAAAACAAGGTCAAAGGTTGCAGAGGAGAGTTCACTTTTGAAAGGTATGTGTCCACAGACAATGCTTTTTGCACTGCCACAACTTCCTGTCAGAACGGTTCTCACCAGCGCTCATTGTCAGTTTACGAAAGTTAACTTCTCCCTCTGTAATGACTGTTAGGTGTGTTTTAGATAACTCTGTGTTTGATAATTGCTTTAATTTGAGGAAATATCATCAAGAAAAACATGAGAACGATATGAAGGAGTCATATATACTGTATATGACATCAGCAGCAGCTCTACGCCTGGAAGCTGTTCCCTCGAAGAGACGAGTCAGACTAGCGTCTCCTCCGTCACCGTTGTTGACAAAGCTGATACCAGAAGTCCCGCCCCTTCTATATTTGATAGGTCGGTATTGGAAGAAGTGACATTGACGAGCATGACGCTGTTCTAACTGTGAACTGTTTTCAACTGAGAGCACAGTGACAAAAATCAGCTGACACTGAAGGGTGTTTTAGTGGGGCTTTTTTTTTTTTTTTAAATTGAAAACGGACGCTGCCAGCACAAAGAAACGCCGTCTGTAGACACAGGCCCTACCCGTACCTTAGTTCAGATTTTGCATATATGACCACAGTCCATACTCAATGTTTAACACCAATTTGTCTGCAAGACTCCAATTAGTTTCTGTAATAATCTTTCTGCAAAATTCTGAAATGTCAGACTCCAAACTGCACAACTGAAAACGTTTTTAAGAGGAAAAGAGTACAGACGTTTGGTAAAACTTTTTTAACAGCATCTATTTTTCCAAGAATTTGTCTTAAAGGTTTGGTGTTTGGACTCCATAGGTTGTTTTTTTTGGAAGCTAACTAAGCTAACTGGTGGTAAAGTGTCAGCCAAAACGTGAACATTCTTGTTTTTGTTGTGCCCTCCAGGAACATTAAATCAAGACAACTGGGCCAAGAAGTTTTCATCCTGCAGCAACGCCAAGCAGTCTCCCATCAACATCGAGGAGAACCTGGCTCAGGTGAAGCTGCAGTACCAGAAACTGAAGTTTGACGGCTGGGAGAGCCTGACAGGCGTCGGGGCGACCATCAAGAATGACGGCAAGACTGGTGAGGATAAAATGTGGATGAACAGGGCTGTTGTAGTTGTTTTGGGATTTGTTGATATTCTTGAATAAGGCATAATCAGTATTTTTCAGACATTAACATTATCATCAAAAATCACAACTGTTGCTTCAATATTGCCTAGCATTTGGCAGCTAAAGTAGTTGGTGGAGACCAAAAATGGAGCTAATAGAGGGTGAATTAAAGAGGGCAAATACTTAGATTCATCCATCTTTTGTTTTCAGATTCATCCCTCCTAGGTGCCCCTTAAAAGAAAATCTTTGAATGCAGTTAAGGAGACAAAGCAACTTTCTTATGTCTTGTTTCAAACAGTAAAAAAAAAGGTTTATTGGCTGAAGCTCTTTAATAATGCTCTGATTTTATTCATCGTCCATTGGTTTCGTTTCCTTTACTATAGAGGATTTAATTTGATTTGATTTGATTTAACCTTTTTATGGAAACTGGAAAGATGAAATCAACAACTGGAGAGATTATAAAACTGACACCATATAAATGTTACCTATATCTGATTTATTGCTTTTAAGTGTTAAATGAAATACTTATTACTGCAATTTAAGCCCCCAAAAATAAATTGTGAGATTTTTTTAATGGCATTTAGTGCAATATGTTACATTTTTATAATCCAACCTCCAGTTGTGTTGGGGGACCATGAGGACAGCAAAGTTTGTTTGAGTTAGGGGTCATTGTAAATAATGCTTCCACCAATCTACCACCATTTTTGACCTTGTTTCTTCCCCCCTGTTGTCCCTCCATGGCCTCCACCCTAAAGTGCCACCTGGCTGCTTTTCTCATGTCAGCTCTTCCCAGATAGATAAGTCCTTTTCTCATACACTGGTGTCCTATTTTAAAGGATACAGTTACCAGTTCCTCATTTGACAGAGTCGAGGGCCTTTTATATATTTCCTCTCTCTAAGTGGAGTGAAACACAATAACCTACAGTGTGCATTCAAGGTAATTGTTAAGTGAAATTGTAGACGAGAGGGATCCCGCCTCGCCTTACGAGAAAAGCCCCAAACAGAAGAGTCCTGGGCTTCTTAGCAACGGGACTCTCAGCGAAATAAGAAGCACTCTGTTGTGGTTGTTGTTCAGTCGCCAGCTGCACCAAAGGCTTTTATTAATGGAGATGTTTGGTGGACAATCTGAGCACGATTCAGGCCAACAGCACTTAAACCTGTTTCTATCAGCCCACCAATGGGCCCAGTGTAGGTTCAAGGCTGCCATCCGCACACACTCTTTGAAAGCTCCAGGCCTGTCAGGAGTGTACTCACACACAAATGGGAGGTTTTAGAAAAAGAGGTGATGGATGGAGCGTATGGATCGATTCATGCCTTGGTACAAGCAAACAAACTTTTCAACAGGAATGAATAAAGCAGCAAGATGAGTCAATATTTGCCTTCCTTGAGGGGGAAATTACTTTTTAGACAGGGATTAAAGAAAAACAATAAAACATAAGCCACACAAAGACAACAAAAAAACCCAAAAAGGACATGAATGAGGCCAAACATGAACACATGAAAAAAGAAAAGAAAAAAAAACGACCAAAACCAACCAAAATCCCTCAAGAGTTTAAGTCGATAGATTCAACCAAGATTAAAATGTGTCCACATGTTTGTTAGAAAATAGCTTGATCCGTACAAAACAATAGTCACATTCTGTTTTAAGATGGTTGCCTGAGATGGACATTATAGCACAGAAGATGAAAGCTCCATCTAATACTCCCCCATCATCATCAGAGTCATCAAAGACAGTTTAGATCCTCCAGGGAACCTTTTGTCATTTCAAACAAAGACTGATGTGAAGATGATCCCCTTGTTGATTGATTTATTGTTTGACGGTCCTATAAAGGTGTGAGTGGAGTAGTATGAAATGCAAAGGCTGTCATCTTTTGATCTTCTTTACATTTATAATCCATTATTCCAACAAGTTGTAAGGATGTGTAAGTGTGTCGAGTCTTCAAAGAGTCCAAAACAGGAGATGTCGCTGATCAGGTCATTTGCAGATGATGTTTTAATTTACCCATCAAAATGAGTGACCTTCAGTGACATGCATTTCATTTCTCATGTCTCTGTTTTCTGTTTTCAGTGGCGGTTAATGTGGATGGTGAGTTCTATGTCAGTGGAGGGGGTCTGAGGTCAGAATTCAAGGTCGGACGCATTACCTTCCACTGGGGGCGCTGCAACGCCTCTTCAGAGGGCTCCGAACACAGTCTGGATGGAGTCAAATACCCGCTAGAGGTAAGACAATTTTACAATATGTGAAAATTATAACGTCAGGATTGCCCCACACATTTAAAGATACACACAGATTTGGTGCCTTGCACAAGGGCAGCTCGGCAGTGCTCAGGAAGGGGCCTGGCACCTCTCCAGTCTGCATTTGGGCGACCTTTCAGTTCACAACCCAAGTTCCTTCACACTGAGCGATTAGAGGCCCATACATAACAATGCAAGTAATATTAACTGTTGTGACTGGGACTTTTCTACAACATATTCGTGTTTTCTCCCACAGATGCAGATCTACTGTTATGAGGCACATCGCTTTGACTCTTTAAATGAAACCATCCAGGCTGGAGGCAGGATCACCGCACTTGCCGTGCTGTTTGAGGTGAGCATGATATGCTAGGCTAACTATCAGAGGTAACATTGTGATCAGTTTACAGGCTTGTCCATCGTTTGTCTCTCAGTAACAGAAACCAGGGCATTAAAATGTCAATGAATACAAACAACTGCAGAGGGAACAAGCAAAGGAAGTAGTGTAGTGTAAAGTGGCGGTGGCATTTATAACCTGAACTAGAGTGATTTCCTGCTAATTTGATTTATCTTTTTTACTCAGATGTTAGCACATTTGAACCAGAAAGTGCTTATAATTATTAGCCTGTTTTAAATAGCTAAACTTAACAGTTAGTTAAGACAGAGAGACAGCTCTAGCTAACCAGGATCAGGGGAAATTGTGTTTGTTTGATATTATTGAATCACTACCTTAACAGTATTTTAGGCCTTAACCATTAGCTTGCACTAATCAGCTATACTATAACTAGCTAACATTTTATACAACTTTGGCTGTCAGGTATTTAAACTTGTTGACCTGTTTGCACAGCCTGACCTGTTAGCTTCAAGATTCAAGGTTAAGTTTATTGTCTCACAAAGTGAGAAATTTGTCTTATGCCACTGATAAGAAAATCTTTAGCACTAGCCAATTTTTGATTCGTTAGCTTAGCTAAGAACAAGTTTTCACAGCTTAACTGGTGATAGTTCTAGCTTTAACCACTTAGCTTAATTGTTTTAAACAGCTTGCCTTAACTTTAAAGTTGATCTTCATACTACAAGTGTTGCTGGAGCTATTTAACCTCAGTATAATGGTTATAGGAATATTATGTGAAGTTTTCAATGTCTAAGCTTTAAAAACGGAATTGCTAGCAAACGTGAGGGAGAGGAATTTAAAATGGATTAATTCATGGAGTTGACCAGCGAATTATTGATTGAACATTTGATTCTTGGTAATAAAAATGCTTAGAGCGTAACATCTTTTCAAAATTCTCCTTAGTGGGACATATTAAAAGGATATTGACCCTTGGGAAAGTGGAACCATTAGAGCACTGATACGCTCCCGTTTACAGACATAAGCACTAGCTATGGATTTGGATATTCATTATGTGTTCATGTTAGGTCAGATATTATCCTCCTTTTCAACCAGTGTAAATAAGTCTCAGAGCTCTCCAAAACATGTCTGTGAAGTTTCTAAATCCACTCTGATCCTGTATTTGATCATGCCTATAAACCCCTCTATTTCAGCCCTGCTCAGAACAGGCTGTTTCTGTGTCTGTACCTTTAAATATGTAAATGAGCTGTGTCTGACCACGCCCCTCTCTGGAAGGGCTTGGGTGTCTTGAGCTTTCTCAATCCATGCCCTATTGTTTATAGTGAGAAGGCAGACTCAGAGGGCAGAACAAACAACTAGCTGTGGGCGTGTCACCCACCTGGGGGAGGGGTTACTGCCCTTTGTGATGTTATGAACGGAAAATCTCCAAACGGCCTGTTTGAGCACACATTGTCTGAAAAGTGGAGCAAGCAGAAACACATAACTTGTGATCTTTAAGTTAACGGTGGTTGCTCACAGGCGTTGTCTGAAAAGCTGCATTATTGTACACAACAGGGAGGTCAAAGTCTTACATTTGGTAGGTTTGAAATACAAAATGACTGTATCGATACCTTCTAGTAAAATGAGTCAAAAACAGTCAGACTAAGGAAAATAATCGAAGTGTTGCAGCAGCACATTGGAGTAAAACCTCAGTGAGTGCACTGTTTTTGAACAGTTTGATTTATATTTTGGCTTCGGATCATTGCTGAACTCTTGTCTGTATTTTCATGTTCAGTACCAGGGTCGTTTCGGAGCACCATGCATACTTTGTGCTTTGCTTCGTGCAGTCGTTTTGCCCGAGGCCTGTTTGGCGTGTTCGAACCAACAGGGGCCATGTTGGAACAAAACTCTCAGATAACGTCTGATGTAAAGCTGCAGGCTCTGTGTGTGTTTTTCGGGGCGGAGAGCAAGGTGGGAAAACTACCAACCAACACACAAAAGCTTGTAGATTAAGTTTTATGTGGTCTGCCATCTGTTACCAAGCTATTATTTTGAGGTTTTTAACCATCCAAAAATCGTGTTGAGGGGATTCTGGGGGCTTTGAAGGCTAAGGGGGAAGTTGAATCAGGTCTTAGGGTCTTAATCATGCCATTCCCATTCTTCTATTTTGGCTTTTTGTGGAAAATGAATACCCATGTATTCTAGAAAAGGTTGTACCATTATACCCCTTATGCTTTGCTAATTCATACAGGAATTGTAACCCTCAATCTTGGCCTGTCAGTTTATGAGTGTATGCTAAAGGTGTCCCACAGAGCACTGGTGGATTTTTTGTGTTGATTTCCTGTCAGACTGGTTTAGGTGCTGACTGCCCACTTTGCATTCTGAACCTGACATCAAAGTCTGCCTCTACTCCATGGAAGTTTACTCACAGCCTGTCTGCTATGCACCGTTAGAGCCAATATCCAGGAATCCACATGACTTCATGACATGACAGAGTTCTCTTCCTAAAAACACACTGAAATCATTATCATCACAGTAGCTCCTTGAGCACAGTGATTACCATAACCAAGTGTTAATGGGTACATGGAGAGATTTTAGACTTCTGTGAAACAAGACCAGTAACATTAGGCTGTATCATTATTGGTGTCATCGTTGTCTCATGTTTAGCAGCAATACTGGAAGGCAGAAAATCATCTAACTCTAAATAAATGAATAACTCCATTTTACAACAACTGTCATCAGTTGCTGTAAAATAAAAAAAGTAGGGGGCTCTACAAGGCACTGACACTCCCTTTTCTGACTCAACAGAGATCGTTAGCTTGTTGTACAGAGGCGAGATAATGATGCATAAATAATATCAACATCCATGATTGAAATGTTTAGCTTTGACTCGTGTCAACACCGGAGAAAAACTCACCTCGAGCTTTTAATAGACAAGCATCTTGAGTGTTTTGATTTGAGTCAACAACTCGTCAATACAAAGCACCAGACTTCAGTTTGTCCACCTTCAATACAAAAGCTCTAGATGTCACACTGTAACGGGGAAACTGAAATTAACAGAGCAAAGAATGAAATATTTAACATCCAACGCTCGCTGGCTGTCACAGTGTTACTCCGAAAACCCGTCTCTTTCCTTGTAGATCTACAAGTCAGCTTTATTAGTTTGGAACCTTACAAACATATCTCAACTAGCATGTAATAAATGAGCCTCTCCAATGCCGCCATTAGGACACAGTCTATCGTCGTCATGGCAACAGCTGAATACACATACTCCTCATGCTAACAGTTTGCAAACAACAAGCTGAAGATGAATTACACTTATAATTTGCTTATTTCTGATTTGTTTTTTCCTAGGTTAATTTACTGTAACACACAGCGTCCTCTCCTCCCTTCTGACTCTGGGGTCAAGCTGCCCCAGCGAGGAGAGAGATTCGGTGTGTGTGGACCTCAGATTCACAGCCAATTGTTCTGTTAAAAAATGTTACCATACAATGTAGGTTCTTTTTGGATAATTTTTAGACACCTATTACTTCATCCAAGGCATGGAATCAGACTGCACATATACATTTTGGTAAGATAAAGCTCCTACCTTTAGTTGTGGCCACTGTGCAGTGTTACTCCAGCCCTGGATGCTTCAGGAGTCCGGTCATTCTTCCTAGTGTGCTCGCAGTGCCATAATGTAGAAGAGTAAATGCTCTTGAACAATCAGACAGAGACGTATGGCTTGTGAATCAAGGATCTGTTTATTTCTCTTGGAGCAGTTCTTTCATAGCATCCCAATCATCCCGTTATGGGCAATCATCACACTGAGCAATTACAACGTGTGCTATATAAAGACCATGTCCTAGAGGTTTCTTGGCCGGACAACTATTACCAGGAAAGGGTGGGTGGGTATGTGTGTACGTGTATCAGAACATGACCTTATGACCTGGCTAAATTCAGAGGTTAGATACTTATTGGTTTGTGCCTGTTGCTGTCCAAATTGTGTGTTTCTGTTATGATTCAACCTTTCAAACTACAACACTAGCAGAGTCAGATTTACCCAAAGTCCAATAATACTACTGAACTTTTTCAGTCGACATGGTTCTTTATCTTCTCACAACGTCTTACCAGTCCTCCCTTGGTCAACAAAAGCACGTTGTCTAAGAGGCGAGACATTAGCAGCACCTTCTGTGTTTTACAACAGTGCAGTTGCACGCAGAGGCCTTTGGGGGGCGCCAAAGTGCACCAAACAAAATTCCCTCTACCGATGCAGTTTTAAAAGTTGATGGTTATTTTGGCCGTCGTGTTCATTCTGATATGTTTTTAAAACTATTCAGCTGTTTAATCATCACTACTTTACTTTTTTTTCATTCACAGATAAGCTCTGAAGACAACATGAACTACGCCGCCATCATAGATGTTATCAACCACGTGAGCCAATGCGGTACGTCTGTTTCTTTATTCTGCCTTCTGTGCTTGTTTCTTCTTCTGTGGTGCCTAATGATGCAGTCTCGTTCTGCCATCCAGGAAAGAGTAAAGAAGTTTTACCCTTCACGCCAAGAGGCCTGCTGCCAAACTCCACAGAGAAATATTTCATCTACAACGGCTCTCTGACCACACCGCCCTGCAGCGAGACCGTGGAGTGGATCGTCTTCAAGAACACTGTGACCATCTCTGACAAACAGGTGAGGAGCGGGATACCCGAGTGATGAACCCACAGATTATTATTCTCCTTCTTAAACATTGCATCAAAGATCATAAAGCTCTTAGTCAGGCGGCCTAGCAAAATTATGGGGACATGCCGGACAAAAGCACCACATTTTTTCCACATTTTCTCCATCACCATAGCTTTCAATTTTGGGGGGGAGCCACTTCATCAAGATGGCGGTTCCAAGATGCGGCCATGTGAAATCTCCAAGTGCCAATATGTCTTCCAAGCCACTTAGAAAGTCAATCTTGGGGTCAATATATACATTACATACATACATTCTGGGTCAAGGAATGCATTAAAATACCACCAGATGATTATTTGTGCCAAGATCAAATACATGTGTTAATTTTGCTAATGTATTACATAATTTTTCTTGGTTCCTATGCGGTTGGACATGAATTAACCCTTTGAAGTCTGAGGCTAAAATGTTTACCATTTAAGTGCCTGGTATCATTTTTTTCAGCACAACCTCACCTTTATGATCTGACCATTCATTAGTCACCTGGAGATCCTAAGCTGCCTGACTATCTGTTTAATTTAGGAACGTTCATAATCAACCATCAGAGAAATAAATCGAACGACGATCAGCAGTTATATAAAAAGATCGCAGCGCTATACAACAAGTCTATAAACCTGGTGTGGTCCTTTAAGAAGGAGACGTCAGTGCCAAGGCTTCTGTTTAAGATGAAAAGACAAGCGACACAATAACAGAAAATGTCCGTAAACAACCTTTTAGAAATGTGTTCAAAGAGCTGAAAGGAGGAATTATCATACCAGAGCTCAGGAGGCACGCAAGTGATGGGTGAGGCAGGCTGTCAACTGAGTGTGTGTAGGTGTGTGTGTGTACGTGCGTGCGTGCGTGTGTGTGTGTGTGTCAGCCTAAATACCGTAAAGATCTTTTGTTAGTCGATATTAGTTGGATGTAATGACTGTGTCTGTATGGCTGTCAATCACAAGCCGCCCAAGGGCACTCACTTACTCTGAAACAAACAAACACACACACAAACACACACACACACACACACACACACACACACACACACACACACACACACACACACACACACACACACACACAAACACACGCATACAGATACAAAATTGCACTGACATGCACAAAAGCCTTTCCACAGAAAGGTTTGAGTGTGACGCCTGCTGAGGCCAGACGTCGTTTCCTCTAAACACACGGCTTTCTAAAGTCTGCTTCACTGACACTCTCATATTTGTATTTCTATACTTGTGAGGCTCTTTAACCGGATACACCACATTTTGGGCTCAGATTGTTACTTTTAGTGTCTAAAACCAGAACAGAGAGGATCCCTTCAGAGCTAGACCTTTATGCTACAGAGTGAAACGCTTCTTTGACACCAGAGACAGCCAATATTCTCCTCTCTTCACGCCCACCAGACTCCATTCACAAAAACACTGATTTTACCTCAAACAACATCAAAGTTGTTTGTCTACTACTGCCTCCATTTTTTTTTTTTTTTTTGTGATTTTCTTTTACACAAACACTTCAATGGATCTAAACTAACCCAAAGTTCTTCAGACATCACTGATATATCTTTAATGTATGTACACAACACTTATGACTGAAGCTTCAGCAATAACTTTATGAATTTTTACATATCAAAGTATCCATCTCGTACCCGCGCTGCTGCAGGTTTTCCAGGGTTTTCCAGGTTTCTCCAAACCTCTGTGACGTGTCTCAGCTGGTCCCACATTCCAGCTCCGGTCGAACTGCCAGAACTTAATGCTTTAAAGTCAGGACGTTAACAACCGCAGAAGGCTTTAATGGGCCCTTAGCGTATCTCTGCTGCAGTGTTGACTTCAGTGTGTGAGAGTTGTGTAACCACAGGGCGGTGACTCACCTGGGCAGGTACGCATGAAGCCTGCAGCTCAGAGGACCATTCCTGCATGATTCACGGCTCCTGCACAACCATTCACTTCTGAGAGCTCACACGCTGAGTGTTATTTTAGTGTGTGTGTTTTTTAAATCCATGTGCCTGAAAAGTTAAATGGGAACATTTTTCCAAACATTCTTAAGATATCTGAGTAAAACCAAAGTTTGCAGTTTCAGGAGTTTCAAGTATTTAAGTTCTGAAAATAATATGTTTACTCACATTTTTTAACATTAAAATATTCTATTTCTAGTTTCTACAGTGTCAAAAGTTTTTCTCTCATTGTTTTTCATTGGGTAAATCAAGCTGCAACCTCCGGTGTTGAAAAGTGATTACTATGTGGAAGTGCAAAATCCTGCAGTTCCTCGAGTGTCCACTAGAGGATGGTTTCTGAAGCACAGGAAGTCACATACACACCCATTCTAAAAAGCTTGTTTTTACAGCAGAGATTAACATGTTTACAGCCTGGTTCAAAAAAACAAATAGGTCTAATTAGCTCATGTCTCGATCGACACACACTGTACGAGGGGTGAATGTTTTGATGACTCATCAGTTTTGATTTGATGAAGGATAAGAGTTATTCACAATAAGGCGTGTAGCTGACCTGATTGACAGGCGGGCGTGGTGTAACGGTTTGTCAGGAGGTTTAAAACCCACCTGAGCTCCAGCTCTCAGCTTGTCGTTAGGTTGACTGAAAGTTAGACTGAGACAGCATTTCCAGCATGAAGACCGCCATCGATGGGACTCCAGCGCCCCCTGTAGGAACAGACCGGTGATGCAATCAGGCTTCAAACATTAATATTTACAGTCTATGGGGACAAATTTCTGTGCTTCGGGTAGTTTGATCCATTTAATGATGCCACTTTGGACTTTTGGAAATTGTTTATATTTTAAACAGTTGTTTTTTACCCGGCTTGAATCAAGACGGGTAGAAAACAGCAGCTTTTACAACAATGCTCAAGATTTCTTTCAAACTTTCCCTCTTTCTCCTGCACCATTGTAGCTTGCTGTATGTTATCAGTTTATTCACATCAGACTTTATCTCTGTTTCCTGTTGTCTTTGTTTCTACTTGATGGGACTCAGCTCTCTCTGAGGCTAAGCTAAGGCTGCTGTTGTTCTGCAGTATCTAACGGTTCAGACGCTGGTTGTGTTGTTGCAGCTCAAGATGTTCTGCGAGGTGATGACGATGGAGCAGGCCGGATACGCGATGCTGATGGACTACCTGCAGAACAACTACAGGGAGCAGCAGCCGCAGTTCATGGGTCAGGTGTTCTCCTCGTACACTGGCACAGAGGAAGTCCTTACACCAGGTACAACGTCTGAATCCTGCACCTAACCTGTTTGAGGGTTAATCTTAAAGGAGCAGTATGTAACTCTGACACCTAGTGTTTAAAATGGGTACTGCAGTCTAACTTCTAAACATTGTAGAGAGCTGTCTCCCCCCCGTCCCCTCCTCTCTAGAGTCGATGCTCACGCAGATTACCATGTCTTAGACACTGAAGCTTCAGTGTTTAGCCAGCTCTGCATCGGTCTGTAAACCTTTCTGTGTTCTGACCTCTCTCCATTTTTCAAAAGCATCTCCAATATTGATCCTAGTTTGAGCACGTTTCTGCTCGTGGAGCTTATTAGAAACATGCAGAGGCTTTTTAGGTCGGGTACAATCACTTCTATCTGAACCAGTTCTCTTTCCCGCTTCCATCGCTGCAACACCTGTTGGCTTGACCTGATAACTGGTCTCCTATCTGGCAAATCGAGGGGCGTCCAAAATGGCCGTGTGGGGGTGCCTTAAAACTGCCTACCTTCTCTGGTCCAAACAAATCCAGAGCATTCAGGACCAGAATCTAAAGTTAGAAGGAGGACATACTGGCTGCTGCATTGTTGTCAGAGAAGCCAGCACTTCAACATAGCATGTTTCATTAATGTCTGATCATATAGTAAGCTCACTTTATCATTTAGATCAGTAGAAATCTTACTAATTGGACCTTTAAGTCCTGCATTAAAAATGTTTCTACATCAGGAAAACACACTTTAATGTTCCTCATCCATACAGAATCTCCCCTGGCTGCTTTTTACCCTCACAATGACCTCCATTAAAAATTCCAGGTTAATGCTAATTAAATTAAATATGTTACAAATAGATCAGACACAATTGGATCACCAGTAACGGGTAAAAATAAACCCACACCAGATGGATAATAATCGAGCTCCAGTGACCTACATAAAAATCTCATTGACAACAAGAGGAGGTCAGCTTGGTTAACAATTGATTTTCACGCTGGTTGTATTCGATAATTAATGAGGCAGCATTGATCTGTGGTTTTTGGGAGGGCTGGTTTTTGGTGTTACAGACCAGCGGATCATTTAATAAGAACTCCCAGCTGTTCTGTTTTACAGGAACAGGAAGTAAGGTCGAAGGTCGAGTCTATTGTGGAGTTACATAATTAACACTTTTTTTCCATCTTCTGTTGCCAGGGGTCTGGATTTTAATACGAGAGGTGTTATGGTTTTGATAAGTAGTATGCAAAGTATTGACCAATCACATATCAGCATGCAGGAGAAACAACAAGCCGCCATAGTGACGTCCAGGCTCCCATCAGGGTCACTCTGAGGACTAATTCATCACTATAAACGAAGTGCATAGAACATTTTATCTGCCTGAAGCTGAGTCAGGAAACTAAATTAGCGTTTAGATTTCCCGACTTCCTTGAATGCATCAGACATGATCGATCCGACCTCTTTTGAACAAATATTTAAAAAGTTGATTTCTTCTCCTTTTGCTTTCAACAAATCTGCATCATGACGTCATTCCTTTGGCAACATTAAGACCCCTTAATGAAGGGGACATCAAGGCAGCTTTATTTCTAGAGCACGTTTCAGCAACAAGGAGATTCAAAGTGCTTCACACAAGACATCAAAAGCCTCACGACAAAGGGCAGAAAAACACGTTAGAACAGGACTTTTAAAAAATTATTAAAACAAACCTAAATCCACTTCACCATGTTCCTTTAACACTAATGTGTCTCTAGTCCGTCTACAATGATGAGAAAAGTCCATCCTCTCCTCTTCAAGCTTCCAGAGAGGGGGCGTGGTCAGACACAGCTCATTTACATTTAAAGGTACAGACACAGAAACAGCCTGTTCTGAGCAGGGCTGAAACAGAGGGGTTTATAGACATGATCAAATACAGGATCAGAGTGGATTTAGAACAAGAAACTTCACACACATGTTTTGGGGAGCTCTGAGACTTATTTAAACTGGTTGAAGAGGAGGAGAATATGTGACCTTTAAATATCAAAGAGAGGAAAGAATAAAAGCAGCTTGAGTTACAATTTAATATCTTTAAATGTAATGGTTTAATGAAAGACAGCTGTAAACAGGTGAGTCTCCAACCTTTGAATTAATAGAACAGAGCGTTTCAGAACACCTGCAGTTTTCTGGGAGTTTTTTGGGTTTTTAATTTGAGGTTTGTTTTTGATTCTTGAGATTTTCTTTGTCTCTGTGTAGCTCCTCATCTGTTCTCCTGGCTCACTCTGCCCTCTAGTGGTCACACCTGAACATTACAGAAGGTCGCCTTTGCTTTTAGAAACATTCAAAGTCTTTGTTTTGATTCCTGAACGGTGTGCGAACATTTCCTATTTTTAAATATACAAGCACATAAACACATTCATTAGCAGTTTGACAGCCTCTTTTCACAGATTATGACATTTTCAGTTTGATTCTTCAACATGTGATCGGAGGTCAAAGTCGTAGTGAGCGGAGGTTTAAGAGGAGCAAGTGTGTCAGTGTTTGTGTGGATGGAGCCTCCTCCTGCCTATTGTCATTGATACTCAGCCTCTTTTTAATCGTTTTTTTTAATCCACACAGTGTCTGTCATCTGTGTAATCTCTGCTCCCCCTAATCTCAACTCTGACCCAGAATCATCTTCTGGATCTGATGATGTCACTCCTTAAAAAACACACAAAGAAAAACACGTTGACTTCTGAGTGTAATTTATGGATCCATGTGTCAAAATGTTCAAATCGCTTCATGCTTGACTGACATTTTCAAGTATTCTATATTGGGATCTGTATTAAAGGACTAATCTGTAAAATGTGTTGTGACTGAATTGATAAAGTAACCTTACAAAATCATCATTATATGAACTGACCTTTGTGGTAAAATTGAACACAGAAAAAGGCAGAATATTCACATTAGGCCCGGTGTCCACCTACCGTTTTTTCATTTCCAAATTTGGGTCGGATACAGCGACCTAAGAAAAACGTTTTCCTGCTTTTTTTTCTTACTTCATTCTGGTGTGTGTCTTTCTGTCAGTGTGTAGTTCAGAGCCGGAGAACATCCAGGCGGTGCCTCACAACGTCAGCAGCCTGCTGGTGACGTGGGAGCGGCCCCGGGCGGTGTACGACGCCAGCATCGAGAAATACTCTGTGAGCTACGGACTCGCCGACGCAGAAAACAGCGACCCCTCCATATACCTGACCGACGGAGACCAGGATGTGGTGAGAAAATGTTTACTGAGGGAATAAATCCACTGAGAAGTAGGAACATTTGATAATAGACGTCTATTAGACAGCTTGGAGCTGTCCCCTGCTGGCCTAAAAAAAGAATGCAAGAGATGTTCTTATTGTTATAGAGTTTATGTTGTGATCTCAAGGCTGACGTCTTTCTCTCTCCCTCCACCAGGGGGCGATACTCGATGACCTCATAGCTAACAGCAGCTACGTGGTCCAGGTGGTGGCGGTCTGCAACAACGGGCTGTACGGACGTGTGAGTGACCTGCTGACGGTCCTCATGCCCGACCCCGGTAAGAGCGACCGTGCCCGAGACTGAGCGAGATGAACTGTTTAATCTGTTTAAACTGTTTAATCTGTTTAATCTGTTTAATCCTGTTTCATAATTTATGATATTTTACAGTTTAAATGAATTTAGATTTGATTCGAAAGAGAAAGAAAAGATTTATGGAATCCTTTTACTGACAGGGATTAAAAATGAAAGAAGAAACATGTGACATTAAGATAGAGTGAAGTAGAATGTTTGACTCAAACTCAGAACCTACTCAATCTTTTTAAAGCACATACTGACACACAATGTAATCATTTTAAATTAACTATGCTAAATAATGTAATCGTGCCATTGAGGTGTACTATATGAAAGGTGCTTTTTTAATGGAGGCACATTTAGTACTTTTCTGCGCTGTCAAATGATTAACTTTTCTGAAATTTAACTGATTTATCGTGATTAATCACATTAATCACATTTGAATTTCCATTATTTCACATTTCAAAATAAAAATTGTTGGGTTCTTATTTTGAATTCTTGTCTTTAGCTGAGAGTACTTTACTTGCTGTGTGCTTTTATTTTGAAATACAGTAAGGCCTAGCTTACCACAAACACTGGAATCAGAAGGAAACTGCTAGTCTAGCTGAAATAAACCATCATTGACAGAAGGTTTGACTACAAGGTTCACCGTCTTATTTTACGGGAAAGATTTCTGAAAGGGTTTTATTTATTAATTTAAGTTTTAGAAACATTTCCATCCTCCCCTCGACCATAAGAGAGAAACATATTATTGATGTTGTATCAATGATATATATTTGATCCTCTTTAACACACTCACCACCCTCCCTTCTCTTCACTCTGGTTTTATAGTTTTGTGTTTTGTGAGGATGTGTTGTTTGACTCGTTGTCGTCGTCTTCTTCTTCTTCTGTGGTTTTTTTCTTTTTCACTGCTTCATGCGTTTCTCTGTGTACTCTTTCTCAAGTCCAAAGTCCACAAGTTTTCATTACGTGCCGTCTTGTTTCCTTCCGCCTCTCAAAGTAAGAGAAATGTCTGCATGTGTGCACCAGCATTTTTTTCATGTAACACTGGCCTTCAGTGGTAACCATAGTAACCTTGTATCTTCACCTGAACATCATATTTAATAAACAAATGTGTTCTGTTGCAAAAGAACTGAAAATCCCCTGCATCCTATTTCAGTGTCCGCTTGCATGAACGGGTCAAATTCTGCAACATGTTGGCGGTCTACTTCACAGTTTAATTTGTTTTGTTTGTAGCATCATGTATGCTAAGCTAACATTGTGAAAAATTGTGCAACTGTTCCTTTTATTCCACAATAGTTCTATGTTAAATTAACAAATACAAGATCGCATAGTGTCGGATAAAAAAGTACTTCTTTTTTTTCTTTGTGCTGATAAAGGTCACTTTGTTAGCTTATCGCTTAGATAGCTTCCAAACCTTTTTAATCTGGGTCCTATTTTCAGATATTTTGGTGTAATCGACTTACAGGTATGACATGTTTTGCGCCCGTAGAGAAAATCTCAGCCTGTCAGTGGCAAAGAATTTCTTTTTTTTAGTGATGTATTTGGTTTACTACGATTGCCCCAAAGGGATTACATGGCAGACATAAAAGCCCCTTGATCGCATCAACTGATGCAATATATTTGTGCAATTTTGTACCCATATAGATGCTGACTTATTTTTAAAAAGGGCCCAGGTTTAAAAAGAAAAGTAGCTGAGCTTAATTTGAATATTTCCAACTTATATTGAATCAAATAGTCTGAAATACAGAAAAACATTTAGTCGTTTGAGAGCTGTGAAATGTTTGATATTTGACTTAAATAGTTTGTCACACATTTTAAGTTTCTGTTGATCAACTAATAATTTGTACGCTAAATTGGTGTCTCCGTAATTTACATTAATTTTTAATGAAAAATATAAAAGTCTTACAAGCTTCTTGCGTTGTTGTGCACAAACCCTGAGTCATCCACCTCATTCCCAGTTCATTAAACTTGTAAAAACCTCACCTCATGCTTCACAAACCAGTTTGATCTGGTGCTCCATGATGTGTGATTTACCTCAGACAGGTAAGAGCCACACTCCCTCCTGACCCTCTCCTGACCCCCCACCCCCATTCCTTCACCTGCCTGCTGTGTGCCGTCCGTCTGAGCTCCGTCGACACATGTGACCTGGCATTTGCAAATTACTCTTCTTTGTTTTAAGGAGTTTCCTGTAATCCCTCATAGATGACACTCAGGTGGAGTTTAAAGGAAGAACGTGCGACATGTTACTCATAAGTAAATCATAAATGAAGTCTCTCCTGTGTAAATGTGTCTCTGAGTCATAACTGTCTACAATGAGTGAGAAGCTCGAGTCCTGCTGGCTGTGTTGTTGTGAGAGCCGTGTTTACATGGACGGGACGGCCGGCTCCTCCCCTTGAGTATGAAAGCTGTTTTAGTCAAGAACTAGAGAAGAAGAACATACTCACTGATTATTTGGATGTCATGTAAGCTTTTTTTAGTAACGGTCTACGAGCTAACTAAAGAGCGCTCACGTTAGCATATGAACACAACAATGCAGGACACAGGCAGCAGCTCAAGTCTAGGACAATTTTGTGCGCTAAACTCCTTTGTCTGAACGCTAGTAGAGGGGGGTTGGAGGTGTGTCTCTGGAGGAGAGCGGAGGCTTCAGTATGGAGGAGGTGTGGCCAAACAGCAGTTTGTTTTGGATTCATGCTGGTGCTCAAGGGCGACATCTACTGGATCAAAAAGTTGCACATTCTTCCTTTAAATACTTAAAAATTTAAAGATAATCCAACAGGAAAGATCCAGAGTTTTTGAAAGATTTTGTTAGTAGGCTTGGTATGTTTTTTAAAGGGAAACATAAAAAAGAAAATTGTTTACTTGCAAATGCTGATTGATCAAGTTTGTGTGTGTGCGCTCTCTTGTCTTCTGGGGAGAAAAGATGCATGACGATCTAAACGTGTCTGATGTGTTGCATGATTTAGACTCTGTGTTCACTATTAAAAATTCTTTAAGCTTGAGGTGTTGTGTGTGTTCAACCTCTCCCTCATTCCATTTCATCTCTTTCTCATTTCACACATTTACATCCAGAGTGCCTCGTTTTTATTATTCAGCTTCAGATTTCAGTTGTTTGATGAAGTTTTATGTGACACAACTTAACAGATGAATTATCTTTAAGTTTCTCATGAACATTAAGAAACAGCGTCCCAGACAGTTTTTACTCCCCCTGGTCTTCTCTTCAACCTGTTTTTACCCTTTTTATCGCTTAAGAAACGTACATCAACATGAACTAGTTTGACATTTTGTAGGAGCTTTATTTTTTGTTTATTCTTGTTTGGTGTGACTAATGGAGAAATCTGTGCCCTTTTTTTCCAGACAAATTTCAAGATCCAGATTCAGATGAATTTAACATTGAGGTAAGGATGCCTTTTAGGAACACATTTAAATGAAGCTGTATTTATTATCCGTCTAACTATATGTTGTGCATCATCCTCTGATCAGGCCTTTTATTAAGATTTAAAAATTTGACTTGATTAAAAAAAACTAAAACTTGGTGTTAAACTTTTTGTGTTGTTTCAACTTTAAGAAAACAACTTCTCAAAGCCGACTGATTTGTTGAATCTGAGTGTGTAAACTTTTCTCTCTCCAACAGGACAACTACGAACCCAATGTGTCCTGGAATGAACCGGTCCAAACTGACGACTACGATCTGGTTTTGATTCCCACAAACCCAACCAGGACTACGACTCCTCGACCGGCCTTTTTACCTCCACCTGGTGTCAAAACAACAACAGCAGAGCCCGGTCAGAGAAAAACCAGTACTGACGCACCTCCCTCTGCCCGATCCACCCAGTACGGTCAAGTTTTAAGCAACTCTGAAAAGACAACCAGGCGCAGTACCTCCACTTCACCACCAGAGGTCACTGTTTCACATAGAAACAAAGGGAGCGTCTTCAGTGGCATTGCTCCCTTTTATTCTACAACTACACCTGGTGCAACAACTACCGATGGTGGTCCTAAAAAGCCCAAAGTTGGAGTCAGTACGACTTCTGTTACGTTGACAAGCACAAAGACAAAAGGTGGTAAAAGTATTTCTTCGTACAGCACCACCACGACAACGCTAAGATCTCGTACCAGCGACACTAGCAGAACAACAACACCGCCCTTCATCCAACCAAACACCAATCGAGGCCTTGTAAACACGGATTCAAGAACTCCTGTTTCACCTGGTTCGACCCCTGTGCCTTCCTCCTCGGGTGGAGCCGCTCGACGTAGGACAACAACTCCCAGCATGCCTCGTTTTACGTCTTCAACCACTTCTGTGAGGTTGGGTGGTGTTCTCTTGAAGACCACGCAGCCAATGTCCAACGGTGAGAGCCCCACTGTCCTCCCCTTCTCCTCCTCCTCCTCTGCCTCCTCCCCCCTGTGTGACACCGCGGACCCCTCCTCCACCTGCCCGCATGACCCTCCCTCCTCGTCCTGGCCTCTGTCATCTGCTTCTGCATCGGACTCCCAGCATGCAACGCTTCCTAGCAAAGACCTGGCTTCTCCTCCTTCAACCCTCACTGCCTCCACCTTGCCCCGCCTCCTCCCCCCCTCACTCCCCCTGTCTGGTATGGAGACTCGCCACGTCTCCCCCGTCGGTGTCGGGTTTGACAATAACAATAGCGATGGTGATTTGTTGTCTGGGTCTTCGTCGTTCTCTTCAGGTGATCCCTCAGTGTTTAGCGACACCCCTCCTCTACAAACGGCGCCCGATCCTTCTGGTGTCACCCTCGCCGAACCCTCAGAATCCTCCTGGGATTTGCTACTGTCAGGGGTCTCTCTCTCTCTCACCCCTACCCTACAACCGTCATTTCTCCTCTCTAGTGACTTCACCCCGCCGGGAACAACTCCAGGTTTATCCCTCTCTTTCTCTGCTGGGTTTGAGGACTCGAGGTACGCCACGGGGAGCACGATAGAGTCGTTTCTCCCTGAGGTCAGTGGTGAAGGGTTTCCGTTAGCTAGCGACGTGGAAGCCATGTGCGCCTGTTCTCTGGAGCCATCTTCCTCGTGGTTGCATGCCTCCTCTCATGCCCCCCTTCCCTCTTCCGCCTGGGACTCTGCTAGCTTAGAGCTTTACTCTAGCGTGGCCTTCCCGCCTCTGGCGCCCTCTGGTGTTGGTGTAGACGACCTTCTTCAGTCTCTGTCTGTGGCGGGTTCTGACTCTCCGTCCTTAGATCAGCCTCTCATTCCCCATAGCGCTATCTCGCCCTCACCCTCCTCTTCACTCTCCCATAGTGACCTCCCCGTTTCTGTTACAGCGTCTGGTGTCAGGGATCCCTTGTTCTCGGCATCAGACAGGAGTCCTGTCCTTCAAATCGCTGCCCTCCCTTCCTCACCCACAGACTCCCCCTTCACCCCGACCCCTGAAGGACAGGCATTAGATGCTAGCAGCAGCGCCTCAGGATCGGCCCTGTTCCCAGACTCCCAGGAGGGCGTAGATCAGGAGTGGGACAGGGTTCAAACCTCGCGTCTGGAGAGAGCGTGTCCCCTTATTCTACCAAAGTCACAAGCACCACATCCTCGACTACCGCCTCCGAGTCCGGTCAGTCCCCTGATGATTTGGATGACCGCTCCTCAGCGTTTTATTTTGAGAGCGAGAGTGGTAGTGCCAGCACCTCGGAGGTAGCAGGCACATCTTCGCCGAGCATCCCTGCGGTAACCTCTGCTCCGCCCTGGTTGCTGGGCGGGGAGGAGGAGAGCGGCTCAGGACAGGGCGAGAGCCTGTACGACAACGAGACGTCGTCAGACTTCAGTCTCTCCGAGCGCACGAGAGAGAATCAGAGGAAGAGGAGCCAGTCGCAGGTAAAAACGCCGTCCGTGTGGGGAAAAAAAAAACTCGAAATGCCGAGGGATCAGGAAGAGTTCTGGATGTCTAACACACCATCTGTCAACATTTCATCTTTTCCATTTTTATCTGGGAACGCCAAAGAGAGAGAGAGTTCATGCATGCAGGTCAAACGTCACTGATCAGGATCCGATAACCTCGATGAACGAGCAATCCCCATCTTCATCTTCATTTCAGTCGCATTAGTTTTAATACAAAACTTCCATCCATACTTTAAAAGCACTTTTTATTTATTTTATGAGGTCATAAAGGGAGAAAACGATCCCAGCATGCATTCGGCGAGAATACTAATATTCTTTCCGCTTTCTTCTCTTTTAAACACACAGTATGTAAATCCCACAACCAGGGGGCTCTCAATCAAAACAATAACAAAAGATTATGTTAAGGCTGGGAGTAGCAGAGAGAACTCCCATGATTCCCCACCAGCCTCGACGTCATCTAAATAGAACCCCGATTAGAGGAACCTTTTTAGCTCCTGATTCAGAAGTTACTCTCCCAGCACAGGGGGGGCTTTGACGTTGGTGTACGTTGATTGGTCGAACACAAGAACAAATCCAGCACCACCAACTGCCATTTTTATATCCAACTGTAAACGTTAGCCTAAAACAGTAAATAAGAACATGGAAGAAATGCAGACGGACAAATGGAGCGATGGAGCGTCTAGGCATTATTGAGTGATGTTGCTCTAGAAACTGCTGGCCGACTTGTGTCACTATAAGGGTCATATCAGTTGTCAACATGGCGATGAGAATGCAGACAGTGTAGTTCTCAGGGAACTCCTGAGTGGAAAGTTCCTCTCTAAAAGGTTCCCAAACCTGTTCGGCCCTCAAACACTGATTATCACTGCAAATTATAGCAGCAGTCATTTTTATCGTCTTTATTTTGATTCAGGAAACGTGATGCAAAATGGAGGCCGGGCATCAGAGGCTCCCAAAAATCCTGTGACTAGATATCAAAATGTTCAAGAAGAATGGGGAATGACATGCAGGAAAGGACCCATAGGTCGGATTCGAACCCGCCCACTTGGAGGACCGCTTCCTCCGTGTATGTGGCTTGCACCAACCACCTGGTTACTGTCGCCTCCCTTCCCTAAACTCTCACCAGAATAAATATGAGAAAAGCTTACATTCAACCTTCCTGACATAAACCACATAGCTGTCTTTAGGACGAAACTGCAGAGGTTGGAAATAATAAATAAGCTTTTACTCTGCAAACAAGGTGTTTGAACCGCCTGCTTCTAATGCAAAATGCTGCTAAACTAAACGTTTTATTCTACCTAGGTCCCAAATATAACAAAACTGCTTTTATTATTTACCTTTGCATCAATTAAATCATTTCGACTCAGCAACCAATTTCTCCAAGAGAGCATCATAAAACTCTTGGTTGTCTTTAACTACTTCCTGTGAAATCCTCAGTGTAGATTTCTGTCTTACCTGTTGTTACCTGTCATGGCCACCAGAGGGCAGCAGAGGTCTTTAAAGCTGCACCGTGTGAAGTCTGAGGAAGAATTGTAAATCTCCACTAAATGACACAACTGATGAAACCTTCAACCAAAGAAAAAAATATGTTTAAGCTTTCAGAAGAATCCGTATAAAATAAACAACTTTACAAAACCAGATTAGAGATAGAACTGGTCCTGCTGGGACGGTTTGAAAGGAACATATTGGATTTTTTTTTTTTGCATTTTAAACCATATTAACAACAAATCATCTAAAGAGCACAAGCCATTTTCTAACATGCATCTTTTCTGTTTTGGGAATCAAAGAGGAGAATTAGAATAATATGTAGATTTAGTTGTAGGTAGCATTAATCCTCACGTTAGTCTGTAGTCCTCATTCATTCTTTCTTTAATTTTGAGTCGACGTGAATTCATCTTCCAGAGACTGGAAACTTGCTGCAGACAGATCATCAGGGTGACAAAAGCTGCTTTCAAGTTGTTTTCCAAAACATGTCTGAGTTTCACGAGCATTAGAGGCAGAGAATATTTTCCTTGTCTGGTTTTTGTTTTGGTTTTTAATGTGTTTGGTCTTGAGGTTTGTTCAGACTCGATGAAAAGGTGGTGACGGACCAAGTTTTCTTCTCTAGCGAGAGTCACATGTAGGATGTTCATAATTAAATCTGCCATTTCAGGGAGCTAATTTGACTCGTCGAGTGTCCTGAATTGATGTTTAAATCTGAATGAGTTGGTACATCTCATTTCAAGACTCTCAACAGGTCGATGTTTCTTGCTGTTTTCATACCACATCACACATTTAACCTGACCCACACTGCAGCGACGTGGCATGGCGCGTGGTATATCTGGACAATGTTTTTTTACATTCTATCCAAAGTTTGCTGGCCTGCTTTGTGGTAAAGGTAACAGGAGGTTACATTTCGCTTCACTTCAGCTCTGAATACTTTGCTTTCAGCAAGTCTTGGTGTTCAGAGCAAATTTTGAAAGTATAAAAGTTTGTAAAACGGTTTCTGTGTGCAGTGGGACAAAGCCTGAAAGTCTTTCACTGAAGCTGCAAAACATCTCTCTGCAGCAACTCTCAAGTCTTTTAAAGGCGATTCTTTATCCGAATCAGGGGTTCGTTCTCTCTCTCTCTCTGTGTGTGCGTCTCCTCATCCGTGCCCCTGACATGGTGACAGCCAGATGTACAGTAACACAACTCCATCTTTTAATTTCTGCTCCTTTCAATGGGAACTTTGAGGAGTTCTGAGTCCTTCAATCTCATCAGATTTCCTTTGACTCACTTTGTCTCTTCAGTCTTTGCACCAAAACACAAGTAACCTTTTCCATCTTCTGTCGGGGTCTTTTCTACTTCTTCTTCTTCTTCTTCTTCACTGCCCATTATCATCGCCTGTGTGTGCCTGTGTTTGTGTTTGTGTGTGCAGGATGGATGATTGTGTGAATGGGTTTCATTCAAAGTAGAAGAGCACAACAGGCCTTTAGTGAACTAGTCACCTTGGCCTTTCATGACTCCGTTTTTTGCAGAAGAGGTAAGTTGTGACAAACCGGCTCCCAGTCAAGGTGAATCCATACCAGTGTTTTCCTCACTGGTTATGGCGCCATAAAGGGAGGATTCAGGTAAGGGAGGTCAGGTTCAGCCGTCACTTTTTTTTCCCCACTTTATTATTCAAAGTCACAATTAAGCTGCTGGATGCTTTTATTTGTTTTGGGTGTTTCTCTCTAGTGGTTTCTGCGGAGCCTTTGAGTGCGCTGAGTTTGAGTCGTAGGCGGTGTGTGTGTGTGTGTGTGTGTGTGTGTGAATGTGAATGCTGGTGCATCATGTTTGAGTGACGGGCCGGAGTAGCTTTTAGAGACGTGGAAATATCGGGAGTTTTTCAGTTCTGCAAAAAAGAGGCCATGCTGCTCTGGAGGCAGAAATTAGTTACATCCCGTTTTTTCATTATCAGACAAATATTTTTATGCTTTTAGGAGGACTTCAATGGAAACTGTGAGGAAACATTTCTTTCCACGACATAAATGCATGTTTTCCACGCTGACTTTGGTTTCAAAACCAGAGGCTTCTTGTATCCAGCCTTCAGGGAACATTTGTGAAAATGCTTTAAACATCATACTGCAGGGTGCATCAGTGTAATGTTACTTTAGTGTATCTCTTGTTCTGCATGGCTGAGGTTGAGGTTGAACATTTCTGCAGCCACAGCAGCTCATCCTTTTTCAAACACGGTGACATGAAAAACCTCCGGGACACAGCAGCTTCTTCCCTTTCTTTATTTATGTCCCTTTTTTTTTAACCTCTCCAGACGCCAGCAACAGCAGCCACGAGTCCAGAGTCGGGTCGATCAGGGAGCGAGAGAGGAAGGCTGTGGTTCCTCTGGCCGTCATCTCAACCCTCACCGTCCTCGGCCTCGTCGTCCTCATCGGCATCCTCATCTACTGGAGGTCAGTCCTGAACGTTCATTTAAAGATACATTTATTTATATACTAGTTTGGCCTCAGAGTGTTGTAGTCAATACCACAGTAACAGAGACCGAGACATTTAGGAATCGAGACCAAGTAAATATGCTTTCCATTCCGAGACGAGACCGAGACCTTCAAAAAGTGGTCTTGAGACCAAGACCGATTATGAGGGAAGAAGAAATCCACTCCTTTCTGATGTCCGTCAGTCAACATTCAAACAGTTTTTTTCTTACTCAAAGAGTTGTAACTGAGGTTGAGAAAAAAGTACAGACATTTTAAAAAACGACCTGTGTTTCACAGGACAGGTAAGTGTGTTTCCAATGCAGAAGTTTGCCTGCAGTTTTTGGTAATTAAAAAAGAAAGGTGATCTGATATTTTGTGCCTCAGACTTCTATTTTTTATTCTGTATGAACATGTCATTTTTGAAGGAAAGGATTTCTCTCTTTTTGAACGAGTCGTTTGAAACCTTTTTATCCTTGGTGTGGCGTTAAAGGCTTGTGATTGTCAAAAGGAGAGCAGGCGTCACCTTTTCGGTCAGATCAATCCCTAAAATAATTTCTTTGTATCTCATATTTCTATTATTATTTAACTCCAATGTGTTTTTCATTAGGGAGAAAACACTTTTTATTGAAAGATATTCTTATGGGTGTGTGTCTTTATAAGAAAGGACAGGAGAGAGAGACAGGAAATGTGGGGAGGAGAGAGTGCGGGTTGACATGCAGCAAAGAGCCGAGGTCGGATTTGAGGACTATGAGTCGAGGACTATAGCCTCTGTGCACAAAATAATCACTAGGCTATCTTGCGCCCCTAGAGCTAGAGTTAGGGCTCGCATGTCTTTGGACTGTGGGAGGAAGTCAAGAGTACCTGGACAGAACCCACTCGGAATCCGAACATGCAAACTGTACGCATAAAGGCCCTGACCGATGTGGATTCGAACCAGAAACCTTTTCACTGTGAGGCAACCACGCTAACTACTGGACCACCGTGCAGCCTGAAGTACAACTACGACTACGAGTAAAAAGTCTTCCCTAAAGTTTGGAAAGTCCTGCAACATCCAGGTTCTATCATTGATTTTTGTCTGGTGTGAATAATCTCTCTCACACACACACACACACACACACACACACACACACACACACACTGCATCTCAAACTGAAAGCTAACCCCCCTTCACCTCCTGCCTTTTAACCCTTTCATATATCACATCACATGGAGAGTAGACGACTCTCACATTCAACTTGGACATCAAATTTCCTCCAACACGTTGAGCTCGGTCTGGGTCTTAAAACGTAGTGTGTTGTTGTTTATTTATTTTTGTGTGTGTGTGTGTTTGCTCATCAGCAGCCCTTCCACAGACAATACCTCCGCTGTTGATGCGGATGCCTTCAAACTCTCAGAGCCACCACCCACCGCCGCTCGCTTTTGTCAGCGTCATTTTTGATTTCTCCCGGTCGACCTTGAGTGATGTTGTTCCTCACTTCTTCTTCTCTTAAGATTTAGAGCAAAACAAAAGTTTATTTTCTACTTCGAACATCTTTGGCTGAGGATTGAAGTGTGGGGGAGAAAAACTCTGCCTCCCACTCAGACGTTGAAATAACCAACTTGAAAACTCATGAAGGACACGCTGTAAACACTTTCAGTCCTATTTTTCACATTTCTCATCTTGCAGCGCCACAGGCTCGACATATTGTTCTTGTTTTGCGCCCTGCTTGTTGTTGTATCTCCAAGATTGAGCAGTGCTAAACCGGTAATAATCTGAGGAGGAAGGGGATTAATGCTCCTTGGAGGATGATGTACCTTGGCTGCGAGCGTCCAGAGAGGGCCGGGGGATAGAAAAGGACATCCGCCTGATTATGTCGGACAGAAGGAATCGTGTCAGCGTCTTGTAGGGCGAGCGGCAGGAGGCCAAACTACACTAATCCTGCCGCTGTTGTGTCCTTCCTCACCCCCCCCCCCCCCCCCTCTTGACAACATAGTGCTCATTTGGAAACCGCTGCTGTGCATTTGAGGTCAAGACGTTTGAGCGGATTGTGGTGACTTTACAAGTTTACAACAAGCTGAGAGATGAACAGCAAATTAGCAGGAAGCTAAGACGTTTTTAAAAGGCATCTCAATCAACCAATCAACTTTATTTGTAAAGCACTGAACACACAACACAGAGGTAGAAGAGAAGAGAAAATCAGAAGTGATGAAAGGATAACACTTTGTCCTCGATCTCTGCACAGACAGGTAGCCCTTTTCAGACGGCTTTTTTCACAAAACTGATGGATAAAAAAATTACATTTTTATTTTTCTGTAAATAATACATAAAAACAAGAGGGGGTAGGACCAGAAAAGTTTTTAACTTCTTCCGATCCCTTTTGAACATGAACTTTATTATTTGAGTTATTTATTTGTTGCTATGAATCCTGAGGATTCTGTTTGTTTTTTTTCCTTTTTTATTGCTTATACTTTTTTTTTTTTATGTATTATCTTAACATTTTCAAGGAATTGACTAAAATAAATACATAAAATTAAAAGCCAATAGGCAACAGTTGGTAGGATATATACAGGTCGTTCCCCAGCCTCGGGGCCCGGTCACCTTTAGTTTGAAGGTCGGCCTGAGGTATTGTAAGTAATGACCCTAATTTGGAGCTGACCCCCTACGAGCTTTAAAAGTGATCACAAGAGTTTCAAAATCAATCAACTGAGATCAGGAGTCAGGAGAATAACCGGAGCAGTCCTCATGAAATGATCTAGATATTTTGATCTGATATATGAATATATGAAGTGCATATTTGGAAATGGCTCGAGAAAACTTTATGTATCCCATAGGGCAGTTTGGGTTTACACTCTCCAAACACCATTCATACATTTACAAACCAACAGCAGACAGAAGTTTCTCAGAGACAATAAAGAGTCTGTATATTAACAGAGACAAGCGCTAGAAACCCAAATCTGTTCAGGAGTTAATGCTGAACAGACCGAGATTATCTTATTCAAAAAACAAATACTCATCACACTCAGAGAGAATGACGGTTTGTGTTTCTGTCTCTGTGATCCCTCAGAAACACGTCTTTAATCTCACAGCTCGACCCTTTCTGCCGCCGTGATAATCCCTGATGCCCATTTCTGGCCGAAACAACGCAAGTTCATCAGAGGTCATCTCATCCGTTTAAAAACTTGTCAAGGATTAAAAGAACATCTTTTTTTCTTGTGTTTCCGGGAAGATTAACGTGTGTTCTCCCCCCCAAAAAAATCTGGGCCAATGCAGAGCGCCATGAAAACAAAAGCATCTTCTGCTCTTCAGCTGAGCCTCCGGTCTCTGCCAGGCTGAAATATGACATCAATGTAGATTATATAGAGTTTAACAAAAACTGACTCTATTAACTATGTCATCTGCATATGAAACATTTATTTATTTGTATTCCTCTCTTGGAGTTTAATCTGTTAACCCAAAACAAATCAGCTTGTTGGAAACTAACATAAACTTAACATAAAACCCTTTAACTAAATTAAAAGAAGAATGTGCGACATGTTACTCATAAATAAATCAAAAATCCAGTCTATCCTGTGTAAATGTCTCTGTGAGTCATTGAGTACAATGAGTGAGAAGCTCGAGTCCCCCTGGCTGTGTTGTTATTAGAGCCGTGTTTACGTGGACGGGACGGCCGGCTCCTCCCCTTGGGTATAAAAGCTGTTTTAGTCAAGGACTAGAGAGAAGAAGAAGAACATACTCACTGATTATTTAGTAAGTCAGAGTTTTTAGCTCACGTTCGTTCTTTGTCAATTTACATGCAATGTGAAGCTACAAGCTAACTAAAGAGCGCTAACATTAGCATGCTAACACAACAATGCAGGACACAGGTGATTGCAGCTTGACACAAGAACAATTTTTTCTGCTGCTTTTTTTTTTTACTCATCTGGAGGCCTCAGTATGGAGGAGATGTGGCCAAACTGCAGTTTGTTTTGGGTTCATGCTGGAGCTCAAGGGCGACATCTACTGGATCAAAAAGTCACACATTCTCTACTCTACGATTATGTTATGAAAGGGTCTTGCAGAATTTCATGTGACTACAATACCGTTCGAGAGAGGACAGTAGTAGTGGCGACCTGCAGAAGACACAACCCGTACAGGTGCGCTGGACACCTGAGATGCCTCTGACAGTTACAATCTTATCCCAGCTCTCGTTGAAGAACAGACAATCCATGTTGTCTGCGTCTCCCCTGTCTTCACCCAAACACGTTTTTTTAGCATTCCAAAAAAACAAATTTAACCGCCGGCTCTACCGCCTTCTCTGGGCACGATGATGTTAATAAGGTCCTGCAGTATGTGATGTGTAGTCTTTTAAAAATCTTTTTTAACATCAGATTTTATTCTTTTGTTTTTTACTTTTTCTTAAATGTCTTTATGTCTGCAGGGCGTGTTTTCAGACGGCTCACTTCTACATCGAGGACAGCTCTTCGCCCAGAGTCATTCAGGCTCTGTCCAACGCGGCATTAAACGACGGTAACACACACACACACACACACACACACACACACACACACAGACTGACTTATAGCTCATTAGCACCCAGACAGAACATACATAAAGCTGTCCGTACTTTATCTTCTACTTATATATTCTTTAATGTTTGTTACGACTCAGTCACAGATACATTCAAACATCAACAGAAATAAAACATCTGTTTCCCTTTTTTCCCCAGACGAAGAAACCGCGTTCCCAGCGAAGGACTTTGTCAAACACGTAGCCGAGCTTCACGACACCGGCGGCTTTCAGCGGGAGTTTGAGGTACAAAGATCGATTTAGCACTAATATCTGATTCACTAAAATGAATCAGATATTTCTTTGCTGTTTTAAACCTGACTGCTGTGTGTTTGTTTTATGTGCACTCGTGTTATCCTGTTGTTGTCTGTATGCTGCATGGCGAGCTGTGATGATGTGACACGGGTACTTTGACAAAGTGCTGCGACTTTTCAAATCCTCGGATCATTTAACAGCCTTTCATTCTGATTTATAACATTTACTTAAATCAAAGCCAGCATTCATTTATGATGTGAGCAGCGTGTCAGGTATGAAAAGCAACAACCTCTGGTCTGGAAAAATGAAGCCCATGAGGAAGTGCAAAATCCTGCAGTTCATCGAGTGTCCACTAGAGGCTGACTGCAGGAACACCAGAAGTCACATACACACCACATCCAAAAAAGCCGTTTTTACAACATAAATTAACATGTTTACACCTTAATGTTTACACATTAATATAACACCTTTATAATACTGGTATCTAAATGCTGGCCTGGTGTGTTGGTTTAACAGCTGTGATTGGCTCAATGGCATTCAATCAATTGAATTTAGTATTTCATCAACGACTCACTCAGTAAAATGAGGGTGTGATGAAATCATGTTTAAGGGAAAGTGACATCCACCGGTATGACACGCCTGGTACCAAAAATATAATAATAAAAAAGTTAAATCTAGGATAAATCTGACATTCAAGTCAAACAAACCTGCAGATTTCTCTCGTTCCCCTCTGTGTTGGCAGAAGCATGAGCTGCTCTGTGGGATGAATCCCCTCAGAGTTTCTTGTTGTCTGTGTTGTCTTGTAATTTGTATTTTTGCACCCTTTGGTTGGCTGTTTCTTTCACGGAAACGTCTTGACTGCTGCCTGCTGCTTCCTCCCCCTCGTCATTAGATCCTGAAGGAGAGTTACGAGGTAAGACGCTCTCCTCAACATGAAGGCCGCTGCACTCGTAGCTCTGTGTGTTTTTTTTTTTTTTGTTCTGTGTTGTGATACAGAGTGTTTTATTTATTGTTGAAAGATGTGAATGTGTAAAGCATGGTTTATTTTTGACATATATGTTAAACAGTCGGCCCGTTCAAACCCTCCGTCAGCGTTCACTTCCTGGTTAACATTTACGTTTGAGAATCATGAATAAAAACTACTTCTTTTCATTTCATTATTAATGCGCATGTTGGACACTTTTATATACACCTGAGGTAAAACATGCTAGGTTGACTGAAAGTTAGACTGAGACAGCATTTCCAACATGGCGGCTGCTGCCGATGAGCCTCCAGAGCCCAATGCAGGAACAGATGGCTGACATCACCCAGGCTTCAAACACTAATATTTACAGTCTATTCAGATACACAGACCGAAGAACTTATCACTCACACATTATTAAACCCTCTGAATTGTTTTGATGTAATTAGTTCCCACCTTTTGTCATTGAGGGTTTTAAGCTTTATTCTGTGTGTAATGTGTATTGTAACGTTCAGAGGCAATTCTAGAGTTGGTTTGGGCCCTAGGCAAATATTAATTGGGGGCCCCTCCAATCACTATTATATCCAGTAGTGTTTTACGCTCTTCCTCTTTATTTTGTTTTACTCCCAGACAAAGAATTCATCTTCATTTTCCTTGAGTGATTTTCATTGACAAACTAGGTTTTCACAGGAGTAATACATGAGATGCTAAGCAGGGCAATGAGAGTGAGTGCTGTCAGAAAGAGCCCCATTTGGGGGGTTTCCTACTATTATTGCAAAATGGATGCATTTTGGGCGACTGCTTTGGTTAAAAATTGGCCCCAAGCAGTTGCCTGCCGCAGCACCTCTGGTAACGTTGTTAACGTTACGTGTGTGTGTGTGTGTGTGTGTGTGTGTGTGTGTGTGTGTGTGTGTCCAGGAGGTTCAGGCTTGCACCGTGGACATGGGCATGACGACCGACAGCTCCAACCATCCTGACAACAAAACCAAAAACAGATACAGCAACATCCTGGCCTGTGAGTACGACTCTGTGCAAGACAACTCTGTTTCTATGTTTCATAATCCCTGAGGCAGCTACGGGCCAAACACGCTCTTCGTTTACAATAAAACGAAAAGTAAAGTTATAGTCCGAGTTTTGATTTATTTTTCATGGTATTTTTCCTACCTGAGAGTGTAGGTTGGCTGTGTACAGGGGGGAACCCTGTTGTCCTTTAAGAGTCAGTTTTTTCTGCATTCATCTGATCAGGTGTTGTTCTGTGTTTGTGTCAGATGACCACAGCCGGGTGCGACTCTCGCTGCAGACCGACAAAGACGGGAAGACCAGGGACTACATCAACGCAAACTATGTGGACGTAAGGAACTCTTACTCGATCTAACCTGAATCTCGTTTGTCATGATCATTTTGCAGCTCTCGCAAAAGCGAGGCCTTCATTTTAGTTCCTGTGAGTCCAATCTTTCAAACACAGAGCGCAAACTTTTTAATTTCTATTCTCTGACACACGCTCCTCCATGAATCATTTTTGAACCTTTTCATTAGAAAAGGCTGTTGTTAGCGAGGACCTGCGTGGCTCTCTATTATACTTATCACAGCTCCATTCATTCCAGTGTTTTCATTGTGTGTGAAAAGCAGAGGCGACACAGTGACTGTCAGGGCCTCTCCGCAGAGCCCACACGGGTTATGAAGTTAGTCAAAAACACATTGAGGATCTCGGTGGCGCTCACACTTTGACGGCTTCCCGCTGTCAGTCATGTGAAGGTTATCAAACTATTAGAGCGACTGAATGCTGCCTTCTGCTGAGAGCACATGACACTTCATTTCCTGCGCTGCTCTGAAGGGGACCCTGCAGAGGTCTCTCTTTTCTGACTGACAGAAGTTAAATTTACAATCAGTGCTTCGCTTCAAAATCTGTTGTGTGAGTCCTTGAGCTCTGAAAAGTAGTCGAATGTGGATCGTCCTTCGTGAAAAAATGTAGCAAAAGCAAAGAAAGTCTTTTGACTTGAGCATTGTCTGATAACCAAAAGTATTTTTGTCCACTTTTACGTAGCTGAAGTTGGTAATTTTGACTGTTGCCATCTTAGTGTTTTGGCTCCAGAGGTGAAGGTGTTTGGACGAGATGGTGGAGCTGAAGAGGAGCGCCAGAACCAGCATAGTTTGCATGTTGAATCAGTCTCGATTTTAATGTTAGTACATAATGTCAGTACGACTAAAACGGGATTTTTTAAATACTAGTAACATTGTTCGCTCCAAGTTGAATTTCTTAAAGGGGACATATTCTGAAAAATCCACTTGTACAGTGTTTGTGAACATATATTTGGGTACCTGAGTGTCTACTGACCCACAAAATGTGAAATAAACCCATCCAGTCCTTTGTTTGTGGTCTGCATAAGTCTTACAACACAGAGGAAAATGCTCCGTTTCAAATTTGCTCTCCTTGTGATGTCACAGTGGGATTCTGGTAAAAAAAAATCCCCTCCCCTACCCTGGTATCTCCACCCAAGGACTCCACCCCCAGCCTAGAGCAAAACTTTTGCGCAAGGTCCGCCATTTTCATTCTCACTAGCGAAGGAGTGATGTCTACCGGGAAAACTCAGGGGGGGGCTCATTGCATTTAAAGAGACACACACACTAAAACGGAGCGTTCTGAGAGAGCTGGTTTATACAGGGTCACAAATCTCCTCTGGTGCTTGATTCATGTTATATTTTGACCAAAGCACAGCACAGATGTTTCATTTAGACCACAGGGGACTGTTTGAAAAGCTGGAAAAGGGGGACAATATGTCCTCTTTAAAGTTGGACTAACACACATAGATAATGTAGTTCAGGGTCGATTTACCTTGGCACGTATACACCTCAGACGGTGAATCATATACCAAAGAGTACAGACTAGAGAAAAAGATTGATAAAGATTGATGAATTGATTAATCTGATTTGGCGTTTTAATCTGCTGGTTTGAAGCCTTCATGTTTTTTTTCTGGCCAATGACGTGATGAGTCACTCCATGAATTATTACAAATTAAAGTTGTCCAAACAGTAACTTTGACTGAAGTACACTTTTGGGTTTTTTTGTTTCTTTTTTAGTTATTTTTTGCCTTTATTTGATTGGATTAGCTGTCCAGAGAGACAGGAAATGTTGGGAGGAGAGAGTGGGGGGGAAGGCATGCAGCAAAGGGCCGAGGTAGGATTCGAACCCTCATCCGCTGCAACGAGAACTCTAGCCTCTGTACATGGAGCGCGCGACAAAACCGCTAGGCCATCGGCGCTCCTATTTTGGGGCTTTTTGCATTTTTATTTGATGATGAAGATGAGAGAGAGAGAGAGCAGGGAATGACATGTGAGAAAGGAGCAACAGGTCGGACTTGAACCTGGGCTGCCCGGTGGGAGGACTAAAGTACCTTTGTTTTTCATGTCTTTTCATCTTTCTGCAGCATTGAGCTTGAAGTGGTCTCTTTGGAAATCAGGGTCCAACTGGGATCAAATTCATATCTGGACATTTTCTCTAAACAAATATGTTTTTGTGCATTTTTTGAACATATAAAAAACGGGTCCAGCGGTTGTTTTAAAATGTCTTCTGTGTTATCCGTCAGGGTTTTAAGAAGCCACGGGCGTACATCGCTGCTCAGGGTCCTCTGAGGTCAAGCACAGCGGACTTCTGGAGGATGGTTTGGGAGCAGAATGTGTGCGTCATCGTCATGATCACAAACTTGGTGGAGAAAGGAAGAGTGAGTGACCGGATCTCTTCTGAACTTACATTTATATACATTTAATCATTTAACATCGTTAAATGATTAAATGAGCAATGTGTTAGATATCTAGTGAATTACATGATAAAGTGACCTTACTATATGATCATACGGCTTACTATATGATCAGACATTAAGGAAACATGCTATGTTGAAGTGCTGGCTTCTCTGACAACAATGCAGCAGCCAGTATGTCCTCCTTCTAACTTTAGATTCTGGTCCTGAATGCTCTGGATTTGTTTGGACCAGAGAAGGTAGGAGGTTTTAAGACACCCCCACACGGCCGTTTTGGACGCCCCTCGGTTTGCCAGATATGAGAGCAGTTATCAGGTCAACAGGTGTTGCAGCGATGGAAGTGGGCAAGAGAACTGGTTCAGATAGAAGTGATTGTACCCGACCTAAAAAGCCTCTGCATGTTTCTAATAAGCTCCACGAGCAGAAACGTGCTCAAACTAGGATCAATATTGGAGATGCTTTTGAAAAATGGAGAGAGGTTAGAACACAGAAAGGTTTACAGACCGATGCAGAGCTGGCTAAACACTGAAGCGTCAGTGTCCACCACATGGAAACCTGCGTGAGCATCGACTCTAGAGAGGAGGGGGTGGGGGGAGACAGCTCTCTACAATGTTTAGAATTTGGACTGCAGTACCCATTTTAAACACTAGGTGTCAGAGTGACATACTGCTCCTTTATGTTAAATAGACTTTAATTTTTTTTATATTTTTCACTGATTTTTCCAATCATGTTCTTTACTATATCTTACAAAATGTCAATTTTTTCCAAATCTTTTAGTTATTTTGGAAAAAAAAATCGTTTTAGTACACAGAGCATTACATGGTAAATTATTTAGCTTGTTGAAAGAGTTACAGATGGTTTATTTTCCTCAACCTTTTTTTCTTCAGGCTTTGAATTATGTCTCATTATTATTTTCATAATTTTGATGTGATGGATGCGTCCTCAGAGGAAGTGTGATCAGTACTGGCCGGCCGAGGTGCAGGAGGAGTACGGCGGCTTCCTGGTGACGGTGAAGAGCAGCCAAACGCTCGCCTACTACACCCAGAGGACCTTCACCATCAGGAACACACACAGCAGAAAGGTCAGACATATGGGTTTATGTGTATGTGTCATCTATTCATTCACATGTGTTCACAAATGAACACATGTGGCTCTCCCGACCGATTCCAGAGGCAGTGAGTCGCTGCTGGAAGTTTTCTTTGATTACTCCTGTCGTGTCTTGTCCACCTGCAGAGCTCCCAGAAGGGGCGGAGCAACGAGAGGACGGTGATGCATTTCCATTACACCCAGTGGCCCGACATGGGCGTCCCAGAGTTCGCTCTGCCACTGCTCAGCTTCGTCCGCAAGTCGTCCAAAGCCAGGAAAGACGAGACGGGGGCGGTGGTGGTTCACTGCAGGTAACAGCTCATAAATGAGAGGAAAACATTGACTCGTTTTTTCCTCCACACCCTAACATTAATTCCTTGTTTTTCTTCTTCTCCTCTTTTGTTTCCGGGTAGCGCTGGTGTGGGCCGGACGGGCACATACATCGTCCTGGACAGCATGCTGAAGCAGATCAGAGACGAAGGGAACGTCAACATCACAGGCTTCCTCAAACACATCCGCACACAGAGGAACTACCTGGTTCAGACAGAGGTCAGACTATGTCCACACACTCACTCAGTTCTCATAAACATGACTTCATCATGGAAACAAGAATCGGTCTTCGGTGTAACCAACCACAGCCGTCCGTCTCCTCTTTGCAGGAACAGTATGTTTTTATCCACGATGCTCTGGTAGAAGCCATCTTGTCCGGGGACACAGAGGTGATGGGGGCTCACCTGCACAGGTACGTGGACGAGCTGCTGATCCCGGGGCCTGCAGGGAGGACACGTCTGGAGAAACAGTTCAAGGTGAACAGCTCAATCAGGCAGTGCTGTGCCAAGTCTTTCATGGATTTCTGTTTAAGATTCATTAGATTTAGGTGTTTTTTTCTCTTTCTTTTTTGTATTGTTTTATTTTCGCATCCCTTTTTCTGACCCCCAAGCTGCTGAATTGTTGCCAAAACAACGTTTGAAATGAGACCAGAAATTAAAAGCTAATGCAAAAAAAGTCAAGGGGGTTTCAGTGGAAACTGGGCTCGACTGTTTGTCTTGTAAGAAGATATATAAGGATTTAAAAGTACTTGTAATGTTGTAGTCACGACCACACTTACCGAGACCAAGACATACCCGAGACCAGAGTGCTACAAGACCGAGTAAAGACCAAGACCATAAATATCACGGAAAGTGGGCTTTTCACTCACTTAGACCATAACACCTGGAAGGTTGCGGCCGTAACCGGGTGATAATGATCAAACTATGAATGAATTGAAGTGATTGGTTCTTTTAGAGAGTCGTTTTCCTTCTAATCACAGTAATGATGGTGGTCTTGACAGGTCTTGATTTAAAATCCGGAGTTGGCCCAGTCTGAAACTGGGACTGGACCGAGTGAAAATGCTTTCCATTCCGAGATGAGTCTGAGACCTTCATCAAGTGGTCTCGAGACCAAGACTGATTTTGAGTAGCCTACTACGAGACTATTCTGACTTCAACATCAGAATTTGTTTTCTTTCAAATGAAGAATAAATATGGACAAGCTTCTGAGAAATAAAGAGTAGTATTTGAGATATCAAAAACCTAGTTGGATTAATGCAGATCATCCCTGACAGCACATCATCCAAAGTCCAAAGCAAACTTTTAATATATCCAGAACTCTGCTCTGCACGCCTTCTCATTCTGGACCACATCACCCTTGTTCTTCAAAATCTCCACTGCCTCTCGGTCCCTCACCTCATCCAATTAGAAATCTTTCTCTCTCCCCCCCCACAAAATTTACAGATGTTTGATGTTTTCCACAGCTGGTATGTCACCCTGGATTGAAGCCGAGCGATTTCTCTGCAGCTCTGCATGAATGCAACCGCAGCAGGAACAGAAACTGCTCCGTGATACCTGGTGAGTCCAACATGATGGTCGGTTAGCCTGATGCTAACTTGATGCTAACTATTGAATATGGATGTGCATCTTAAACAGCAGTTTGCTAACATAACAGCGAGAGAAGAGAAGGCACTCCTTAAATGACTCTGACACATGTTCTGGGTTATAAACTCTTCATTTCATCTGTTTTTTGTTTCTGAAGTCGAGAGGTCGAGAGTCAGATTGTCTACAACAGCAGGAGAAACATCAGACTACATAAACGCATCGTACATCACAGTGAGTACAAATGAGATTCTGTTCAGGTTTGACATCAATTCAAACTCGGGGATAGATTCAGGATGTTCAGCCCAGTTTGAATCGATACAAGAAGGGGGGGTCTCCAAGGAAAAAAGGTTGGGAACCCGTGGTTAAGAGGTGTGAAATGAATCATCCTCTTTATTCTCTATTTTGAAATCATCCCAGTCAGCAAGTGAAAAAACAAACAGGGCTCTCATGGACATTAAGCTAAGGGTTCTGTTTCTGCAGGGTTACAGGCAGAGCAGTGAGTTCATCATTACCCAGAACCCTTTGCCAGGCACCGTTAAGGACTTCTGGAGGATGATTTGGGACCACAACGCCCAGGTCATCGTGTCGCTGCCGGGCGGGGTGAGTAAAATAACATGATGTAAACTTGTATGTATGTCATAACAGTCAAGGGGTTAGCTTTGGGATTACTCAAATGTACCTTTATTAAACTGTGTTTTAAAAGTGATATATTAATAAAGTTTTACCTAATTACTTTTCAGACAGAGGAAGAGGAGGAGGAGAATGAGGGGGGGCAATGTGCCATTTGGCCTCGTAAAGGTCAGCCAATCAGCTATGAGATGTTCACTGTCACTCACAGAAGTGAGACTAACATCTGTCTGGCCAACGAGGACAATGTGGCGGTCCAGGAATACGTCCTGGAGGCTACACAGGTTGGTGTCACCTGAACATGTTTCACTTAACATAGAGAACAGATGATGATTTATAGCTGCAGGAGCTGGGGATCGAACCCCTGACCTTCCGGTTGAGAGACAAATGATTCTATCACTGAACCACAGCTGCCTCAAAATCTCTAAATGTAGAAGCTATAAGAGGCTTCCCTTGGAGTTTCTGTCGTCACTGACATCTACTCTCTTTCTTGTTTATTCGATAGGACGACTTCGTTCTGGAAGTGAAACACTATCGCACCCCCCACTGGCCAAACCCAGACAGCCCCATCAGCAACACCTTTGAGCTCCTCAACCTGGTGAAAGAGGAGAGCGCCACCAAGGACGGACCGACAGTGGTCCACGATGAGTATGACGTTCTCTGATTTTATCATGCAAATATATTTTTTAAGATTTCTCTGGCCTGATATTTCTCTTGTGTGAGGACATTTACCTGTGGGATTCAGGAAGTAATTTTGTTTTTGTTTTTCCAGCGTGGGCGGCGTTACGGCGGGAACATTTTGTGCTTTGTCGACTCTGACGCGCCAGCTTAAAGTGGAGGGTTTGGTCAACGTCTTCCAAGTTGCAAAGCTCACCAATCTCATGAGGCCGGGAATCTTCAGCGACATAGTAAGGCTTTGGTTTCTCTGTACGCTGATGATTATGTGTTCTCTATTACACAGCTGGTATGATGTAGCATTTATGCTTAAAGGTTAATTATGTCTAACATCAGTTTGGGAAAGCCCTGTGACTGACTGGTGATCAGTCCAGGGTGTAACCCCGCCTCTCGCCCAATGACAGCTGGAATCAGCTCCAGCCAATCTGGATGCGGGAACAGCCATAGAGATAATGGATGCATGGGCACATAAGTACAGCGTATATAACAACTATACAGGATAGGGCTCAACAACAGCATAGGGATTCAGTAAATGCATGGTAGATTGCAAAATGTTGAGCGCAACTGGCCTTTATATTTTGTCTTTGCCTTCTTCTTACCGCCACCTACTGGACTGGTGGTGTAGTGCAGATACTTTTAATGCTTCACCATACTTCGGCCTGATTTGAATAAACTTCCTGGGACTTCAGGCCACTGTGGAAAAGCGGACAACAATGGGTCACAGGGACCTTTGAGTTCCTTGACCTTTAGTTGCAAAAAGTCTAATTACATAACAAAAGTCTTGGTATGAAGTCTTAATTAATGGCACAGTCGGAAATTAGGAGCATGACAGGAAGTTGCTAAGATACAGCAATAAGCTTGGAAAAACTGGACGTCGCTTCCAGAAGCTCTACTGTCAGATGTTAGACAGTGTGATCAGAAGTCTGACCGTTTATGAATTCCTCGGTGATAAACTTGAACGTTGTGGTAATTGAAGGCAAAATTTAGAGGATGTAAATACTTGTCTATACAGGAATCAATGACAAAGAGAGTTTTCTTGCTTTATTTTCTCCAAAGAATACAGCCACACGGGTTCATTGCTCACAGATCTCTTCCAGTGAAATGATTCAGAAATCACAGACCTTTAAATTCACATCATCAGAATAAAACCTGTGTACTCAAACACTGCTAAATATGACAACTGATTACCCATCTTTTTTTTACAGGAGCAGTACCAGTTCCTGTACAAAGCCATGCTGAGTCTCATTGGGACGCAGGAAGATGAGAAAACCCTCCAGTCGTCCGACAACAACGGTACCATCGTGGTGGGGACGGCCAGCAGCGCTGCAGAGAGCCTTGAATCCCTGGTGTAACCGCCTCACAAAGAACTCTCGTTTCACTTTTACACATGAGCAACAGCCTTTAGTCTCTCCTCTTCAGCCACCAACAGAACTTCTCTCACTCCTAAAAAATGATCGTCCTCGCTCAGGATGCCATGTCGCAGTTTGAGGCTGGCGTTTACTGAACTAGCTTCTCCGTCTTCTTCCTCTTCTCACGATCTGGACTCCCTGCGGTTTTTGTAACGTGTGCCTTTTTGTATTTTTCATCCTGTACTTTTTAACTTTGATACAAGCTGTAGACTAACAGTCTGATGTTTTTAACTCTGTACCGCCTGCAGACGCTTCACTCGACTAACACTTTTTCCTCGACCTTTTGTATTTATTGGCACCGAGCCAAACGGGGAAACAAAAAAGGGAAAAACTGCCTCTTTTTACAACGAGAGATATTTTGTTAGCTTGTCTTTTATAGAACTCCTGCACTGAAATCCTTTCTGTAAATACCATCGCAACAGTAGCAGCAGTGTGCTGTTGAAGGGACATTTTAAAAAGGGCCTGGAATAATACAAAATAATAATAATCTAATGTAAATAATATTATAGTAATCAACTTGATGGACCAAATTTCTATTTATACGTTTAGATTTTTTATATTTGACCATTCTTAGTGCATTCAGATGATATGCTTTACTTCTAATCATGTAGTAGGAGAACATTAATGCTTTTATATTCTGGATTTTTTTGTAACAGACTAAATGTGATGCATGGGGTACTGACATGTTTGTTTTTGTAGCTGGACATGAAACACTGCCGGATTCTTAGCTAGGGGAATAAATAAGTGGAAGACCATAAAACACAGCAGGGTCTGATTGATTTCTTTACGCTGTTTGATGAAGCAACAGCGAGATCTACTTTCAAGTTTTACAGCCTGACCTAACCAAGAAGCAACCTCCAGTGTTGAAAAATAAAGCCAATGCCGAAGTGCAAAATCCTGCAGTTCATCGAGTGTCCACTAGAGGCTGGCTCCAGGAACACTGGAAGTCACATACACACAACAGGCAAAAATCAATTTTTACAGCATAAATAAACATGTTTACAGCCTGGTACAAAAAAATCAAATAGGTCTGATTAGTTACTGTCTTCACTGACACACACTGTACAGGGGGTGAATTACGGTAATGTACCAAATGCAGGAAGAGACCCAGAAATGATTGAGTGAGGGGTCATTTTGTTTGTTTTGGCGGAAAGACTTGGAGTTTCTGGAGACAGAAAGATTTTTTTTTTGTTTGTCTCGCTAGAGAGCTGGCCAATCAGAAGAAAGTTGGAATGAGGGGAGGGAGGCCACAATCTAATGGGCACAAAAGATTTGCCTCTCTTGCAGCCTACTACCTTTTAATAACTCAGCAAACGCAAAAATGAATAAAAAATAAATACATAATGAAAACAACATGTGCAGAAAGCTGTTTCTTTTAGAGTCTTGTGATTAGTGACCATGCAAGCTTGTTACCCAGTCTCTGTTAAACGGGTCACTTCCTGCATTTGGTAAATTCCCTTTCCGTAAAGATTCTGTCGTTTGTAAATTTGTTTGGGGACTGGTGAAAGTGTTCTGCCACTTGTACATTTGTATCAGTGCTCCTTAAAGTTTTTCACATATTGTAAATTTGTTTTGCACTTCCCAGCCACCATAGATTTTTTTAAACTGCTCAGTTTTGATTCTGAAAATTATGCTTGTTATCCATAGCTGACCTGATTGACATATTTCCTAGGTTACAGGACTTTTTTTCTATCTTCTAAAAACGAGTGATTACTGACATGAAAAGTAAGATCCGACTCTCACCAAGACCATGAAGAGGCAATCAACGGTCGCCTGAGAAAGCACGTTACATGAGCATTCTGTGATTACCCAGAGTGCCTTACAGCGACAGAATGAGCCTCGGCTCCTCGATCACCGTGGCTCACAGCCACGAGCAACAGGAGGAAGGAGGCCAAAGCTCAGAGGTCACAGGGGCCAGACAAAAGATGGAGCAAACAGTCCTGTGAGCCTAATGGGAGAGAGGTGTTAGAGAAACAAACACAGAAACAGAGAAAATGAAGACGGGGTCTGATGAGGTTGTGTCCGACCTGTGGATTATTTTTTCCCTCCTCTATGGAGTCATGCTTTAATCCCTGCACTGAACTGGTTATTCCAATTGATTTCCCATGTGTTAATCCGGGCTAAGACTCTGCAAGAAACGCGCCTTTTCAGGACAGAAAATAGGTCAAGTGTCCAGACGTCGTCTTGACCGGCCCCCCTGTATCCTCACCTTCATTTGCATTTGTGACTTTTCATAATTACATGCCCAATTATCCCCTGCTTGGTGGCCTAGTTTGCATGAATGCCTCCAAATTGATTGGACGCAAACAGACTGATTGTCTTTATTTGTTTTAGAGAAGCTGAGCTGAGCTACATAACTTTATATGAATTCACTAATCACTTACTCACGAGTAAGGGAGAAAGTTTTAGTGCTCTATCATTTGAGATTTCAGAGGAATCGTATCTTAGAAGACAACTATCCCAGAACAGGATCACTTTAAATCACTGACACAGGGGCAAGTGTTTAACTAGGGGAGACATCTCTCTCTAAAACATGGAAAGCTGTCTCCCCCCGCCCCCTCCTACCTAGAGTCGATGCTCACGCAGATTACCATGTGGTGGACACTGAAGCTTCAGTGTTTAGCCAGCTCTGCATCGGTCTGTAAACCTTTCTGCATTCTAACCTCTCTCCATTTTTCAAAAGCATCTCCAATATTGATTCTCGTTTGAGCACGTTTCTGCTCGTGGAGCTTATTAGAAACATGCAGAGGCTTTTTAGGTCGGGTACAATCACTTCTATCTGAACCAGTTCTCTTGACCGCTTCCATCACTGCAACACCTGTTGATTTGACCTGATAACTGCTCTCATATCTGGCAAACAGAGGGGCGTCCAAAACGCCGTGTGGGGGTGCCTTAAAACCTCCTACAGAGGAGAAGAATCTAGTTTAATGTACATACAAAATGCAACACTTGAAAATCAACCGTACACTTTTCTGTCGGCCATGTTTAAAAAGGTAAAGAACACGAGAGGCGTCTTTATTCATGATGTCATCATTGGTACATTTTATAAAAGCACAAATTATAAAGCTTTCACAAAATCTGTGTGCTTTGCTCACATGAACAGCAGACACGTGAACTCAAACAAACACAAACTGTGTTCATATTAAATCAAAACAACACAGAGTTTATTTTCATCCTTTATTTGACTCACATCGTGTTAATGTTGATCATTGTTCCCTTTAAAGACAGAGCTAACAGCTTCATATGAACCCTAACCCTAAACCTTTGATATGAGTTACCAATCTGCCTCTGACTCAAACTTTCTGCAGACCCACTCCTAACAGACATAACCGTTATACATCATATTTAAAAATATATCTCAGGTACATGTAAAATAACTCTCAGACACTCTGTGTCTTCTTTATTTTCACCCCTTTAAAGCATACAACAAACCACCGTTTACAAGGTTCCACCCCCCACAAAGTAAAATAAATATCACTCAGGTGACGGACAATAAATACTCTGCAGTCTGGAAAACCACTCGAATCCCACAAATAACGGATAAAAAAATCAAGATTTCTACGAGTCTGATCCCGACATGAGTCTGAATTTATGTTACTGAAAATCTCAAAATATTTAATTTACAGAATCGACATCGTGAGGTCATCATACTTAAAAAGAAGAGACATTTGAAATATTCTTTGTTATACCGTCAGATAATACGCCGCGTATCAGTAAAGGAAGAAAATGCGACTTTTTAATCCAGTAGATGTCGCCCTTGAGCACCAGCATGAAACCAAAACAAACTGCTGTTTGGCCACACCTCCTCCATACTGAAGCCTCCGCTCTCCTCCAGAGACATACCTCCAACCCCCCTCCACTGACACAAAGGAGTTTAGCACAAGCAGTGGACAAAAATGTCCTTGGCTCGAGCTGCAATCGCCTGTGTCCTGCATTGTTGTGTTAGCATGCTAATGTTAGCGCTCTTTAGTTAACTTGTAGCTACACATTGCATGTAAACAGACACAGAATAACCATGATCTAAAAACTCTTACTAACATCCAAATAATCAGTGAGTATGTTCTTTTTCTCTTGTCCTTGACTAAAACAGCTTTTATACACAAGGGGAGGAGCCGGCCGTCCCGTCCATGTAAACACGGCTCTGACAACAACACAGCCAGCGGGACTCGAGCTTCTCACTCATTGTAGACAGTCATGACTCAGAGACACATTTACACAGGATAGACTGGATTCATGATATATGTATGTGTAACATGTTGCACATTCTTCCTTTAAAGATTTGAGGTTAAATGCACTTTTATTTTTCAATAATGATGGAAATTTGGAAGGTGCATCATAGTGTTGAAGGATATACTTTTGTATTTAATGTAATAGCAAATTAGATTGTAATGCTTTGACATCAGCAGGTTAAATAATGCTAATGTGTGCAAAGTGGAGATTTTTAAATGGTTATAGCAGAGATGCACCGTTTGGGAAAATCCGATGCCAATACCGACTTGTTTTGGTGTAAGGTCAACATTTCCTCTCGTGTGACGATGAAAACCACTCAGCGTTTGTCCAACAGGTAACTTCATCTGCCCAATCCTGTCTCTGAATCAGGAGTTCGGTGTTCTAGATGTCGGCAATAAACATCTGTTATTGACATCACTACATGCCACATTATTTACCGATGTCTGTCAACAGGGCCGATATCAGCAGATGTTGAACCGATGTGTCCGTGCATCCCTAGTTAATAGTTCACTTGAATTGTCTTGTTCTAATCTTGTCCTCAATGAGAGAAATGTCCCATGTAGCCCATAAGAGATTTCACTTATATCACGGCTACAGGAAGTAGTTGGTAATGCTTTTAAACTGTGAGAAGTCCAACCCTGACAGGACAAGCTAACCTTAGTGTCTCAAAAACAAATATTCATGTTTAATTCTTCTGAGGGCAAGAATTAAAAACAAACATACGATACATCTGAAAAGTTTATGATGGACTTTGACCACTTTTCACTTCTGCAGAGGTAGCCGCTAGCTAATGTGAAAATGTGTCGTCTGTTATGCCTTTATTGTGGCGGGGAACGACAGGCTGCAAAGGGTGACGCTTACACAACAACGATCTTCTGAAAACGGGATCGTTTTCTTCATTATCGTTTTCTAAAAGGTTCAGCGTTCAGACGACAACATTTGCTGTGAACATGGATCTGCAAAAAACAACTGTAGTACACATGTCAGACCCGTAGGTGGCATTGTGACTTTATAACAGAACTGTTTTAAGGTTTAAGGTATAAACGTTTGTGTGGACGGATGATGAGGATGCTACTCTAAGTGACCTTAAACTACAGAGAGTAAACAACAAGAAGAGGGTCGACATTTTCACAAACAGGGAACGGGAGTCGGCCATTTTTGTTATCCAACTGCTATTTGCGCTCACACAAGCAGCTCAGCAGGAGGTTTGTGCCAGAGTGAAGGCATTAAAAGACTTCAAACAGCAGCTGAATTAACATAGATTTTTGATGCATAAGCAGACTCATAAACGTCTTTCCTTTGACAGTCGCTCTGCTCGTATTCGGACGATGTTGCTTTAAACAGTCGACCTCAAACATCTTCACAGAAGAACTTCTCTCTGATACAGTTTACACTTGTGAGGAAACATTTTGGTTTGGTTTCCAAACTCAGAAAGTTTAACTTTCAGCTGCAAATTTTTTGACCTTTTTGACCTCAGACTTAAAAACAGGGAGTTACTTAATAATCTTTGTAGAGCCGCCTGTCATCACGTTTCCTTTAAATAGATTTAAAATAACTTTGAGGGATTCATCCTTTTGACCTATTTGGCTTTTTCCTGCAGTTACGCTTTGACATATTTCTCATATTTACTTAAAAAATTAACTACTATACATTTGATCAGAACCCGGAGGGGGGGGGGCAGGTTTCATTTCAAACAGGGACTACATTCAGACAGGTAAGTCTCAGTGTGTCAGAAGATCCAGTTCAGATCAACTAGAAAAGCCAGACGATAGGATTGGAGTATAGCTTCTTTTTGTGTGTGAGAGATTGTAAGTGATTATCTGCTTCCACGCGAGGCTCCCCTCTACTCCTGCAGGCTGCTCTTGGACATAAAGTGAAGTCCTTCCTCCTTCAGTCGGGCCAGCGCCGGGCCGTAGACCTCCTTAGTCATCGGAACCACAAGTCCCTTTGTAGTGATTTCTCCTGCAGAGAGAAAGACACACACACCAAGGTTAAACTAGATCCCTAACTACTTCCTGTTTCTATGCTTAAGTTAAAGTCCTAACCTTCCATCTACCAGAAGCTATATACTTTATTTCACAATAAAAGCACACGGCAAGTAAAGTACTCTCAGTCTTAAAAATTCCACTTCACCATGTTCCTCTAACACTAATGTGTCCCTAGTCCGTCTACAAACCCCCCAACGTCTTCTGCCTGCTCCACTTTTCAGAAAATGTGTGCTCTAACAGGCTGTTTGGAGATTTTCCCTTCATGACATCACAAAGGGCAGTAACCCCTCCCCCAGGTGGGTGACACTCCCACAGCTAGGTGTTTGTTCTGCCTTCTCACTGTAAACAATAGGACATGGAGCGAGAAAGCCCCGAGACGCCCAAGCCCTTCCAGAGAGGGGGCGTGGTCAGACACAGCTCATTTACATTTAAAGGTACAGACACAGAAACAGCCTGTTCTGAGCAGGACTGAAATAGAGGATCAGAGTGGATTTAGAACAAGAAACTTCACACACGTTTTGAGGAGCTCTGAGACTTATTGAAACTGGTTGAAGATGAGGAGAATATGTGACCTTTAAGACAGTACAAAAATTCACAATAACGTCCTATCAATTTTTATTTTTTAAATGCGAAAAAATAGCATTTGAAACACGTCATTAAAAATGTGATTAATTGCGATTAAGTATCAACAGGCAAGGCAGGCAACTAAAAAACACCTGAAACCAAAAGTGATGAAAAACTTTCTACTGGTCTCGATCCACAGATCAGTCAAATAGTTCTCAAACCGTTTACAGCAACTTCTTTAAAGTTCATATTCAATGTTATGAGAGAAAATTCAGACTTTTCCTTACCCTACCCTAAGACTTTTAGACAGAATCTCACTGACCTTCAAGGACCATGCGAGCAGCAATGGCTGCTGGGTATCCTACAGTCTTGGCCATGGCAGAGAAGCCGTTGGGGTCTCCGTACACCACCAGGCTGATGTGTTTGGTCTCCAGCTCGCCGGTCGGGTGGCGGAGCCCGACATCGTTCCTCAGAATGATCATGTCACGCTCTCCTTTATCTGCACACGGGAGAAAAATCGTTCTTAACTGATGCACCAGTTTGACTTTTGCTCTCGGTTATTAATCAGGCTTTTGGCTCACCAAAGGAGAGTTTGGCTTCCAGATGTTTTGCAAGAGCAGCCAGGATGTTATCAGCACGAGGCACAAACTCATCACTCAGCATCCCAAACCTGAACACACACACACAGACAAAAAAAAAGAAATCCTTAGAATAGATTAACCTTCACAAAGCCTTTTTCAAAGCTTTGAAAGAAAGCGATTCTGCTTTAACACCCTGGCGGCGCTGCGGCAGTAGCAGCCCCCGCATCCTTGGCTTCCTCTAAAGAGATGAGCAGTTGTTTTTTTGTCTCTGCTTTGCTGGGGAATTGATTAAATGAACAACAAGTCATTCAGTTTGAGCTGTGAGCAAGTTGGCTTTTTACTCTCTTTAATGACACAAATGGAATGTTTCCAACGGTTTACTTTTACTGCGGCGGGAATTTACGTTTCAATGCCAAAGCGAAACCTCCTCGTCCTCGGCTCTAGCGGCGGGAGAACAATGGCAGCGTGGAGCCTTGGTCTGAAGAGACACTTGGAAAAGTTGATTTCATTTGAAGAGTGTGCACGCTACACCACTTCAGGCGTCCTCATTAGGAAAGGGAAAGCGAAAAAGTGTGCAGAAGAGGAGCATCCTCGGCCTTGTTGACCCACAACCATCACAACACACCCAAAAAAAATACCTCTTTTCCTCTACTTCATTTCTAGATTCCTGCTCTCTGCTTTTGTAATGCACTCAACTTTTATGTCCACATTTTCTAAGTAAGGTGAAATCTGGAAGATAAGTCTCAGTCTGTTTTCAGGGGTCTCTCAGAGAAAAGCGACCCCACGAGTTGTGCAGCCCACCTCCACTGGTCACTCGTTGACTTTCATTTAGGAGTCTTTCAATCAGTGCAGCATGTAAAGAGCTTTACTGACCAAACAATAAGCCACTGTTTTCTTTAAAGGCGCACTCTTCAAGTTCTGCCACCGGGGGCTCTCAATCAAAACAATAACAAAAGATGACGTCGAGGCTGGCGGGAAATCATGGGAGTGCTACTCCCACCTCAGATGAAAACATACTCCGAGTTGACCATAGTCAAGATGACCGAGTTAAACAGACCTGAGGAAGAGAATACGTTTACAGACGAGCTAATGTATCCGAGTATAATTTACATGACGTTTTTATCACAGCAGCACATACAGCAACTTCTAGAGTTTCCATGGAGACGATAAACATGTCGTGTCTGTCACGGCATCTGCCATTTTTTTATCAATTTAGATATTTCAGAGTAAAAATTCCACATGTTTAAACACCTTTAAATGAAGGATTTTCAGCTAATGAGGGAGAAAAGATGTTTTAAAACACGGCCCTGGTAGCCTGGTCTGCGCCACTTTGTATCTCCAGAGCTCGCAAGTATCAATGAATGGAGTTGATTTTCAGGTGGCGTGCAGTGTGTCACGGGGGCCGCTGCACTCTCACCATCACAGAATTTTGTTCCGGTAAATCGGTCGCGCTGGTGTAGAGGACGCAGCCGACTTTTTAGATGAAACAACAGGTATTAAAAGTGACCAGACTTTACAGGTACTTCATGACTTTCCAGTGTTTTCCTCTCTCACCATCGCAGGGTTTCCATCGCAAACTCGTCCTTTCCGATGCGCTCGTAAACAGCTTCTTCATATGCATCCTGGGAAATGGAGGAGGATAATCCCATCTGCTTACACAGGAGATCTTTCTGTAGAGAAAACAAATCAAGTTTCTTATTTTAGTTCCTCCAAAACACTCACAGTACAAAACGCTCTCACATGCCGTCTCCCAGATTGTCCCCTAAAACTTCTTCTTTAGCTCCTACACATCCTTATATTTCTGTTTAGCATTTGGACTGTATGCTAGCACCTCTTTAGCTACTGAGAAATCCTAGCCTAGTATGCACCCTTCAGCTTCTGTTTAGCTCCTTGTATGTACCCTTAAGCTTCTGTTTTGCACCTGCACAAGGTCTTAATTCTTCAACTCCTTCACAATCACCTACTCCTCTTTTCATTCGAGGAAATTTTGGTAATATTCTCTGAAATTTTGGTAATATTCTCTGAATTTCTCTCCTGGCTGTTTTTTCTAAATAAAAAATATTTATTTGAGTGTTTTCATAGAGAAAAGTAGAGAAGTGGAGAAGAAAAAAAAAAAAGCTTATCGTGCTTTGAGTTGTGAGAAACACGCTTTGAACTAGCAGCTCTGCGTGTTTCTTTCATCCCGAGAAGATAAAAGAGGACAAAGATTATGCGCTGTAAACTCATCACTGTCAAAGTGCCTTAGGTCACCACAGCCTTGATGTTGACAAGCAGCTATTGACAGTAAAAGACTCTTAACTTCACTGTCAGAAGCGTCAAGTGGAAGAGCCGCAAAACAGCTAATTTCATAAAAAACTGGGTGCAAGAGCGGAAAGGAGAAAAAGCAGCTATCAAAAGGCAGCCTTTCAACCGTGTGTGCATCAGTTTGGATGTGTTTTTTTTGGTTTTTTACACTGAATCCACTCTCAGCGGAGGTTCTTACCCAGGGTGTGAGGTGCTGGATTGGACAGGGCTCGCTGTTGATCAGACCCAGTTTGACGAACCCACTCATGGCCTTTGAGAAGCCCTGTGGTGCACAATGAGAGCTACAGTGAGTCACAGAAGTCATTATCTACACAGATACAGAAAGGAATCAGGATTTAGCAGCACCACATTTCTCTTACATAAGTTGCATGCTTCATGTTTTACATGCAAATACAGAAAAAGGTCTTTGACTTTTGTGTGCAAATATATGCAACTTAAAACACAAGCTTACACATTTATACAAAGTGGCACATTCTAAACTATTAAACACACTAATGGGGTGCAGGATAGCGGTGGTGGTGGTTATGACATGTACCCCATGTGCAGAGGCTAAAGCGTGCCTGTTGTTGATCTCTGCGCTGCAGCTTTACCCAGATAAGACAAATTTTAAAGGACATTTAGTGTGCAGACTTTTCTTCGTTTCTGTCTGTGTGTGTGTGTTGTACCTTGAAGCGCAGCGTTCCTCTGATCAGTGTGTGTGCCGTCTCGATGCCGTACGACTCAGCGTACTTGGTGCTGTCACGGTTTGGAAATCCCTCAAGGTTGAATCCAGGAAGGAAATCCATCGGCAAGGTGGAGTCCATCAGAGAGCCGCCGGCCGGGATACTCACCACCTGAACACACACACACACACACACACACACACACACACACACACACACACACACACACACACACACACACACACACACACACACACACACACACACACACACACACACACACACACACACACACACACACACACACACACACACACACACACAAAAACAGATTCTCTCAGTACAGGAACAAATTCAAATTGCATTTAAAAAAACATGTATTGAACCTTTAGGGCCTCCGTACCTCGTTGTCTCGGAGGAAGATGGCGGGGCTGATGGTGTTGAGGAGGACGCCGTACGGACTCCAGCTGAACTTGTAGCGAAGAGGATTGTCGGAACATTCAGGAGCAGGAAGACCGCCGCAGAACGAGCTATACGACTCCACCTGAGGGTTCACAAGGTCAAATCACTTCCTGTCAATCAACTCAGTGGATATGGATAAGGTTGATCATAAATAAGACTTAGGCCCCGTGTCCACCTAGCGCTTTTTTTTCTGAGCGCCAGCGTCTTTTTTCAATTTTCAAACAGCAGAAAGCGTCTTTTTCAGAGCACACAGCCAGCGCTTAAAGATAATTAAAGTCATTTATTTGTAATTTTAAGAGCGATTATGATTGAGACGCTGCCTGTGACATAACTCTGACACACCTCAGAAGATGCTCGTTACTAAGCTGCAGGAAGAAATATTTCTCCTGTTTTGTTCAACTTGGTTAAAAAACAAGTTTCTAATGAAAAGTCAGATACAGAAAAATCATCAAGTGTGAGAAATGTAAAAATAAAAAATCATCTGCTCCTGTGTCGCCTGAATCTGACCTCAAACCTTCAAACCTGAGTGAACTTCAGCAACAGGGCCAAGTGTTCAATCATGGATCAATATAACTGGCATAAAGTCTCCGCCTGTGTGTCTTCAAACATCATTATCTAACACACACACAAAGAGTGTGTACTGACTCACCGTGCAGCCGTCTGCTTTGCCCTGGTCGATACACTCCATGGCCAGCATGTGGTCGATCCCCGGGTCCAATCCCATCTCATTGACGATGGTGATGCCAGCCTCCTCGGCACTGACGCACATAAATCACACACACACACACAACCACAAACAGACCCAAACACACACACATTTAGTTTGACTTCAATGAACCCCACACAGATTTTAAACCAACTGAACTTGTTTGACAAGATTTTTTAAAATTTTATTTCTGAGGATAATTATCTGTGATGTGCCTGCTGAGTCAAGGCTGTTTGCTACAGAAGCTCAAACATATGAAATAAAGGGATGAGGGAGACTTTAGTTTAATTTGGGTTTGAATGGAACGACAACATGTGAAGAATAAAGGTCAGGTTTTGAAATTAGAACCCGATATAAAGCAGAGGAGAAGATCTTTACTTATGAAGTCAAAACATCAAAAAAAAAATCTTTCTCCCTTTGATTTTTATTATTTCATCCCTGGTGGGTTTTTTTTAATTTAAAAATTATTAAATAATTAATACTGAAAGTTCAACATAACTCTTGATTTTAAAGGAAGAATGTGCAACTTTTTCATCCAGTAGATATCGCCCTTGAGCACCAAAACAAACAGCCTTTTTGGCCACACCTCCTCAATACTGAAGCTTCCGCTATCCTCCAGCGACACACCTCCAACCCTGCTACCCTCACATTTGCACGAAGGAGTAGCCAGTATGTCCTCCTTCTAACTTTAGATTCTGGTCCTGAATGCTCTGGATTTGTTTGGACCAGAAGGAAGGCGTTTTTAAGGCACCCCCACACGGCCGTTTTGGACATCCCTCAGTTTGCCAAATATGAGACCAGTTATCAGGTCAAACCAACAGGTGTTGCAGTGATGGAAGCGGGCAAGAGAACTGGTTCAGATAGAAGTGATTGTACCCGACCTAAAAAGCCTCTGCATGTTTCTAATAAACTCCACGAGCAGAAACGTGCTCAAACTAGGATCAATATTGGAGATGCTTTTGAAAAATGGAGAGAGGTTAGAACGCAGAAAGGTTTACAGACCGATGCAGAACTGGCTAAACACTGAAGCTTCAGTGTCCAGGGGGGGAGACAGCTCTCTACAATGTTTTAAATTTGGACTACAGTACCTATTTTTAACACTAGGAGTCAGAGTTACATATTGCTCCTTTAAGTATCTTCTAATTATCAGTTTCTTCCACAAAAAGTCAAATTTAATCACTTAATACCATATTCAACTTCTACCTTCATTCACAACACTTTGTCTCTTTAATAGTTGAGAGAAGATATTTTCCTACTTCGGTTAAAGTCCATGCGCTGAGCACACATTCACTCCTGTATATTGGATCCTGGATAATAATTAGCTCATAACTGGGGATGAAACATCTGAAAATATCCTGTTTGTATAATCTCTGCGTGTTGTGAACTCACCTGCTCTGCAGCTCCTTCATGGCAGGACTCAGGTAGCTGGCTGTCACCATGTTTACCTTCCTGTTGATGCAGTGTTTGGCGATGAGAGGTGAAATGAGTACGGCAGCAGGCTGGGGAGCAGAGGGAGGAGGTCAGGTTAGGAGAGGTGAATGTACTTTGCATATTGTAAATGGTGATGTAGATTCAGCTCAGTCGTATGATGTAGAGGTGAGCAAGGCGGTCCAAGATGTCGACACAGCTTCTTTTTTTGGTCATCCAATGAAAGTAACGACCTCACAAGGTAGGTAGGAAGGTTTCAGACTTCAGCTATTGTAAGAAATAACATTTCTGTGGACTACGATGAAGAAAACAGTAGAAGCTGCTACATTGTTCTCCAGTGTGGGCACAACTTCTCACAGATGCACGAGGATGTATAGCTTAGTTGGTTAGCTTGCTGCTAACACATACAGGAAAATGCCTCGACTGGCTCTGATCAAGACCATTGTCAGTACTTGGGGAAGTATGGTGACACAGTTCTTTAGGACGAGGCTCAATTAAAGATGGACATCAGGGGAAGACAATGTGCGATTGCAAAGCAGAAAGCATCCTAACAGTCCCTATTTGGGTGATAAACTGGAGGCCAATCTGATGCCAAATACAGCTGATAATTGGCTTGTGGCCCTGCCTACTTTTGGGGGTGTGGCCAACTGATTAAAAAGCCTGAAAATTATTGCGTACTAATAAAGTCAACTAAAAAGAGCCTAAAAATCAAAATACTTTTCAAATCTGTGACCACGGGGGTTAAATTGAAAAAGTCATAGATTTAACAACCCTTCCCTGAAAACAAATAAAGGAAACCTCGACATGGGGGGGAAGTTGATTCTCCCCGTCCATCTCTCAGCATGTTTTACAGCATACCCTACCTGATGACCAAGTCATGATCTTTGACCAGAGAGTCGAGGTGTCCCTCCTGGCTGCTGGCGTCCAGTGTGACGGGGATGGTGTTGGGATATTTCGCAGCCAGCTCTTCGGCCTGCTTCAGTTGAACAGTCGCTAAACACAACCAGAGACAGACACAGCACATGTTTACACCCCTGTGACGCAATCGTGTCTGTTACAGCCCGAGCTAGTGTGAATAATCCCGTTTCATGTTTTAAATATCATCTGAATGATTTTGTAGAGCTTACTCACCCACAGTGACCTGGGTCTTCTCGTCTCGAGTCAAATACTCGACCACAGGTCCTGAGACATATCCTGAACCCAGCAGCAGAACGCGTTTCATCCCGGCCTTCTTCAGGATCTGAGCTTTCTCCCTGAAGGACGTCAGACACACCGACTTAGAGCCCCATTATAAAACACACACAAATGACATTACAAATGAAGGGTAGTCTATCCAACTGCATTTCCACCCAACAGATGGAGATTTAAACCCTCAAATTTGGCAAAATAATTAAGAAACCAGAAAGACATTAATGATTTTTGAGAAGATTGAATCTAAAAAACTCATTTTAATCTGAACATTGGATGGGAACCAGTCTTTCTGCCTGCGTAGAGATGAATAAGTAGAAGAGACAGCTTTCTACAATGTTTAAGAGAGCGCTGTCTCCCCCCGCCCACCGCAGGAATCTTTTACTGTTTTGATTAAACTGCACACACATATATCTTTGTTTATGTTTCATAAATCAATTAACAGATTTTCTCTGTGTTTCTCAGATCAGAGTATAACATCTATGTTGTGACAGTGAAATGTGTAAAAAGTAGGCAAAGAAATCTCTGATCAGACACTTTTGATGTGATTGAGGATCTGAACTGAACCATGAGGAGATGAAGGAGGAGGGAGGAGGGAGGAGTATGGGGAGGAGAACAAAATAATAAATATAAAACACTAACATGATCATTTCCCCCTTTTTTAATTACTTACCAGATAATCACAGGTGGAAATTATATTTTCATGCATGTATCGTCCCTGTTGGCAATCGTGGGCTCATGTGTAAATAACGGGTCACAGCAGATGTGTTTCTGTGTCGCATCAGTTTGAAGTTTGTCGTTCTTGTGAACAAACAAACTGATTCAGAGGAGAGGGTTTTCATCGGGCAGGAGAAGAAGTCTCCCGTTGGACAAACTCAGATTGATTTTCACGGTGAAAAGTGAAAGAGAAAGTCGGCGGTGTGAGAGAGTCTGACAGCGTCACTGAGAATGATCAGCGACATGCTGACAACAGTTTAAATTCATCCAATCACAAAGCTCGTCTGAAAAACAGACACACAGAGTTAAGAAGTTATAAAAACACTCAGAATCGGTCCATCTCTTAATTATTTTAAAATACCATTAACCTTCTTATCACTGAGATGATGGCTTTCATTTATTCAGATATTCAACCGCTGATACTCTCAGTACCGTGATATTAAATTCTCTACATAACGAGCCGACCTTCATAAAGAATACGTGTGCGAACTTTACTTACATGAAATATCCCATCAATGAAATCGCTGAAAAGATGGATTTATCACTTTCAAAGAGGCTGAACGTAACCCTGTAACCCTGTGTGAGTCCACTGTACCACGCGGCCTCACACTCTCACGCCTCTTAATTAATCCGAGAGGCCTTCTCAGAACAAACTGGAGTCAGTTAGAGATGCTGGATTATCATAACAACAATAACATCATAATAGAGGCCTCGCCCCCGGTGACCTGTGGCATCAATACGACCAACCACCAACCACCCGCGGGCCTCAAATCCCCCACGAGCCAGAGCCATGGACTCGTTAGCTTTGCCCTAATTGGATGCGACACCACGTACATGCACGAGAGCGACTGGAGGTCGGAGCGGGCACCGGGGCCTCGTCTCCTTAATTAAAAAACAAAGAAAAGAGAGACGTTCCCTCCGGAGGATTTCTCCCTGAGTTTACATATCTTAAAGGAGCCAAACTCAATCAGAAGGATTAAGATTTGGAGGCATGGCTTGTCTGGAAAAATGATACTTAGGGAGAAAACTCATCAGGTCTTAAAGATGGCCTAAATATGAGCCAGGTCTCTGTGAGAGGGGCGGACGACAAGGCTGAAATCAGCTGTTCACAGAGTCATGGTGCACGGAGGCTGAATATCAATCAGCTAAAGAAAAACAAACATCATGAAGTCAGAGAGCTCGTTCAAATCTTTGAAGAGCAGCGTCGACCGAAGCTGGAGAGAAGCTGTGAGGCTTTTAAAGGAGGAAATGTGTCAGATAGAATATCAGACGGAGAAATTAAATCAAAGCTGATTCAAAAAGGTTAAAAAGGAACGACACGCTGAGGAGGATTTTACAGATGACCATGCAAGATGGAGCGTTTGTTTTCAAAGTCACAGGAGATAATCATTGTCTGTCTTAGCCATAGTGTAAATATTCATTGAGATGAGCGGAGAAGAACATACTGGAGAACAGAAAACATAATGCAGCCGTTTAATTACTCGACGGAGGTCGTAGAAGTGGCGTGCAGACACTCTGCACCGTGCAGCAGACACATTTATAGAAACGTCACTCCCCCTTCTATTGGCTTGAGGTGAATTATCCGGAGAATATCCTGCTGTGTTCTCACATCAGCTCACTTGGACTACTTGCTGCAGAAAAAATACTAAGAGGCTGGAGGAGAAAAGTCCGAGAGAAAAATTTGACTGTTTGCGAAAAACGCTAATGAGTCAAATTTAATGTATATCAAAAAACATTGGCGTCTTAATTCTTACGGGGTTGCAGTGCGGCCGATCCCAGCTGTCATTGGGCGAGAGGTGGGGTTACACCCTTGACTGCTCGCCAGTCAATCACAGGGCTGACATATACGCTGCATGGGCTCCTCGGATGGTCCCAGTTTCCGAATTGTGAAGTCGTTGTTTTCCGACTTCAGTGTGCTCTGGGAAATATCAGGAGTTTTTAGGTTTTTAAGCAAGTGTGAAAGCCCTATGTTGTGAGGCTTTACTTAATTGGAACAATAAGAGGCTTTCAGATAGGATGCAGTGTGCTCTGCGCTTGCTGCAGGGTCCGGGCGCAGAGCAAGAGGGGAGCGAGCACCGGACAAATCATTGGCGCAGGTTGCTAGGTAACCAAATCGATAGTTGGGAAAAGTGGCTACTTTTTGGATCCACAGTATTTATGTTTCCGTCAGCAGAAAGCTCCTTCTGGCCAATAGCTGCAAGAAACAACTGATTTATTGAAACACAGCAAAACTAATTTGGAAAGTGAAAATATGGGACGTGGCTTTACTTTTCTTTTTATATGAAAGGAGGCGAGCAGGTTCCTACCACTTCCAGTCTTTGTTTTAAACTCGGCTAAAGAGATATAACGCTGGTAACGATCGGCTCCTGTGACTCTGATAAAGATCGATGATACACACACAGAAAGGTGAAATATGACAGAGTGATATGACGTAGAGGAGGTGACGGCGGGTTTGGTGAAAAGAGAGAAAAAAAAGGTGTTTCTACCCCCCGACACCCGAGGGTCCAGCGTCTGACGTAGGCTAGCAGCTGTGGCTTATTAGCACGCTAACCATGCAAGGTGTTAATGCAGAGGCAGGTTGGCAGAGCAGACAGCAGAGGGCAGCACTGTGCAGGAACAACCACAGGTAACGGTTAGGTTACAGCACTGAGACTAAAACACCACAAGCTGTGAAGCTGAAAAAGGACGAGTTAGCAAGGAGAGCAGGAGAATAGAGCACAAATATTTACAGCTTTTAGCTAAGATGCTATTATTATAAGTTATACAGATGCTAAGTTAGCACAGGTTAGCTACATTAGAACTCAAACAGAACACAAACGTTACCTCTCTCGCAATCTTTCAGACATTTCATCCACAGATTGGGTGCATTAACTCAAGTGGAACAAGTTTTCAAAGTACATTTTTACCAATCGTTTTTAACAAGCTACAAGCTGAGCTGCTAATTTAAATTAGGGCTGTCCAACGAGTACAGTTATTAAACGCTGATATTCCAGAGTTAATCACGTTTGAAATTCCGTTATTTTGCTTTTATTAAAAAAAAATTGGGGGCTTTTATTTTGTATTTTTGTGCAGTCTTAAGTTGGCTACACACAAATCGTAACAGATTTTAACAACGTTGGAGACAACAGACATGACCACAGTTCTGACAGATTATTAATATTATAATCCTCCGAGCGCTCACACTAGACGACCCGGCCGGACCGCTTGACCACACACCTGCTGTTTGTAGTAAGATAGCACAGACACAAGATCGCGCAGAAACTCGCAAGATCAAACGCGACTTCAGAAGAAAAATAAATAAATATGGAGTACGATCGACATCATCAGAAACAGGAAGTGGTTTTGGATCCCAAACTGACGTCAAACAGCTGATAGGAACGGTAACAAAGGTCAATGTTTGATGTCATAAGGTGGATATGACTCTGGACTCGTCACATAACTATGGTGTGCCGAAAGGGACAAAATAACGCGATTAGAAATAATTGACTTATTAACGCCGACAGCCCTAATTTAAATACATTAAGAAAGACAACACACCAAAATAAAAGACACACTAACGAGCTCAAAGTTTGAGTCTGAAGTAAGACTTACATTCTTTCTCGTAGTTTCTCGATGTATTCAAACTTCGGGGTGAGGACTCCGTTCGAGGTGATGACGGCCTTTAGGATAAAATAAGACAAGAAGAAGATGCAGCACGTCTTTTAAAAGGTATTCATTACCTGCAGAAATATCAATAATATATCAAATCAAACGTTTCAGATCTACAAAGAACAGAAACCTTCCCCTGCAGCCTCCTCTGCTCCGAGGGTTCTTTGACTTACGTCTCTGACTTGCGGGCTGAAGTCCTCCTCGTCCAGTGGTCTGGTGGCGTCTGAAGGCAGCTGAGAACGACACAAACACTTATTAAAAATTGACAGAGATACAGATTGCAGAAACGAGTCCCGACAGTTCACCGTGTTAAACCAGCTAAACAGCTCTCTCCCAAAGCAAACCCAACCAGCATGTTTGACACCAGCAGAGAGCAGCAGCTCTAAACCCAGCAGTAATGCCCTCTGCTGTTCTCACCTCACCTCAGACCCAGACCTCTTACCATCTCCCAGATGTAGGGGAAGAGCCGGTCTCCAAAGTACTCTGTGGCTTCAATGGGCAGCTGAGCGGGAAGGTTATCGATGGAGCACATGAGGATCCCGTTTCCCTCCACGCTGCAGACACACAAACACAAAACCATTTTGTCAAGAGAAATACTTTATTTGTAATTATTAACATTTGGCAGTACGGCTCTGTTCTGGGATCTCGCTGCCCTTCAATGTGCTTATTAGGCAGGAAGTGCACACATTCCTGCCCTTCCCGTCTAAACAAGGAAAGCAAAAATCCCAAACAGTAGCAGGCGTCAAGGACAACATCATGACATTGATTAAGTAAGAACAGCATAAAAGGAGCAGCAGCAAAGAGTAGGTAGACTAGAGCTGCTTAAATAAAACAGCATGAGTGTGATTAGCCAATAGGATGCTTTGAAGTAAATCAGCTGGCCATCAGCTGATGAGGTGGTTGCATGAGATCAGCTGTTATCAAAAACTGACCCCATGACCTACGCTCAGTTTTAATGATTGGACAAATAGAAGAGATAAGCTGGTACAGCTGCTCGTCCTCCGGTCTGACTGCAGATTTGAAGTATTTTGTCTGTGACCGTCCTCTATATTTGGAAACAGAGGTGACCTCAACTTTATATTTGCACATACACATCTTGTTTCTGTTATTCTAGGAGGTAAATGACAACACTTTTAATCAACAGATAAAAGAACATGATGGTGGTGCAGGTGAGAGTGTTTGCCGAGTACCTGTCGTGATCTATGTGCTGGTCGGCGTCGTACATACAGAAAGGCTTGTCGATGGTGGTGCACTCGATCATGAACTCGATGGAGCCCCCGGTGTCAGCGGAGATGTCACAGATGGCCAACAGTCTGTGAGAAGAGAGGCGAGTAGGTGTGAGAGAGGGCCGAGCGACAGGCTGAACGCAAACATGGCCGATAACCTGACGAGATAAACGCGTGACCTCTGTGGGCGTTCAGCGGGGAACACACTGCACCGCTACACACTCAGTTAACTCACCAAGGGAGTCAGGATTAACCCTTTGAGTTTGACTGAAAGGTTGTTAAAGGAAAGAAGTTATCATAACATCTATTCACCAACAATACTTTAAATAAAATACAACAATGAGCATGTTTCCTGCGTTGGTCGAAGCCCTTTAGTTCTGTTTAAAATAAATCTTAATGCATTGAGAAATAATTATATTAACAGCGTTCCCCACATACTGGTGGTACTTTGGACGCTCCAGGGTTTTCTTTTTAAAAAAATTCAAAAATAGGTATATTAAAAGTGTGTCTTATAAATCAGAAAACCAGAAAAAACAGATCTCTCTTGGTAGGATTCAATCTGATGATGTTCGTACTTGTGAGGCAGCAAAGGCGACCCCTCGGTGGCGGCAGGCGGGACTTTTGGCGGTCTCATCAGCCTCTGGGCGTCCGTTCGCCTGAGGAGTCGGGGCGTGTGGGGGTCCCAGTAAATCCCGTTGATCAGACAGGTTGTGTACGGCGCCACCTGTGGACAATATGATGCAACATGTTATCAGTTTTAATGCATTGAGAGCACTTTTTACAGTTACAGCCAGGAAGCATCGTTTATGTCCTTAAAGGGACAGTCAGAAGCTTTATCCTTCAAAATAAAATACAGACTTAAACAAAAGTTAAGCTGCTCAGTCATCACTTCTGGGCTTCCAAAATCAACACCAGCAGCCAAGAGACGTTCTATAACTCGTTCAAAATCAGCTGACAGAAATCACTTTTGATTCAACCATTTGATCAATTATTCCGTCATGTTTTTCATGGGTAAAAGTCAAAAACTGTCAGGTTTCTGCTTTTTAAATGTCAGGGTTAGATTATTTCTTTGTTATTTTCACAATCTTTTGACTTTTCCTTTGCAGCCTTCAAGTCAACACAAAGTTTTAAAGCGATCAGTTTGTTGCACCAGTTTTGAAACCGCCTCTCCAACCAGCAAGTGTGTGGATAGAAATAGAGGACGAGGCCTCTGAGTGACGGACAGGAGCAGGTGGGAGGTGCAGTTACTGGGGGGGGGGGGGCCAGTGAAGGGTTTGGTGGTGTTGGCGGTGGAGGAGGAGTAAAAGCGAGCAGACTCACGCTGGTCCTGAAGTGCGAAGTGTACAGCTCAGGGTGGTTCTCGTACTCCAGGGGGTCGTAAATGCTGTCGCTCTTCCTCATCAGGTGGTGGTGTCGGCTCAGGACGGTGGCGTACACTTTGGTCATGTCTATCAAGAAAACAACAACATGCTCTTAATGATAAATCAGTAAAAGCCTCTTTTAACTGAGAGAACATTTACATCAGATTAAAAGCGCAGTAATGCAGCACCCGAGAGCAGTTTAGAACGCATGTTCTAACATTAGCATGTAGACCTGAAGACTAAAAATCCAAATTGAGTTTGCTTTTATATGTGAGTTTTTTTATATATTAACACTAGTATAATGGTCACAACGGTATTTTGTGACCTTCTTTAGAAGAAAAAAACAGGTATTAAATTTTTTTTTAATTTTGCGAGCTTGAGATAAGAACGCTGGTTTTCCTGTGATAAAGGTTCATTCAGTCGTTTTTCTGCCAAACATTAAGCTGCTTTCACTCAAATCAATGAATAAAAATCAATAGAAAACATATTGCACATTACCCATAATGCAAAAGATCTTCAAAAACACAGCATGAAAGGTAAGATAACAAAGGTAAGAGAATATAAAAAACGTGACAAGCCACCTTAGCACTGGGCGATCGGCGCATATTGTTTTAATTTTCCGGCTACAATTAAACATTTAGTGCGCTCACAGATTACCTGCCTAGGGACAACAGATGGAAACTAGCACTTCTGCTATAATCTGGCATTTTTACAGCTGTAATTGTTACAGCTGTTCATTAATATGCACTGTCCCTAACAAATAAATAAATAAATAAAAAATCATGAAATGCCGTATCTCACAGTAATGAGCTAAGTTTGGACTATTTCTCTGTTTGTTTGGTGCTTTTGCACGTCTGGGGTACGAGGAAAACAAGTGGAGATCTTTAGAAAGCGCTAAGAAAATTAAAGTAAGTTAATAATTTAAAGGGGCGCTGCTCTTTTGTGATGTGACTGAAGCTCTGCATCTCTTCTTTTAGTAAACATCACAGCACTGAACATGACGCACACATATGACATGAAGCACACAGACAAGCTCGGGGGTTTCCAAACCTCCAGTCTCAGAGACGTCTTTGAGCTCGTGAGGCTCAACGTACTCGACAGGAAGCTCGTTGATGATGTCTTGGGCTCCCTGCAGGAAGAAGAGACAGGCATTAAGAACTACAACTTCCAGAATCCCTCGGTGTGCTCTTGATTTCTGAGATGTATCAAACAGTTGCGGTACCTTGGAGACGTTTCCGGTGCCGGTGAAACAAAACGTCACGGGCCCGATAGATTTAGGCATGAGCCCCATGGAGATCTCGTACCCACAATCCCTCACTGCATGGATGGCCTGGCTGACGTTCCTGTAGTTGTGAGCCATGCCGATGTGCTGATAACAGCACAGAGAGACAGGAAGTGATGACATAGATTTATACAACAAGGTTGTTCCTTGTTTCATGCAGCAGCCACAGAGCAGCGGGCTGTAAACGTTCTCGTTTAGATCACAGACAGAATCAGGTCGTTATTCTAAGTGTCTGACAACGTTACAAAGGGACAGTAGAGAGCGTTCTCAGCAGAGAGCGGCCGCCTGGAGAAAAAGCACAGCGTCTTTTTTCCAAGCACTCCGCCTTTTTTGCGCGGAGTGCAGTAATGTTGTCTGACTCTGAGAATAACAACCTGAGCCTGTCAGGGACAAAAAACACATTAACGTCTAGTGGATTCACTTTGATGAGGCGCCAAACGATTTCATTACAGCCTGTTTTAGCTTCAACTTCAGACCCCAAAATATCTAAAATGAGCGACTCAGTTTAGAAACAGCAGAATCAGAATCTGTCTGCGTGATGGATTATTAAGGTCACAGAGATGTTTTCTCTTTGGAATCTATCTTAAAAGACGAGTCTCTTACCATGAAGGGAGTGTGGTGTCCCAGAGCCAGGAAGCGCAGCCCCAGTCCGTGCAAGATGTTGATCATTCCTACAAAAACAAGAAAATCTTGATCAAATCCATATTCAGCCTGCGTTTCAAGGTGAGATATTTACACCCCTGTGACACCTGTCCTTCAATCTGAATGTCTCGGAGGCGTAATGGGGGGGGGGGGTCAAAGTGATCCTCCCTCTGTACCGCTGTTAGTGGTTGTAACAGAGGCCAGACAGGATCAGCTGAGCCAGCAGGTGAGCACAGCGCTGTGTGTGTGTGTGTGTGTGTGTGTGTGTGTGTGTGTGTGTGTGTGTGTGTGTGTGTGTGTGTGTGTGTGTGTGTGTGTGTGTGTGTGTGTGTGTGTGTGTGTGTGTGTGTGTGTGTGTGTGAGGAGCTGCTGTTGTGCCATGCTTCCTCGCTCAGATTGGGACACCAATATGAATCCACTGAGTCATTCCCAGGTTTAAGTGGGTCACAGCCACATTATTCTGTGATGAAAGCCTCAGGCTGAAACACATCCGTATACCTTCAGCTGCTGCTCTTTATCTTCTTTACTAAAAGTTTTAAACGTCATTGTGAGTGCTGACGATGTTTTGCTTCAGTGCTCTTTGAGGAGTTTTGGAGTTGAGCACGCCGGCGCTGTGTTTGCACATGCCAGCAACGTCGACACTAAAGTTTGTTGCTGCAGTTTGTTGTCATGTTGACACAAATCTGAGTCAGCAGCCTCCAGGTCAGCGAGACCAAACGGTGACGGACTTCTTGATTCAGGCAGAAACAATTTAACGGACTTTAAAAGGTCCAATAGACCTGCTGTCAGGTGTTGATCTCTATGGTAACGGTCACACACAACACAAGCAGCTGCCAAACACTCTCAAATCGGTCCCAGAAACGACCGACTGTCCGAGGCAAATTTTTGGTTTGTTTGTTTTGGAGGAGGTTGACATACCTGCAACTCCAGCCCACTGACCGAACGCTACGATCCGATAGCCGTTAGCGTCAACCATCTTCTCGTAGTCGATCAGACGAACCTCCTGAGGGAGAGATTTTAGGAACGTTATTGGAAGGAAAGACAAAAATAAAGAGAATCATCCAACTCTGGCAAACGCTTCAATATCGGTACATCGACTTGTGATTTTGAAACGTTGCAAATTAGTGCAATTCAGACCGTTTGCAGGCGTTTGCCTAAAAGTTTAGGTAACTAAAATCAAGAAATATCTGCTGCCTGGGATTGTATTTTTGCTTCTGTGGTATGGAAACAGGTATGGGTATTTAGATTTTTACTGGTTTAAGATTCCGGTATGGGGACAGAACTGGTCCCAGTGTCCGGTTTTGGGGATCTTAAAGTCTCTCACCTTCTTCAGCAGGTCCTCCAGCAGCCCCATGTTGGCCTCCTGAGCTTTGATGGTGTGGGAGAAGAACGCGTACGTCTTCTTGGGAATGACCTTCTCCTCCGGCGGGCGCTTGACCCCGATGATCAGCGACGCCTCGGAAATATCCTCCTGGATGACGGCGCCCGCCCTCATGTAGTACTGAAAACAAACACAGGCTGAATCAGACGGCCGGCAGTATGAAAGCCTCAACATGTTTTAAATGTTTCTCTTCAGTGTCATGGTCGAGCGCCATACCTTCTCGTGGATGGCTCTGCGGTTGGACGGTTGCACCAGGACTTTGGCGCCGGCGTTGGTCAGCTCTTTGACGTGGCGCGGGGCGAGCGGCGCCCTCCTCTCCCAGGGGTTGACGTCCTCTCTGCGGATGGCAATGACGGCCCTGTGGTGCTCATATCGCCGCTGGCCATTGAGGCAGCTCGGCGCCCTCTTGCCTTGGCGAATGAGGAGTCTAAACATGGCTGCACCCCCCCTGCTCAGGACAAAGACACGGAGCCACACACTGCTTGAAAACGCCACGTTTTAGCAAACATGGGGGATCGGGCATTCAGTCAGGGACACAAACTGCTACTTAAAGTCAAAAAATGTTTTTTTCTAACGTCTCTGATAGATTCATATAAATAAGAAGGTAAATTTGTATTTTGTCGCTGATGACAAAGTTCGACTGGAGGTCAGACTTTGGTCAGGTTTGCTGCTGGGAGAGAGCTGCTGACACACAGGTGGTAACATAACAGGAAGCACTTTTATTCAGTGCCTGAGAACTCAAAAATCAACCTTAAGACATGAGAATTACTGAACAACGCAGACACACAACCATTCAGGGTGCAGCTCTGGGACAGAGCACTGGATCTAAGTTAATGTCAACAAAAGTTTAGTGACAGATTTCTGTTCATCGGGACTTAATGTTTACATGAGAAGAGGAACACGCAGAGGCGCTGCTTGTCAACAAGGAAGGCAGGCAATGCTTGGAGCCCCAGACCAGTGAGGGGCCCCCAAAGCAATGACAGTAAGAAAACCTCCCTAAGGGGGCCATATCTGACAGCACTCATTCAAGTTGCCCTTGCAAGGTAGGAGTCCCCCCCCCCCCCCTTCAAGACCTCTGGTATTCAAGATCTTCAACTAGTCCAGTTGCCTTTGGAAAAAGCTTTAAAGGCCTCTACTCATATTTAGTCAGTCTGTATCAGCCAATTAGAGACAGAATAGGGACTAGGGAGGGTCATCCCTTCACCATCCTAGGTATAAAAAAAAATTCAGCATACTATTGAATATGGTCAGTCAATCAATGATGTGAATGAGAGGGGATTTGGAAGTGCATTAACCCTCTGGAGACTAAAAATAACTGCACCACACCACTGCTTTAGACAGATCCAGGCTAGCAGTTTCCCTCTGTTTCCAGCCATTATGCTAAGCTACACCAACAGGCTGGATGTAAAACCTACAGACATGAGGGGTATCAATCTTCTCATCCAATATTTACCAGCAGGAAACGTGCAGGTGTGCACTTCAAAATGGTCAAACTGTTCCTTGAGGATCCTTCAGATTAATGTCACAACACTTTAAAAGGGTCCTGAAGGATCTGAAGTTTGGACGACACTAGTCTGGGAGCAACAGGTGGTACAGATACAGTAAACGTGAAGTTGCTGTGTTTGCCAGACTTCATAGAGAAATCCCATCAAAATATTGAGCTGTGACTGTAAACATAAACAATCAGATAAACACATTTTGCTTATAGATGTGCAGCAGTGATTATTTATAACAGCAGTAAGGAACATGTTTAGAATAACACCTCACGGTAAACAACAACATATGTAAATGTCAGTGTTGAATCCGGATTTAAACAAAGATTTAAAATCAGTAAAAATGTGAACGGGGTTTGGTGTTGTCATTCGTGGATTAAACCTCTCATACTGTAACCTCATGGGTCTGTCCCTGGGTCTGTCTTCAGCTCTGCAGTCAGTCGAATAGTTTCACACTTTAACGATTAATCAATACAGTGATCGAGCTTCATGCTGCGCGTGGTTGGTTCATGCTCACCTTTTTGACTCAGGTTCAGCTCCTGACGAAGAAATGTGGCGACGAGTCACACAGAGGTGAGACGAGCTGCAACTTCACACACAGGAGGAGGACCGGCAGTAAAACACACCCACGAGGCAGAGTAAAGCGTTTCCGGGATGAATTTCAGAATAAAACTCACTTTCGACGATTTCCTCTCAGTTTTCTGTTGCGTGATCTCCTTACATGAGGGAATATTTACAGTATGTGGTTTTTGTTAATTATTGAATAATTGAATTCTACGGAGCCCCTGAAGTCCAAAAAAGCTGAGAGAAAAAGTCTTGTTCGCTTCATAGAATTTAGTAAGTTAAAAAAAAAATTATTAAGTTAAAACTGTTTTATTTTTATTTTTTATTATTATTTTTAAAGGGGACATATTCTGAAAAATCCACATTTACAGGGTTTTTGAACATATATTTGGGTAACCTGAGTGTCTACTGACCCAAAAAATGTGAAATAAATCCATCCAGTCCTTTGTTTGTGGTCTGCATAAGTCTTATAACACAGAGAAAAATGCTCAGTTTCAAATGTGCTCTCCTTGTGATGTCACAGTGGGATTCTGGAAAAAAAAAAAAACCCTCCCCTCCCCTGGTATCTCCACCCATGGACTCCATCTCATTGCATTTAAAGAGACACACACACACCAAAACAGAGTGTTCAGAGAGAGCTGGTTTATACAGGGTCACAAACCTCCTCTGGTGCTTGATTCATTAAGATTAAGATTACTTTATTGATCCCTGCAAGGGGAAATTCTGTTTTTACACTCTGTTAATCATGCAACATAGGCTGAAATATACACATGCACAAACAGGATCCTATGGACATGCACTAATGGAGAGCTGTCAGGGTGACGGAGTGGCCCGGGACTTGAGCCAGCGACCCTCTGGTTCCCAACCCAAGTCCCTACAGACTGAGCTACTGCCACCCCCATGTTACATTCATGTTATATTTTGACCAAAGCACAGCACAGATGTTTCATTTAGACCACAGGGGACTCTTTGAAAAGGTAGAAAAGGGGGATCATATGTCCTCTTTAATATAATTCTCTATCTGTGCTTACAAACCTGTTCAAATTAAAGTGTGTAGTATTATTTCTGCCGTGAAGCCCCTTGACTCAAACTCTTCTACCTACATGTATGCTGGTCGTAAATTAGACAAATAAATGTAATAAAAGGAAATGTACAGTGTCTTATTATCCACCTATTAAAACGTTACTGAATGAATGAAATGAAATTCAAAGTCATTATTCTGAAGGCAAACTTTCCGTGTCCGGTTTCCCCCCACACTAATGGACGGTATTTATGGTGCATTCATGTGAAGTCGGACACATCGGAAACACAAGTTTCCAAGTTACAAAATGCTCATAAACACCTGTTCAAGTCGCAAGAACGACTCGGAAACTCTGAAAAGAACTAGGTGCCCGACTTCCCGACTTGACGTCAGAATCGTCATCACATGGGGGACGAAATATGTCAAAATGAAGTCGGAAGAACGACTTCTCAACTCAGAAACTTGGAACACACGAGCAGCACTTAAATGCAGCATTTGTCCTTCGCGTTACTTGAGACGTTGGTAGCCTTGTTGTCATGGGCAACTCCCCCCGTGTGACGGGCGTTAACACCATAACAACGCTTATACTGTCTCAATCTTTATAAAGTAAATACTCATTTCCGAGTTTTATCAAACATAAGAGAGAGGACGTGGACAAGTTGATCAAATAAAACAGCGGGCGGGGCTATGAGTTTGTCACCGCCTGTGAGACCGGCACACGAGTTGAGCCGAGCGCTCCCCTCTGTCCGGCCTAGCCTTCTCTCCGGGCAGTAATGAAGTCTCTCCACCAATCAGCTTCCAGAGATGAGGAACGGCCTCCCTCCTGCGCAGCCGTCGCTCTTTGATGATGTAGAGGAAGCGGGTCTCGTAGAAAAAGCGACGATAAAAAACGGTGGCGGTAACTTCTGTGTCAATCCTCCAGTTTGATGTTGTTTTGATTTGTATTTGAATCAGTGTGTTATAAATAGCTGAACACCTTCAAAACAAAAAAGCAATCATACTCAGTTGATTTTATTTATTATTTTTTCCTGGTTAAATGTCTGCAGCAGGAGGCGCCAAGAAGAAAAAAATACTAAACTTCATTGTGACAAGAACTTTTTTTTTTTTTTTAATATAACAGTGGTACAATTTAAAATAAATATAATAAAACACTCTTTTTACAATAATCCTGAGACTGACATAAACAATAAGAACAGACCGAGTGACCAGAGGTGTGGAGGTGAAGCTACAGCTCGCTGTTGGGACACGTGTTTGACTCCTGGGTAAGTTTAAAGTTTGTGACGATAATACCAAACCATTTTATGACCTGTTTTGTTACCATGACAACAAAAATAGAAGCAACCGACGTTTGGTAAAGTCATTGACATTGGCAACATTGCAGTTTAGACAGTGTTCATGAGTTTGCACGCAGTTTTTTTTAAGGTCATTTATCTCCTATGCATCCGTAGAATTACAGAGATTACATCATTTCAAAACACAGTATCGACAGCTTCTGGACAACCGTTGTATGTTTTTAACTCCTGCAGATTTGATTTCATAGAGTTATAACTGTTTGCCTTAATTTGAGGGTTTTCACATCAGCAGTCAATCCACTCATCCAACTCTCCACCTTAAAAGCCAGTAAGTGTTTCTTAGACCAGTGGTTCTCAACTCGTCTAGCCTCAGGACCAACCACCAACTCCTCCCTAAAACAATCCCCAAATCTCAATTATGTTTCATCGAATCAGATTGATTTAATTAAAGATTGTGCAGTTTTTGGAGTTTGCAGCTTCCGTCCTGCAACCTCAGACGGTTCAAAACACCTGACCGAAGCAATTCATTAAACAAAACTGACACGTTTAAAAAAGTGATTGACAGACTGTTTGAGACCAGGTTTTTTGACCCACTGAAAACAGCTCCACGACCCACTTTGGGTCCTGACCCTCCAGTTGAGAACCACTGCCTTAGACTACAGTTTCCAGTAAACACGTAAAACAACATGGAAAACCTATATTTCAAATGAAAGGCTTTAAGAAGACAGAGAAAGAGCTTTCAAAATAGCAGGTGACAAAAACGTCCCCTAATACTTGATCAAGCTAACAACAAAAACAGCATTTCTACTTGGAATTGAGAATAGAAGGAATGGTTTTGGACGCTTTGAGCATCATTTCTGTCAGTAATAAGACTCTTAACCCGACGACACAGGGATGTCATTTTACAAAACATTGGGTAAGTCTGATTGTCAAATGCGGTACGCCCCCAAAAAAACAGGATATCCTTGTAAATCTTTTCTTCACTGAGCCGTGATCCTGTGCACAGTGGGGACACATACATTTGACTGAGATGGCGTCAACGTCTTTTGTCCCTCAAAGGCAGCTAACATGACAGTGATATTCAAATTTCAGCACTGGAATCCTAAAGTTCAGGGTGCGATGTTATGACACGGTCATCTAATGCAGGCTGAATTCAAAGTGTGTGCATTGTAAGAGCAGCAGCAGTTTGTAATGAGGAGAGAAGAAAGTAAGATATGTGCAATGCAGGGTATGTGACCATAGCTACGGAAAGTCCAGTGGGTCAAAATTGAAGCAGGAGGTGGATCTGGGAAATGTAATGGATTTATGAAATCTAAAGTTGGAAAATGAATCTCAGTATCTGGAGGTTTGTCCAGATTTTTTGTTTTTTTTACTCATTAGACTTTTTTTCAGCGCGTTTCAAGATCTCAGCGAACACCGATCTCCTCGAAATACGGTCTTAAAACAAACTTTAATTCTGGATTTGACTTGAATTTAATTGTTATAGTCCTTAAAATGAATGTGTTATTTCTCAATGTTTGCGTACATGTGCGATTTTACGACCTGCCTGTTTTATTTGGCTGCCTTTGAGAAACACCTTGTAATTGAGTTTGTTAAAAGTACTCGATGATGGTCATGATTAATGAGACGTTAATGTTACTTTAAATGATTGAAATGAGGGACACATCTCTAAAAGGCAAAACCAAAGGTGTAACAGAGACAACCAGTTCTAAACTGTCATCTAAGTATTGATGATAACAAACCAAAGTCAACACCTTTTTGAACATTTTGACGACCTGTGCGTTTGCACTCTAGAGGTTTGCCTCGTTGGCCCCACTGTGCTGTGATTAGGTATCCAGGAGATGTACATAATGCAAGGCAGGAAACTGCTGGGGGCACAGTAAGGAGGCTCCCCAAGGACTGACCAACTTAAAACCACAGCAGTGGTTAAAAATCGGCAAATTTTGCAATTATAGTAGGAAACCTCCCTTAAGGCCCTGACACACCAAGCAGACGGCAAAGAACTAATCATCCTCTTGTCTTGGCCAAAAAGTTGCAGGCAGCAGTGTGTGTTTATGTGTAAAAGCATGTCAGCCAATGTGGTTTATGGCGTGTTTCTGTGAATTTGAAATGATCACGGGTGGTGAATCTCAAAATGTCAGAATAATCCCTGTGTCAGTAATGTGTTGTTTCACTTCCGCGACATCTTTGGTCTTCATCGGTCTCACATCCTGAGATGTAACTGAAAAATAATGAAAACTAATCAGGACTAGAGATATAATAATTAGCCGTGATTTTTTAAACATAACAGGCCAATGATCAGAGGACAGTTATAGTTCTGTTCATTCCTGTCCTCTGTGAAGTCCAGCACGAGTTCAGAGCAACAGAAACATCACAGCCCGAGTTCAGGAGATTCCTCAGGTCAGTTTGAGGCCAGCTTCAGGGGTCTGAGATACCACTTCAGGGGTCTGAGGGGTCATTTCAGGGAGGGGAGGCGACAAGGGGGTCGTCCTGGGGGTCTTCACACCGTCAAGTTCAAGGATAAGGGTCGAGATTCGGGGTGAAAAAGGCCTGAGAGGAGTCGAGGACGGGTTCCATTGTGGGTCACATTTCAGACGATGTTTGGGGGATATTTAAACGACTGACATGTTTGTTTCTTTGTTAAAATCGACAGACTCTGAGGGCCCAATCGGACAGCTGCTCACATTAAACATTGACCAGAGCGCACAATAATAACCTCACTAAGAATACTTCAGTTCAACTTAACCAATTCCCGGCTTAATACGTGCAGCACAAAGGGGTCAAAGTTCATGGCTACTCTATGAAATATCGTTTGTTCTCAGTGTTTTTCATGAGTCAGAGGGTGCAGGTCTAGAAACACTTGGACGTTTTTTTTTGTTGAAACTTGATTAACAACCGCAAAATCTCACCATGTTTGTGTGAGCAAACACTGCACGTGTAAGTTTCTACCAGAATAAAAACCCGGACTAGACTTAAACATTCTGCATTAAGGTTTGAAAATTGGAAACTATAATTTTTTTTAAAGTGTGTTCACGGCCCAGGATGGGCAGGTGAAGAACAATCGACTCGCATTTGATTGATGACCAAAAATGTCTCCATGTTTGTCTGAACTCGGGCTTACACACTACAAATCAAGGTTTTAAAGGTTTTAAAGATGAGGGGAAAAAGACGATCCTTATGCATCATGGGAAAGGATTCAAGGTTTTTTGGAGCTTGAATTTGAAGAAGTCTGTGTATATCTCGGCGTCTGGATGGATTTGGAGCATTTGTATGGGCTGAAAAGAGTCTAAACATATTAAAATATTTAGTTTAAAAAGACATCAAAAAACCAGCAGCAAGGACTTGAAGGATCTGATGTCCGCGCAAGAAAGAATGAGTTGAATTCAGCCATGTGAGAGAGGGATTTTAGGGGGTTTACAGGAGCAAATCACGCACGACTTGGGGGCACACGTTCTGAGATTATAAAAAAAAAAAAAAAAGTCCTGTCCGACCCCCTTCAGGAATGTGGAAACCAGGATAATAAGGGTTTAAGTTCCAGGCCTGTCGGGGCTCGCAGGAGGACCTGATGTCATTTTTTTTTGGGTGTTTTTGCGGATGAATTTCGAGCAGCAGAGTCCGTGTTCAGGCCTGCGGGGGCGACGGCGGGCTGGCGGCCAGGTCGTGCAGCTTCCTGATGTGTTTCTTCAGGTCAAAGTTCCTGCAGAAGCCCTTCCCGCAGGTGGGGCAGGTGAAGGGCTTCTTGTCGTTGTGCGTGTGCATGTGGAAGGTGAGGTTGTACACCTGGTGGAACGCCTTGCTGCAGATGGAGCACTTGAACTGCTTCTCCCCCGCTGTGCGTCAGCTTGTGGTTCTTGTAGTTTCCTGCAGGACGACAGAGTTACGAGGAGTCAGAAGACACAACTCACAGTTTGAAAGCAGAATCATTAATGACACACTTGTACATTAAGGCACGACTTTTGGCTGCTTTTCCTCTAAAGCAACGTCTTGTCAGAGGTTGTAACGCTTCAGATAAAACTTAACATTAAAGTAATCGAAGCCCTTAGTGTGCAAAACATCATGCGGCACATTGTCAGGAATGACCTCGATGATGTGCAGCACAGTGCGGCAAACTGTCTGCACGTGCTAAAATGATGGCATGCAAATTTCCAATGTGCATGAAAAATAAATCAATTCAATTTCAATTTTTATTTGTATAACGTCAACTCATAACAAGTGTTATCTCGAGACACTTTACAAAAGAGCAGGTAAAAGACCTTACTTATTGTTACAAAGACCCGGCCTATCCATCATGAGCACTTTAGCAAAGCAGCAAAAGTTACAGTGGTAAGAAAAAACTGCCTTATTAAAAGGCAGAAATCTTCGGCTGGATCCCCGGCTCATGACAAAACAACCTTCACAGGCCTAGACTGTGCCGGGCTTGGAAAGGGATAGGGGGAGAAAATGTCAAAACAGAGATTTTTAGGGCACTCCACTTGAAATGACTCAGTCATTGTGCATTACAGTAAAGCTTTAAACACGCTGTTGGAAGAATGAAATCATGACGGTATTTATCTTGTTTTTGGAAACATAGGATGTCTCTTTGTGTTATAATGACTGTGAACATGTGAGCTGCAGTGATTTGATCCTTCTGATTGATAGAAAGATACTCCTTCAGATTTTTGGGCATCCCTCTCCTGGAGCGTGAACATCAGAGAGTTCCAGGAGGACTATGTCCACAAGAACTCGTATCAACTTCTACAGAGCGATCATTGAAAGTGTTCTAACAGGGAGCAAACATCAGCACACTGAATGTCCTTTAAATTGTCTTTATCTGGGTAAGAGCAGCAAAACAGCGGATGCGTTTCAGCACGAGGCCCTCATCAGCGTTGCAGACAACAAGCGGAAAAACGCCCCTTATGTACCGGAAAAGTGTCAGTAAAGGTTAAAGGTTAATTTCACACACAAAACAGGAGGCTCTGTGTCTCCTTCTTTGTCTCTCTCTCTGCTTCTAAAAGTCATTGGATCACCGCTGACAGGTACAGGACATTTACACCGTCACCACCCGCTGCAAGAGGAAAGCATCACGCATCCTGCAGGACTCTACCCATCCCGACACGCGGTCTTAACCCCTGAGCGTCCTTCAAAAAAACGGTTACAATGCATCGGTGCAAGAACCAAACGCCCACAGTTTTTATCTCCCAGGAAATGAGACTATACTGAACAGCATCACTGTGGCTCTGATTTTTTTTTATTAATTTACAATTGATATTTAAATTAATCTGTTAATGCAGGAAATGGCTCTGTCACAGCAGCTGCAATCACAGCCAAGATATTAAATAAAAACACTGGACAATGAACAAAACATGAAATATACTAAAATCTGTTTTTAAAAACAGATTATTATTTACAAATTATCAATTTAGATATTTCAAAAATGGGATGAACAAATTCAGTGCACAAAGGCATACTGTCTTTCTTTCTTTGTCAGTGAAGTCTCTCAGCTTCATCAACTTCTTATGACTTCTTTTTTTCTTTTTTTTTTTTTCCAACTCGTGCTAAAACAGCGTCCGATAATTCTGCATATTTAGATCTCAGTTAGGTTAATTGTCCCCTGCTGCTATGGAAACGTTCAAATGGTGATTAATGACCTGGTGATGTGAAGATCTGTGAACATGGACAGGTCACATTATGTTGTCTTTCCCCCTCGTGGATTTTCAAATTAAAGCAAAGAATGGAGCTGAATTTAAAACTGCATCGTTAAAATAATTTGAATAGAGTGTCAAAATAAGATGATCATGAAGTGAAAAGCATTGATTTCACTGTAAACACATTTCATAATCATTATAATTAAACGATATAAATGTATAATAACAGGTGCCATTCAGAAGTGTTTTGGGCTGATTGGAGAGTATTATATGCTAATGTGACGGCGATGATGCCTTCAAAATAAAAGCACAGAAACTCGATCAGGTCTTCCTCCCTTTGCTTAAAACAAAACATTGGCTATAAAACAAAAATAACGACGTGTTTCTGGTCTCCCCCCCACCTCACCTTTCTGATGAAATCCTTTCCCGCAGAACTCGCACACGAACGGTTTGTATCCCGCGTGGATGCGCGTGTGCGTGTTGAGCGTGGAGCTGCGGTTGAAGGCTTTCCCGCACTGGTTACACTTGTGCGGTTTTTCCTGAAAGATTAAATAAAAAATGTTATCACGGTGCAAAAATAAAATGAAATACACATCGGACAGAAATAATATTAACTAGCTAAGAGTCCAAAGTGATGCAACCAGGAGACGATCTGCAGCCTCCATCTTTCATGTCTGAACTTAGAGTATTATATTAAAGCAGGCTTCCCCAACTTTAGGGTCCAGACCCCACGCGGGGGGTCGCATGGAAATCAAAGGGGGTCCCCTGACATGTCTAATTATTGATTTATAAAAAACATAATGTAGCAACAGTCTGGATGTGCTCTAAAATTAAAGTTCGCTTGTAACGCAGTAGAAAAAACGATCACATGATTGATGATAGAATCCTTTTTAGCAATAAGCTAAATGTGCTAATGTGTTTTGGATGTATGGGGTCCCAAGAGTTTTGTGAAGTCAAAGTGGGGTCACGAGCAGATTATAAATTAAAGCATATTTTCAGCAACAAGGTGACTTCTCACGCACACGGGACACCAGAAACATCCAGACAAGAGAGAAAAAGAGACATAGAAAACCACTGAAACAAACAGGTAACAACCACAGAGGAGTTTAAATAAGAAAATATATTTATGAAAATATGAAATACAGAAATATGACGTAATGATCATTATAATATTTATATTAAAACATAATCAGAAACTGATTTTAGATTTTCTGCCGAATTAAAAAAAAAAACAGTTTAATTCTTCTGCAGGAATAAAAAGGTGTTAAATGAGCGTCTCGGTGACGCCACAGCAGGAGGAGCTCGAGCACAACAAACAGGCTGAGCAGCGCGCGAGGAGCACCCCACACACACACACACACACACACACACATACAAACTCTCAACCAATCAGAGCGCAACAAACCATAGGTCCTCTAAATTAATATTCATATTAATCAACTCGACAGTGAGGACAGCTCAACAATGATTATAAAGTTGAAATGATTATTTTGACCTTCCTGATAAATGGACCTTTTTTTTTAATAATGAGCAGTAAGTAAGAATCATTTGATCTTTGAGCTTTAATTAAAAAAACAGTTTGATGTTTTTAAATTGGAGACACGGGATGGTCTGCAGGAGTCCTTGTATTACTGAACACACATCAACATTCTGATTAGTTAAAAGCCCCGCCCACAACTAATGAAAATAAAACGTGATTGAAACGCTCTACTGTCATGTCATTGATTTGGTTGACAGTTCTTTAAAAACGCACGTGAGAAATTAGATATCAAAGTTAGTCATGTTTTTTTGTGCTTACTTAAGACCTGTTTACATCCTGAGGAATCACAACTTTAATTATTATATATTCATATTTGTTGGTAATTAGTTCTGCTTATATTTCTATTTTATTCTATATTTATATACTTCATAAAATATTTGAGAGTAACTGTTACGACAACATTTCCCCCGGGATTAATAAAGTATTTCTGATTCAGATGGTAACATTTTCATTTGAATATGGGTTTGAAATCGTTCAAGACATTTCAATTTAGGTTTAATATTATTTGTTCTAATTTTAGTGAATCACAAGATGCAAGAAGAATAATAGAATAGAAGAGTGTGTGCGTGTGTGTGTGTGTGTGTACGCGCGCGCGTGTGCGTGTTACCTGAGTGTGGATGATCTTGTGTCTGCACAGTGTGCTCGCCTGTCGGAATCCTTTCCCGCAAACTTTACACACAAACGGTCGCGCGCCTGTGTGCACGGGCATGTGGCGGGTCAGGTTGTAGTGCGCGTTAAACACCTGAGAGAGAGAGAGAGATGACAATAATCCTTTAAATACATCGGCCTATTAAAATGTAAAATGTGTTTAAAAAAAAAAACTTGTCATACAAAACATAAACTTGTCATACAAAACAATGACAAAATGTCAATTTCAAATTAAAAGCCCGTAATTATCAGGATTATATGTCCCCGTTATGGGATAATCGGGGGGTTGTTTCCATTAAAGCCAGCAAGAATAAAATAAAGAGGGAAATAAAAATGACATCGTGCTCTCTTTGATTCTCTGATTGAGTCTAATTAAAGGTCACGTGGACAGGGAGCATTAAAAGGTCTTTAATGAGGTTTTAATTGACGTTTAATTTCAAAGTAAACCTGCATGGACAACAGTCACGAGACGAAACACGACATGCTTGTGGTTTTAATTCCAGTTTGTATTAATAAGTTATAAATGAGGAATTTTGATGTATTTTTTTGTCAGAATATTTATTTTTAAGTGAAGCTGGCTTTATCTTTTAATTTATTTATTTTTACCGAGATGACTTTCTGTGTTGGAGTGTTGCTTAAAATCGGAAAACTAAAATATTTCAGTGAACAAGAGGACTTTAAATGTTGACCCTACATTTTTTTATTTCATTTTAATCTAGACACATTAGATTAGATTAAATATTAATTGCCGTTTGCACAGGTAGCCTATTTCTCCCTGAGTCAGCTCTAAGTACAAGTTAAACGTATATACATAAAAAGAATAGCAATATAAAAATGAGAATGTAGATATAAATAATAATTATGAACTAAATCGTACAAAACTATACACTCTTGAATAATAATTTCTAAAAATAAATCTCATTTTTTCACTGCGAACTCTGATCTGATTCTCTCAATAAATCTGTGTTTTTATCATCATTATAAAATCAATCTTAACACTCATAAGACTCTTTTTCTTTTCATTTGTAGCCTACTTTTGATTTCTATTTATTCTGAATTAATTCTACATTTAAGGATGAAGCTGTGTGGCTTAAATTCATGAAATATGTTTTGATATTTAGCGTCCTTATGTCTTCATGTTGCCTCGATATTTGAATTGTAATTTCTTTGCAAATAATAAATGAATAATTAAAATAATTGATGTCGCTGCACTTACTGAAGCTTTCAGATGAATTCCCTCAACTCATGCGGGAGATAAAAGTCATTTTAATGGTTTTAATTTGATTATTCGCGAGTTTAATGAGCCTACAGCAGATTCTGATCAAAACATATAAGTCTGCTTTCCTTTCTTTTTCTCTGTCTCTGTGTTTTTAAAATGAAAACATTGTGACTGAAAACGGTCAGAATAAATCAGATTTTTAGCTGTTTTAATTAATTAAAAATCTCTCCAAAGATTCTGGATCTCTATAGATCCGCAGGACTTCCAGAGATCTTGAAAACATGAAAGCTGCTCCTCTCACCTTTCCGCAGACCTCGCAGGTGAACACTTTGGGTTTGTTGCCCGGGCACGAGCCGCCGAGCCGGGCTGCAGCAGCCGCGGAGCTCTTGAAGATCTTGTCTGTGAGGATCTGGTCCCGCTCCTTCATGAAGTGCTGGATCTGACTTTGAGACACCGGAAACCGCTCCCCGGCCTGCTGCACGCCCGGTTTGTTCTTCTCCGCCATGAAGGCTTTGTGTCGCGCGCTCAGCAGGTACGAGGCCATGGGGTGCAGGTTCACCAGGCCGCCGGGCGGAGGGCACGCGCCGCCGTCACCGCTGCAGTTCAGGTAACACACGGTGCCCATGGTAGCGGGAAACGAGGACTGGTTGACCACGCGGGGTCTGAACAGTTTATACTGGCCGCTCTGGTTCCCCGAGTCCTCCTGCTGGTTCTTATAGTTCAGCCCGAAACCCAGAAAGTCCGCGGGCGCGCCGAGAGAGGACGAGTCCAGGTGGCCCGGATCCAGCCCGGTGATGCTGAGCCGGTGGCCCGACTCGTACCCGAGCGGCAAAAGCGGGATCATACAGTGCAGCGAGGACGGGCACACGTCGGGTTTCCCCACGGGAGCGGACTGGAACCAGCTGGGGAGCGGTATCGACTTGGGCTCGGGCGTCCTGGCCATAATCCGGTCGATGGAGAAAGCGAGAGGCTTGCTGCTCCCGCTGCCGCCGGAGGTGAGCATGTCGGAGCCCGCGGGCTGGCTCCCGGAAGCCGGGGGGGAGCTGAGGATCCCCGCTGGGCGGCGGAGAGGACCGTCCATCAGCTCCGCATCAACAACAACGAGGAGCTGCTGGAGGGAAGCCGGGGGTCGGAGCTGCTCCTCACCGGCCCGCAGGAAAGGGCATCATCTGCCGGGGAACCCCCCCACCGAATCTCCGGCCCCGTTCCCCCGCTTATTGACGACAAATCAGGGCGGCCGTGACTCGCTCGATAACGGCGTGCGGAGAGCCGAGACCTGCCGATCGTTACCGTCCAGGAAGGAGAGCGGAAAAGTAGATAATTTGTTCAATCTTCCTCTGTCGATTCTCTGCACTTGTCGCCGCTGGAGGAGGAGGAGGAGAGGAGGAGGAGGAGGTCGTCCCTCACTGGGCAGGACTCCTGGTCAACTGGAAGGTGTTTGGTAAATCCCAGGTCTCCTTGTGGTTTCTCGTGACATCATGTTTTTGTTTTTTTCTAATCGCAGGAGGAAGACGCGCAAATAGCCGCGGGGTCAGGAGCTGTCAGAGTTTCACATCAGATTTGGACGCTCCTGAGAGCCAGCCCTTTTTACGCACGCCTCACAGAAGAAGGAGCTGTCATGAGGCTGAACTTGAGACAGAAAACGGATCGAGATATTGAACAAGAAATGGATTTCCAGTCACCGATCTCAGCCTGGGTGGGCTCTGGCTCTTTGAATCTCACACTTTGACTCCAGTGCCTTTTTTTTTGCTTTTCTTTTCTTTTCTTGAACTCAGTACATTTTTCGATGCCAAAAAAAAAAAGACTTTCCTACACAGACTCAGATCAATCTCCGCTGAAGAAGACACCTGAGAAATGAGAAATAACCCGCGCGCTCTCGTTTTAACAAGCTCGTGTCCTTTTTTGGGGGGCGATATCACAGGAATCAGACTTTAATAGCTCGATGGACAGAAGCGCAAATTCTTCAGGATGAATCAGTGAGACTAAAGGTGTAGGGAATCATTCATCCTGTCAGACATGAAGCTCAGGCTGAGTGGGTTTGATGCTGAATTTCTCCTTCAGAGGTTTGAACAAAAGATGGAGATAAAAGCAGAGAAGGCCTGAAGAGCGACGGGCGCGCGGCACAAAACAAACAGAGACATTTTGTGTGTGTGTTTAGACTGAATCCTAAACTCTCTTTTTTTTAAATGCATTTCTCAAATTTACGTACAAACATTTCTTTATGGGAAAAATGCGTTTTCTTTTTTGTGAACATTATAAACGTGTTTTTTTTAAACCTGCAACTGATAAAAATGATTATTTTTATTTCCTCTGACAGCGAAACAATAAAAATATTTTTTTTCTTAACCCTCATGGCATCAGATTAATTTAACTAAAATGTTAACTCATGAAGGACAAAAATGACCACTTGAGGATATTTTCATAAAAAAACATTAGCATTATGTAATCAAACTGGCATTTAAAGGGTTAAATTCCTCAAAATGATTGAATGTTTGGTAATTTTGATCAGGGCTGAAGATGTTTAAGAGATTTATGCAGAAAAAAAAAACATGAATCTGTTCTATTTTTACAGCAGTTTTTTGGAAGTGGACAGTTTTGTCCTTAATGACTTAAAAGGGTAGTAAAAAAAATTTGTCAGGAGAGAGACTTTCTTATAAAAAATTGTGCCATATGCACTAACAGCCAAAATGATGGACATCAACATCCCTAATGATGCACGAGGGTTAATGGATAAAACAAGAGCATTTAAAGAGTAACTAAACCCTAAAACCACTATTTTCAACTATAAACCTCTGTATTTCAGTATTAAGTAGTGTTATGGATCAATTCAAGTCCAAATCTCGACATCCTTAAATCTAAAAAAAAATAACAACACTAATTAATGAAAAAAAAGATCAAACGAATTATTTTGACTGCGAAGAAAACGCGAAATCTGAAGCTACCGTAATGTTCATAATAGACCGAAGGCCGCGAGCTCGTACGAGAAAAACGTGCAGAAAAAAACCCTTCACCTAAAAAAATTAATAAATCTAATTATTTAAGTAAAACATAAATATTAAATGTTGCAGCTGATTCATAAAGAATATTTTTTCCCGCCCTTTGGTGTATTTTCTTTTAAAAGGACATTTTTCGCTTCTGTAATATTTTCTGTCATCATTCGTATTTTTTTTAAAATATTCTGATAGTGTGGTAAATGTTTGTTATTTTGCCCTTATGTATATATAAATATAAATGTAGTGTTTTATATAAACTATGAGGTTTAATGTTACTGAATGTTGAATCTCTGTCAAGGCAGAGGCCTAAAAACTCCCGAGATGACACACACTGTAGAGCTCTGTGTGACGTCACTGCACGTATACACCTACGCTTCACAGCGCAGGAGACGTAGAGGTGTGGCACTTTTTTTTTTGTGGCACATATGTTTTTATTTTAATCCTTTGCTAATTGATTTTGCACCAAAACACCACCGAGGCAAATTCCTTACATGTGTAAAATGAACCTGGCAATAAAAACCGATTCACAGTTTTAGTTACAAGACTTTGGGCAGTAGCTCAGTCTGTAGGGACTTGGGTTGGGAGGCGGGTGTTTGTTTATTTGTAACTAATGTTTCATATCGTGTTTGTCTTTGTAAACTGCTACTGGATGCTTTGAATTTCACCTCTGGATTAATAAAGTATCTATTTATATTCAAGACTGTATGAATCATGCTTCGGTCAATTCTGGATATATATATATATATATACATATTTATCTTCTTTATATTTGTTAGGGTTTATTTACTGTGTATTTATTATGATATTGGTTTTATTTCTCTTAGCATCTCTTTTAATTATCTTTGAATGTTTTTCTTGTTTACTTCATTTTAGCTTATTCCCTCCTCTTATTTTATTATTATTTATTTATTTTTCACTTTTTTTCTTTCACATTTCTCTTATCTTGAATTCTAATTTTATTGTTTTCATCTCTTCTTAATGCGCTCATTTATCTTCCCTTTTTAGTTTTTTATTCGTTTCATTTCATCAATTATTCTACACCAGTCTCCTGAAGTCAGAGCCGCTGGATTCAGCCACTTTTCTTGTGATTGATTTCTTCTTTGCAGCAGCTTTGGCTCACTCCTCTTATTCAGATGAGGCCCGAGTAGAGACCCTCAAAGTTAAGAGGAATATGAGTCATAAATACCTTAACTCATGTTTAATGAATATCATTCCAATAAAAGCTCAGTTTAGAACAGTTCCAAAATATCTGAAAATCATCTGATTCAGTTGAGCCACACCATCTCCAACACATCCTACTTATCACCCTACATTTGTTGTCTTAAAGAGGACATATTCTTCTCCACCTTTTCAAACTGTCCCCTGTACTCTAAATGAAACATCTGTGCTTTGGTCAAAATATAACATGAATCAAGCACCAGAGGAGGTTTGTGAGCCTGTATAAACCAGCTCTCTCAGAACGCTCCGTATTGGTGTGTGTGTCTCTTTAAATGCAATGACCCCCCCCCCCCGTAGACATCACTCCTTCGCTAGCGAGAATAAAAATGGCTGACCTGTACAAAAGTTTTGTTCTAGGCTGGGGGTGGAGATACCAGGGGAGGGGAGGGGATTTTCTTTTTACCAGAATCCCACTGTGACATCACAAGGAGAGCAAATTTGAAACGGAGCATTTTTCGCTGTGTTGTAAGACTTATGCAGACAAGAAACAAAGGACTGGATGGGTTTATTTCACATTTTGTGGGTCAGTAGACACTCAGGTTACCCAAATAAATGTTCAAAAACACAGTGAAAGTGGATTTGTCATAATATGTCCCCTTTAAAATAAAATAAAAATTCAATCCCTGGAGCGAGCTGCAAATATCATCCCTTGCCTCTGCTGAGAGCCTCACTCCTGCTTCTTTTTCCCACTTCTCTTTAATATATAAGGTGTTGTCACTTTTTGCATTAAGGAGGCCTTTTAAAAAAAATGGAAATAGATTACTTGGCATTAAACTGAAGGCAGAATTCAAGGTTTTATAAAACTCATCTTTTCCCGTTATAAACCTTTACATTGTAGACTGGTTGAAATAATATTGCAACTGAAGGTATCTGAAAAAGTCCATCTGCTCAAGGCCGTGTTGGTCATGAAGATTTGGAAAACTTTGTAACACACATTTATTTGTGAATTAGAGATTTGTTGTTCGACCTTTTTTATTCACTTTTCTAGTGATTGATTTCTTACTTGCAGCTAAAAGAGCCTGTAGCAGAGTTGGATCACTCCTCTTATTCAGACGCAGGATGTGGCCCGAGTAGAAACCCTTAATGTGCACGGGAATTAAATCTAATTTCTTCTTCTTGTTTTTTGTCTTTGCTGTAATTTGGTTTAAGGTTGCAGAATGGTCACAGCATGAAGGTGTGATTAAGGCTGTATTATTATTATCACACTAAAGGAGAAAAATACTAGCAGTTCTAATAGTGTGTCTTGCAGGACTCAGGCTTCTTTTGTCGTTTGTAGGAAAAAGGCTTAATGCTCATTTGAATGAGGAAGGAAAAGAAGCTGCAGCTGATGGACGGCAGCCAGCAAACACTCTCCAAGAGACAGAAACACTTAATTAAAAAAAAAACCTTTAGAGTAAAGGCAGAGTGGGGAAACGATCATTTAAAAGTGAAGAACTAAACCAACAATGGAGAGAGGTTAGAACGCAGAAAGGTTTACAGACCGATGCAGAGCTGGCTAAACACTGAAGCTTCAGTGTCTACCACATGGCAACCTGCATGAGCATCGACTCTGGAGAGGAGGGGACGGGGGGAGACAGCTCTCTACAATGTTTTGAATTTGGACTGCAGTACCCATTTTAAACACTAGGTGTCAGAGTTACATACTGCTCCTTTAAGTCAAAGTACACTTGAGTGAAACATACTCACCTTTGGAACTTTCCATCTCAGCTCTTTGGATTCCCATTTTCTCTTTATTGTTCCTGTAAATAAGTCCTTTAAATGCAAGGTTGGTCTTTTAAAAAAAAAAAAACTTGCAGGAAAGGAGCCACAGGTTGGATTTGAACCTGGGCTGCCCACTTGGAGGACTCCAGCATCCACACATCGAGTGCACACATTGAACACCAGGCTACTGCTGCCCCCTCACTTCTCTCTTTAGGTTATTTCTTTGTACAATGGTGGTGGAAGAAGGACTTGGATGTTTTTCTGAAGTGAAAATAGTAATGACATAGTTCTGCATTTCAACTATACTAGCCGACCGAAAGGCTTTTAGAGTTAATTTGGTCCATTTAGAAATGTTTAATTCATGAGTCTTCAAGGTCCTGAAATGTCTTATATGTGTAGTTTTTTATGCCTTTTTTCGATTCAAGGTAAGCAGTTCTGGTAAGAGAAAAATAAAGTTAAACAGATTTTAAGTGACTGTGAGGGTCTTTGATTTATAACAATAAATGTATTATTTCAGTTTATAATCCCTTTAAAGTCGATCTCATAGTAGTGAAATAAATTAAGTTCATACGTATATATTATCTTCTAAAATGTGGTGGAGTAGTTGTTTAAAAAATTGACGTACTACTAGAAAACTGAAAGGAACAGTGTGTGGGATTTAGTGACCCCCTAGTGTTGATGTAAGAGATTGCAACCATCTAGAACTCATTCCCCAAAACCTAAACTTATACAAGCCTGACTGAGAGAGTACAGTGCCTGCAAAGAGAAAGAAAATAAAACACTTGTATTGTTGTATTAAAGGATCAATCAGTAAGATGTGTAGTGAGTGAAATGTTAAAGTGACCTTACTATATGATCAGACATTAAGGAAACATGCTATGTTGAAGTGCTGGCTTCTCTGACAACAATGCAGCAGCCAGTATGTCCTCCTTCTAACTTTAGATTCTGGTCCTGAATGCTCTGGATTTGTTTGGACCAGAGAAGGTAGGCTGTTTTAAGGCAGAGTCACATACTGCTCTTTTACATTTCTGACAATAATTAAAAACTAGTGGATTGTGGTACTAAAGTGTCTTGAATGTAAAAAAATGAAGAATATTTCAAATAATGAAATAATGACTCGCTGAGAACACAGATGCTTTAAAAACACTTTTATTAATGACACTGAGATAAGACACCTGAACAAAACAGGTGCACGATAAGACAATATAAATATACTTCTTCATATACGTCGGGGGGGGGGGGGGCTTTTTCATTTTCAGGCGCTTCAAACAAACAGCAGGTTGTTGCACACGGTCGGTCGAGGCTTACACTGAAGTTACAGAGTTTTTTTTTCTCAACGACGACACAAACGGACGGTGGCGACTGAAAGAACGGACAGCAGCGATGAGATGCTACCTTCCTCCGCTCACAGCTGATCAGATTTAATCAAGGATTCAAAAACTGATCCACGCTCTCTGAGAACAGTCAGTGTTTAACAAAAACAAACAAGTCCGGACTTTTCCAGTCAGGTTGGCACGTTTCTAAAACTTTGATCGATGTTGGATATGATGCACATCAGGCAGTACGACCATATCACTCCACAGCTCAGATTTATTCTTCACAACATTAAATATCACAATGAACGGCTTCAGTTTGTAGTCATGTTTCGGCACAATTATTCTCCAAACTGGCAGTTTTTGTAAACTTTGAAAGAGGTTCAAGTGGTGGAACTTTGATTTCTGTAGTCCTGTGTCCAGTTTTGAAGAATCCTTTTGGTTGCTCTTATGTTTTAAATTGGCCGTCCAGAAAAGAAACATTTCATTTTGAGGCTAAGCCAATCGTTAGCAGTTGAAACATTTTGAGCTTTTAAGACTCAGGTGAGTAAACTACAGCAGTGCAACAATATTTTTATGATGTTAGCTTGGAGTTGTAAGAGTTCCTCTGCAGATATGAGACCAAAAACTTAAATAATTTAGCTTAGTGATTCTCAACTGGTGGGTAGGGACCCCAAAGGTGGGTCAAGGAGCTATTTTTAGTGGGTCGGGAGGATGTGTCCAGAAAAAAACTTGGTGTCAAACAATTTGTCAAGTGCTTTTTTTAAACATGTTTTTGTTTTGTTCAGTTTCTTGCTTCCTTCAGATGTTTTGCATCGTCTGAGCTACAAAATATTTCACGGAAGCTGCAAAGAACTGCACAATTTAGCATTTAATAAATCTGATTGGTTGAAAAATATCACAAATTTGGGTCCCTGTTTTTCAGGGAGGAGTTGGTGTTGGTGGGCTAGACAAATTGAGAACCACTGATTTAGCTGTTAAGGACTTCCAGGTTTCGTTATAATTAATTAATTTATTATGGACTGTTTTGAAAAGATAGAGGACATGACAGCTCCCTCAAAGTGAAGCCAAAACATCACACTTTTGCACGATAGGTACACATGTCGTCCATCTTTATATGCAGCCAATACATTTAACAATCACTTCTTTTGATACCTTTAAAACTAATTGAAAGTCTGATTGATAAATGAAACATGGAGGGCAAGAAACTCAAACAGGTTTGGAATTAAAAACACTCCAGGGTAAGACAAACTTAATAAGAAAGGACAAAGGACTGGTAAAAGATTCATGTCCTTTTTTAAAGATGGAGTCAGCAGCTTTCAGCTTCAAAATAAAATACAGTCTTCTCCTAAAGTAAAGCTGCTCCATTGTCAATTCTGGGCCTCCATACATGTGTGGTGGTGACTGTGTCTGCAGAGACCCTGTCCTCTGACTGGATTTTACTGTTCTGTTTTTTTCTGGTTGACTCGGGACGTTTCTGGGCGGGGAGCTGCCTTACGAGAAACCTTACAATTCCAAACTTCCTTTCAGATAAAAATAAACCTCTTCAGATTATTTCGCTGCAGAAAAACGAGATGCATCAATTTGGCCTGGACCGGGGGGGTTTGAAGCTGCCAGAGACATTTTTTGGGGTTTCGAACAACACGCCACAACAAAACAGGAAAGAGCTGCACTAACGACCATCGCTGAGCTCTACTGTACAAAGTGACATCAATTAAAGTATGGCTGCTCGTGGAGGAGGGGGCGTAGGCGGGGCTTCCTGTCCTGCAGGTGAGAGAGGGAGACCGAGGTTTGTCTCAGCACCGTACAGAGAGTCCTTCAGAAGCCTCGCCTCGACGTCCCGTTTGAAGTACATTCTCACTAGTGTGTGTGTGTGTGTGTTCACCGCAACACATATGTACAGCAGTGTCCGGGTAATGAGCGTGGGACGGGGAGGGGAGGTTACTACCTGAGTGTTCACCCTTACCTGATCGGGACCTTTAGTCAGGATAAATGACAGTTACTACTACTCCGAGTGTAGTTAAGAACTCTGTGTTTTCTGTGTTTATTAAAAGTCTCTGGAAGCAAGAAGAGAAAGCGTGAACAACATGTAGCCACGATTGGTGTGTTGAAGTCTTTTTCGATGTGTTTATTAAATAAAAACAAATCTATTAAAAACAAATCTGCTTGCTAACCTGTAACATAGAACTGCTTCTGTGATTTGTCTGTCAAAGCACTTTAAAATGTGTCATGTAAATAAAGGTATTATTATCTGCAGACCTGTAGAACATTTGCATTTCCTGTCCCCGCTAAACGCTGTGCAGCACGTTTGTATACTGAGCAGCGGGTCATCGATCCTCAGACTGAAACATCTGACTTCAGCGAACACTTTGATCGAGTGAAACGAGGATTTCAGTCGAGGAAATATATCCACAACATGCCTCACTAGCGACCATTAGCTTAGCTTTGCACGTTGATGAAGAAATGGCTATTTTGCACAGCAGCAATCTGTAAACGTTGATTTATTGTCTGTAGACGGTTTGTAGTTTATGTTTTCTCTTGAGAAAGAAACAACTCAGCGGGAGGAAACGTCTCTGACTGTACTAAAGGTCCGATCCGTTCTCTAAGACGATACTCAGGTAGTAACCCGGTACAGGAAGGTAAGATGTGTGTGTTCAATCGTCGTCCTCATCGCTGTCTCTCATGCTGATTCCCTGCAGGCCGTCGCCCGCTTTGACCGCCGCCGTGGCTTCCTCCACCGTTAGGCGGTTGTAGACGGTCTCGTAGCTCTTGTTGTTCAGCGTGCCGTCCAGGACGCCCTGCAGCCTGAAGTCACGGAAGGTCTTCTGTTGAATGGGATGATGGGGGGGTTGGAGGGGGTGGAGGTAGGTAAATGGAGAAGGGAGGGAAAAACAGAGAGCGTCTTAGGAATGCAGCGAGGAGTGGGGAGAGGAGGAGGAGGAGGAGACGACGGCTGCCGTTTGGACAAAAGCCTGAAGACTGAGGCTCAAGGACGAGTCTTTTATGTGTCGGACTGGGAAGGCAGACTGAGGCACGCAAGGGTTTTTTTTTTACCTTCAGTCACAAGCCATTATCACTCATTGTCTTGCTGCTTTCAAGTTAAACTGGCACGTCTCTCTGTACATTAGCAAACTGTGAAAAGACAAAAGCGGCGAGCAGCAGCAGCAGCGCACAGTTGAGCAGTTTTTTTTTCTGTCTCACCGCCTCCTCATACGGCTGATGCTGCCTTCAAGGACACTTCAGCCCCGCTTGATTGCCTTTAGCGTTTTCTTCTTTTCCTTCAACTACAGGTCTGACTGTTTTTAACATGAATAAGCTTCGATTTGAGGAGCTTTTAAAAAAAAAAAAAAAGATCACTTTATCGGGTCCGAGACTCGCAGTCTTCTCTGCAGCTCTTTTCAAACAGCAGTGAATCTCTACACCTAATCATTTCGGCCGATGTTTTCTAGCTGATTTTTGAAATGGTTTGCTCACCTTTACAATCTTGATGAGTGTTTTCAGTTGGTACATGTGAAGCTGCAGGTCCAGTCTGTCCGTCAGCCAAATGCACACTGCCTTCGTGGAGCACATGTACCATTGCTGAAAAACAGAAAAAGTCAAATGATTACCCAAACTGTGAAAAACATACAGAAGAGTTTACAGACCGACCTCCTGCTTCCTCTCAGACGCTCCTTTAACACCATATTGTCACAGTTTGAATATGCAATGAAGACTTAAGAGTCAAGGTTTTTTTTTTGACTCTGAAGTGAAGCACATTTTTGTGCCAAATTGTCTTGGGTGGACGCCAATCGTACAACTCGCCTGTTTTCCACAGCTGAAGGTTTTTCTTAGACACTTGCCTCATTTTCAGTTTCAAAAGGCTTTCAAGGCTCAAAAAGCAAAAAGACCCTCCCGACACACTGAGCGTATCCGAGTAATATTTAAACCAAACTAAAATTCATAAAAACAAGAATCTTTACAAAAAAATGGTTTATTGCACTCTGGGCGGGTCGCTGAACACTTCTTTTTTTTAATGCCTTTATTTTAGAGAGAGGACTGTGGATTGGGTCAGGAACTGGAGAGAGAGAGAGAGAGAGAGAGAGAGAGAGGGTGGGGAACAACAAGCGGGAAAGGAGCCACATGTCGGGTTCGAACCTGGGCCGTCCGCTGTCGAGGACTTGAGCCTCTGTACAAGTGCCACCTTGCTGCACTCTTTTAAAGATCAAATGTAAGCCTTATAAAAACCTGAACAACAACAATTAATGACATTTTGTATCTACTTTTTTCCTGGTTTCATTTGGCTTTGATTCCCATCGTTCAAACGTCATCACCTGAAGAAGACGTCTGGTCAACACATTGTGATGAATTAAAACGTCTTGTGGCATTTGAGCGAGTGTGCGGGCCGATCTTGTTCCTCAGTCAGCTGATTTTGCACTGCCCTGTCCCTTCGTGATCAGCGTAGAACTACCTCCATTATCCCACGTTTAAAAGCTTTTCTACTAATCTCGTAAGTCGCCTTTCTGCCCCCTGCTGATCATTCCCTGTGCTCTTCATCTCAATGCCAAATTTCCTCTAACTTGCATTTCCCCATCTTCTTCTCTCTGGTTGGCTGAAGACATTTTAGGTTGCAGTAAACCTTTTCTGAATAAGAAAATATTTGAGTTAAAAAAAAAACCCTGAGCAGCATATTCAAAGTCAGCGCAGCATTTTCCCCTCCTGTACTATCCTTAAAAAGAACATAACTAAAAACATTGTGTTAACAGTGTTGCTCTGCCGCTCTCTGAGCAAGGACGTTTCCCAGTCATCATTTCTGTGCTGATAACCGCCAGAGGAGTTCAGATGATCGCCGCTTGCATGCTGACAGATTCTGAAACGCTGCTGACACCAAACATGGGGGCAGAGGATGCACGGCAGACTCAAAGAGGGTAAAACATTTTCTTATTCAAAAGGCACCAATTTACTGCAGAACTCCTGAATGCTGCATGTGAAAAAAGGGAAGGGTTCATGGCTCTGCTCTGACCTCAGAGGAAGAAAAAAATAAAATCCGGTTTCTGTCTTTGAAAGATTCATTAAACGCTCTTCCTTCACACCTTCGTCCACCAGGCCACAGCTGCAGGGAAATCAAACGCACCTTTTCACATCTGCAGAGCGATTCCTCACTTACAAGCAGAATGTGAAATGCACACATCGGGTGGTTTTATTCAGTTACCAGTCAAACAAGAATGCTCGGGGAAATTGCTCTGACACAGTAATGACCCGTAATATTCAGATCCGCTAACAGCCGTCAGCAGACTTAATTTCACACTGACAAGAACTGTAATTACCCGCCAATTTACGAGAGAAAAACAGTCCAAAGGTTATTTCATGCACTTGACAAAAGCTAAAACACATCCGTGATCATTCGAGGGTCACGCAAATATTTGATTTCATCTATTGTGGGATTGAACTTGTAATTATGCTGGAGTAATGAGGCAGTTTTTCAGCCACATCTAAATGGAAGACAATGCATGGTGAGTTACAAACAAGAAGTCAAGATTCATTTATTTTTATTCTCTGTGCTCTCTCCTTATGATCTGGAAAGTCAACAGAGCTCCACAAACCAGCATCTTTTATAAAAGTTTTCTATAAAGAGAACAAAATCTTTTTTTTTTAAAGATTTATTTTGGGCTTTTCCTGCCTTTAATGCAGAGGGAGGACAGTGGATAGAGTTCGAAACCAGGGAGAGAGAGTGGGGAATGACATGCGGAAAGGGGCCATGGGTGGAAGCGAACCCGGGCCTACCGCTTGAGATGAGAGTCTCAATACATGGGATGCGCGCCCTAACCATTGCGCCATCAGCGCGCCCCAAAGAGAACAGAATCTAACCTAAATAATCCACTTGGTTCATGCTTTTCTTCCTGGATAGAAATGTGTGTTTATTTTTTATCAGGCAGTCTTAGAAAGCCATATCAGGTTTGGTATCACCTGTCTGTGCAGTTAAAAACCAAACTGATCCGATTGATTCAGACTGCATGGGAAATTATAAGAGGTAAACACCACACATCCCTGCAGACTGTTTTTACTACTACTTTAAAGCAAGCCAATAAGATCGTCAGTGACTCTTCATGTTCTAAATACAGAGTTCGAGCTGCTGCCCTCTGGTAAGAGGTTCAGGGTTCCCCGTTGTAGACTGAACAGGTTTAAAGAGGCATTTATCCCAGTTTCTTTAAAACTGTTAAATAGTTGCAAAGACAACTGATTGCACTGGTATTTTAAGAATGTGGTGTTATTTATACACTTAACCTTTACGATATAATGTTTATAATTTTATGTTTAACGTGAATAATGTCAATTGTTGTCTTTTTTAAGGCTTCAGCACGGGTGAAGAGCCCAAAACAAATTTCTCACTTTGTGAGACAATAAAGTTAATTTTTAATCTTGATAGATTTGAAACATGTCGGTTTTTATCAATGAAATGCAATGCAAGAAATGGCTGTGTACTGCCATGGAGGTCGTTTTACCCCAGGAATTCCTCAAGGTTCAGTTTTAGACCCCTTAAGTTTCCCCTCAAGTCCTCAGTAAACATGGTATTAAGTACGACTGTTTGCTGACGACACCTCGTTATATGTTTCTTTGCAATCTAACAGTCCAAACAGTGCAACCAAACCTTTACTAGACTTTTCAATACTTGTGTTTTAAAATGAAATAATCTGTTCTTTTTAAGGATAGATAATATCAAAAAGTCGTCAATCTTCAGCCATGTTTCACCAAAACCTACCGGCAGCAAAGAGAGAGAGAGAGAGAGAGAGAGAGAGAGAGAGAGAGAGAGAGAGAGAGAGAGAGAGAGAGAGAGAGAGAGAGAGAGAGAGAGAGCAATGTCTGAATTGGACAAATACATTGGAAACGTCAGGGTACCAAAATGTTGCCAGAGTATTTAGTAGTAGTAATTTTTCGGAATCAAAAAACATATTTTTCCCAAGTTTGGGTGCCTAGGGCCTCCAATATTGTTGCCATGGTTTCCAAACAGGAATTGATATGGATGGATTTACACTAACATTGTACCAAGGTTTAAAACTCTGGTATTGTGGCAACCCTAGTCTTGACCCCTTCCCATTTGGACAGATTTAGGTCTGGTTAGGTTTGGTTTAGGTCCTATGATGAGTGACAAAAGTAACAACCAAGACGGCGGCTGCTGAAAGCGGAACTCTTGGTTCACTATCAGTATAAAAAGAGATAAACAGAAGTTCAAACCTGTTTCTTATAAAGTTTGCACCCTCTGACTCGCTACAGCGACATTTTTATGCCTGGATTTAAATATGCTAATCATCTTTTTTCTTTCCTTGCGTAATGCTCCAAGTTAACAGATGCTCGAGGACGATGACATCACTGAATAATATTTTCTGCTCGTGTGATTATTTCTCATGATTTCCTTTATTCTCTTCCACCTCTCATCCATCTCCTCGGCAGATCAGTGAAACATTTGTTTCAGGTTTTTCCTCCGAGCGGCTAATCAGTTGCCTGACAGACGCCTCGCGAGCGGCGTTAACTGCCTTGAGTACAAAGACACTCCTTAATTGAGCTGATTAGAAGAAGAGAGTGAAAACAGATGGAGAGAATATGTTGGGGGTGAGTGTCTGCACTGGCCGTGTCAGAAACAATATCTACATGATGAATGGAGGGGGTGTTTCACTGATGCTGTCACGGTTTACTCATCTGACATATTTTGGTTTTGCAAGAAAAAATTTGATTCTGATCAAAGTCCAAGTAATTTGAAGTGCTAAAATGTAGAAATTTAGTCCCTTATTCTCCATAAGCAGTTTCTCTTTAAATACTATTTCACACATGCACACATACAGCAACACCAACTAAACACGAAGGATTATGAACAACAGCAACATTTGTCCTTCAGGCCAGTTTTTTAATGAAGGGAGTGTGCAAAAGATTGTTTTATTTCTACAAAATAATGCACAGCTCTAAACCTAAAAGGATGGACATACTCCTTAAAGCTGGGCTCTTATTCAGTCAATAACTTCGGGTCTAAATGCCTAAGAGAAAAAAATGTTAAAGGTCCAATGAGAAAGATCTGTAGTGACTGAAGTGATAAAGTGACCTTACTATATGTTCAGACATTAAGGAAACATGCTATGTTGAAGTACTGGCTTCTCTGACAACAATGCAGCAGCCAGTATGTCCTCCTCTTAACTTTAGATTCTGGTCCTGAATGCTCTGGATTTGTTTGGACCAGATAAGGTAGGCAGTTTTAAGACACCCCCCACACGGCCGTTTTGGACGCCCCTCGGTTTGCCAGATATGAGACCAGTTATCAGGTCAAACCAACAGGTGTTGCAGCAATGGAAAGAAATAGGTATGGAAAGCAAAGCAGGATGTGCACACCAAGAAGCTCCCGTTTTAAGGATTTATTAAAGTAAGAGCCACCATGCTCGACATCAGACTTGAAGGTGTACTTTATGAGTCGCAATCTGAAATACACATAGACAAACACGTGACCCAACACAGCTGAAATTCATCAAACAGATGGATATCAAACAGGAGCTTCTTGGTGTGTCGGTCTGTTGTTGATTTCTAAAACAGGACTGCAACAAGACCGAAGGCATATGTTTTGTGGATTGGAGAGCTGAAGACTGACAGGACACGTTGGGAGGAGAGAGTGGGGGATGAAATTGTAGTGGAGGACCAAGGCTGGATTCGAAACCACGGGCGCTGCGCCAAGGACAACAGCTTCTCTGAACATGGGGTGCACAGCATAACAGCTAGGCTAACCATCTCCCCGATCTTGATTTTAACAGATCCACATTCCCCCCTTTTTGTTGTCAGCCTGGTAAACCGCTTCATGGGGATGAAGTGGCTCCTCGTGTGAGGTGGATGAAGCTATATGTGTGTGTGTGTGTGTGTGTTTGTGTGTGTGAGGGCGTTTATTACACTCGTCATCCAAACAAAGACGTCCCCTGGTGAGCACTCGTAGACAAATAGACAAACGGACACGTGAGCATGCACACGCAGGGGAAAAAAATCCACAACGTGTTAGCGGCCGTGTGCTGATGCGTCGCTTTCACAGCCTCCTTCTTTCTCGGATTCTTCTCAAACGACTTCCACTTAAAGAAAAAGTGTCTCAAAAAATTGAACGATTGCAAGATTTACTTTTAGTGACACACACACCGAATGTTTGTGTGTGTGATACATGTTGAAAGGCTAAGCGGACACACTTTGAGGCCTCCCGCCACCTCCTCCTCGGCGCATGACTGGGTGCTTCTGAGCTCCATTAGACTCATTGTCCTCAACCCCCCCACGCACACACACACTCTGTTAAACACACACACACACACACACACACGGATCTACCTCAGCCACAACATGCTGAACCCTCTGTGGAGGCGGCAGGTGGCAGAAATCCATCGCTCGGCTTCGTTCTGCTAATGTGTGCGAAGGTCTGAGCCGCCATGTCCGCTGCATTGACTTGCAGCGACGAGCTGAGGCGAAAATATTCCTTTAAATCTGAATCCTGGAGGGGGAGGCGGTGTGTGAAGATAACCGTGGAGACGGCGTGGGATGGACAGATGGATGTATAGGTGGAGGTGTGGGGAGGTGTTTGCAGCTCCCGCTGAGCGAGCCGGCAGCTCTCAGCGTTTCCTAAGTGATTAACGGGTCAACAGAAGCAGTCAGTGTTTTCAGCCTCAAAGCGACCCGCTGCTGCTCTGAAAATGGAGAATCAAAGCTCACAGCAACAGTACAAACGCCTGACTGTGAGCTGCATTTGAAAGGATTCTTACGAGCGGCGTGTTCTCTCCTAAAAGATTTCACAGTGAAGAGAACAGATATAATAAAACATCACTGTCTCATTACCATTTTTATTATTTCACTATCTAAATCTGCACATTTCAAGTTTGTAAATAAACCTAAAAGCGTAAAGTTGGATTTCTTCAGTTGGTAGGTTTAGATTGGTGCCAAATGAGACGAAAAAAGGGAAGTGTGTGTCTCCCTGCATCCACAAGTCTTTGTTGTATAATGTGTCATTACTCTGTTTTACTTGGTTGAACACACACTTCTTAAAGCTATCATTCTTTCACTCTGAAATCTTCTTGTTGTCTTGTTTGTTTTAACATCAGCTTCATTCTGAATTCCAATGCTGGACATGTTTCCTGTTTGATAAGAAGTAGAATCGTTTCCTGCAGTGTTTAGTCCGAGGTAATCTTCCTTCTCAGCGTGATTTTGTCTGAGGAGGCCCTGAACGCATCCGAAAGAGAATAAAAAGTTGTAGAGGTTTTTTGATCCGCTGCAGGAGAGCCGGCTGATCGAACGTCACAGCCATGACTGCTTCCATCTCCACATTGATTTCCCTTCACAAAAACACAATAATTCAGAGCGGGGTCACGGCTGAGGTGTAATGTTTCATCTTGTTTCTGTGTTGTTGTTAAGTCAACAAGAAAAGAGAGCAATTTGTCTGCGTTGTTCGCTAATTTTTTTCTCCAACTCAAAAATGTCTGCATTCTTCTTTTGTATAGATCTTGTATGGATTGTATTTCAGAGATTTTTGATTATTGCAGTTTCTAAATCCCCATGTGGTTGTTATTACCATTGGCAAGGACATCATGTTTTTGTTGAAGTTTGTATGTTTACAGGCAGCATCACTGAAATACAACTCGCTCGGTTTCTGTGAAACTTGGTGAAAGTCAGAGTTATGTCAAACACTACTACGTTTAAAGATGGATAAAACAACAATTTAAGTCACAAGTTGTAATGGGTTTTTTTCAAAGTGGCAACCTCCGGTATTGAAAAAATTAAGCCAACGCAAAAGTGCAAAATCCTGCAGTACGTCGAGTGTCCACTAGAGGCTGGCTCCAAGGGCCTCGGAAGTCACATACACACCCGAGCCAAAAAAAGCCGTTTTTACAGCAGAAATAAACATGTTTGCAGCCTGGTACAAAAAACACCCTGTTGTAACAGATGACTGACGTCACTCAGGCTCCCTCCATTAATATTTACATTTTTTATTTTCACAGAAGAATGGTCACTTACATCAAAAACCTTCTCGATGCAGAGCTCATCCTGGACACGGTCTCGGAGGATGTCCTGGTTCTGTCGTACGAAGGTGATGTAGGTGTCGGCCAGATCCATCCCTGGTTTCTGCAGGAGAGAGAAGACACAGACAGGCCTAAAGAGGACTCATAGAGAGAGAGGGCTAACATGGATGATGACGTCTCACATTCACAGCAAGCACTTTGAGGAGCCTGGTGTTGAAAATGTAAATGTACAGAAAAGGAGCGCGGGTTCCAGCGGAACAATGTCATCATGCAACAATCAATCAATCAGGTCTTTGTTAAATTAATTTCTGTAACTTCAGTCTTCTGTTTGTCTGTCTGATGTAAAACCAAGGACGCAGTTTCAAGAAGTGAAGGTAGTCACTGATTGGTTTGTGTGCTTCTGCTGTGAATTTGGCATTTTGTCCGTCACAAATTTGTCTTTTTGAGCCATAAATAACCATGTCTGGATGAGATGGACTGATAATTGCTTTAGGATTAACATTGGAGAGGGCAGCCTCCCCCTGCCCCCCTCTTCCTAGAGTTGCCATTTTATGGACACTGAAACTTCAGTGTGCCTTAAAACCACCTATCTTAAGTGTCCATTCTGGTCCTGAATGGTCTATATTTGTTCCGACCAGAGAAGGTAGGCGGTTTAAAGGCACCCCCACACGGCCGTTTTGGACGCCCCTCGGTTTGCCAGATATGAGAGCAGTTATCAGGTCAAACCAACAGGTGTTGCTGCGATGGAAGCGGGCAAGAGAACTGGTTCAGATAGAAGTGATTGTACCCGACCTAAAAAGCCTCTGCATGTTTCTAATAAGCTCCACAAGCAGAAACGTTTGAAAAATGGAGAGAGGTTAGAACGCAGAAAGGCTTCAAGACTGATGCAGAGCTGGCTAAACACTGAAGTTTCAGTCTTGAAAGAGTTACAAATTGTTCCTTTAAATGAATGCTCTGATTTTCAATTCCTTATTAAATGATCTACCCCTCAAGACTCTGTGGTGTTCCAGGTGTGTTTTCATGAAGAAGAACAGGTTCACACTCCAACAACACAGGGGACAAATGTTCAGTATCACCTGCTGCTTCGGGGGTGAAAAGAGTTACAATAATAATCTCCCCTCTTGTGTTGGGGGGAACAAGAAGCTGTTTGAGCTGTTACACTGGAGGAAACTGGGACTGTTGTGGAAGCGGCGGTTTGCTCGGCGTGGAGAGGCCAGAGGCAGCAGAGGGGTATAAAATCTCTGTTCATTCACACTCCCTGTTGTCAGGGGAGATTACAGCTGTAATGCTTATTGTAATTGCTTTGACATCTTTCACACCCGTTTTCTCTGAGCCCGGCATGCGTCGGCCCTCAGGGGGTTTGTTGTGCTGCTGCAGCGCTGCTGAGCGTGGCGTGGCAGGTCCCCCGTGCGAACATGAGGAAATAGAGCCTCCAGAAAACCCGGAAACCTTTTGGCTTCACTTAAAGGCAAAAGGAAGGTTAGAGAGGGATTTGGGATTGTAACCTTTTCTTTGTGAAAAACAACAAACCAGAAACACAAACTGTCACATGCTAATGTTGGAGGAGGCTACGTCGTTTAAGTCAAAGAGCCCAACTCGGGTTGGTGATTTGAAACACAAAGAGGTGGCTGTGACGAAGCAGAACGGACTGATGGATCACAGACCCTCCTGTTCTGAACCCTGAAAAATTAAAGTTTGTTAAGGTTGTTTTAAGTCTTGTCTTTTGTAAATACGTGCAAACAAAATAAACCGTTTTGTGTCTTTTGTGTTTTTTAAATTTAAAATCTGTGATTAGTAAATGTCTGCGACAGTCCTTGTACCCCTCCATCCTTGAAAACCTTGACTGACTACACTGACACCAAGAGAAGAGCTCAAATAACAACTTTATTCAACAATTATTAGATTCATAGAAAAAGTGTTTGCAGGAATTTTTCTGAAAAATACATTTTCAAGTTGAAGTAAAAAACATCTCTCTTATGTTGCAACTTCTTCAAAGTAGAAATTTCCTGCTTTCCTTTCCTTTTCTTTTCTTTTCCTCGCTCAAAGTAACAATAAGCTGAAGAAAGGAGGAAAGTCTCTGCTGGCTGAAAGTCAAATATATTTTCCAATCAAAAATCGTCCCAGCAGCTGTTTCAGAGGACTTGAACAGCGAGTGACAGACTGAGATCAGTCAGCTGTAATTCAGACGGACTGCCGGACAGATACCAGGGGTTAAAGTGGGGTCACATGCCTGCAGGGGGATCTGGTACGTTCAACCAAAGAGAGGAGGGGTCAAGGATGGGGATCGACAGGCCTGTCAGAAACCAGCATAATCCTCTGGAGTGAGCAGAGAAGAAGTGAGAGTCTGATCGCTGTGGAATGACGGTCAGAAGTGTTGACGAGAAATGACCATGTATGTCTCACCGGGTGAGTTTCGGTGCTCGTCATGATCCCTCTGATCTGCTCCAGCAGACACTTCCAGGTCACGTCCACATTAATGCAGATACATTTCAAAACTCTGTTTACGTGTCACAGACCTTGCTGCAGAATCTCATCTGGTTTATTCTAATCCAGTTCTGTCCGGGGTACCAAGCAAAGTCCTGGATATGCTCCAGTATGTGCAGGGTTCTAACCCGCACTAAGCCCTAGCAGCACATCACCCCTACCCTCATCCACCTTCACTGAGTCCCGCTCAAGTCACGTCTTAGAAGCACTTTTTAAACAAACATTCAGGACAGTCTTGCCTATGAAACCTTCTTTCTCTCAGGAGGCGATATACGACAAAAACAGGAAGCGATGGAATACAGTGTAAACACATCCAAGATGGCGGACAAAGCAACAGAGTCAGACTCCTTGATGACAGTATGGCTCTTTAAGTCAATGCTGCATCTAATTAAACGTATGTAATTTATTGTGAATATGCTCAGTGTTTGTAAATATACTTTTTGGTATACTGTGTGTATGATATGAATGATGTCATGTTGACTAGTTATCGTTTGAAGCTATAACTCGTTATTATATTGTGATGATTGGTTATATGACCATATGTAATTAACATCTCTGCATGCCATGATAAGATTAAAGTAGTCTTCAGTGTGCCACATGTTATTATTATTATTTATTGGGTATGTTACTTCCTTCCTTCCGGCTCTTAGCGTTCACCCCGAAAGTGTGTGTTTAAATCCAAAGGTGGAGCGCTTGAAACCAGACGTGTGGACAATGAGAAAGCTGCAAATTGCATGCTTTGTATTGAAGACAAATTAAGTGAGGATTGAAAGTGAAAACAAAAACTGGGAAGGAGCGACCTTTTCAAATATTTCAGTACGAGTTCATGTAGGGTCAGAGAGCGAGAGATAAGTGTGTGTGTGTGTGTGTGTGTGTGCGTGTGTCACAGGCAACAAACTACTGCCCTGGCTATCACTTGAGACATCAAATTCCCCCCTTTTTCATCCCCTAAAGACTCAGTCTCAACCATCTACCTCTCTTTTCTGTCTGTGTGACGAGGTGACAAAGCAGCATGACAGATCGGAGACACCGGCACAGTTCCAGCCGACGAGATTAAGACTTTAACACGACAGGGAAAAAAAAAAAAAAAACACACACACACTCTCACAGAAGCAGCTCAGCTCTCTTGTCACGCTCGGCCCTCTCTGCCTGTTTTGTCTCCTTCACTGTTTCTGCACTTGTAGCCAAACACCAGTAATCCCCTGTGCGCCGGGATAATTTGACAACAAAAAATAAATAAATTGAGAGTGTAAAATTAAGCCGTACTCCTGTTCGGATACAGACAGGGAGGAGGGGGGGTGAGGTTGGTTTGGCATGGGAACGTGAGTCCTGCTGACAATGAGTGAGGCAGCAGGGCGTTTAAATGCCAGGTAATTACACCCCTCGACCGGCCTCGTTTCCTGCCCTGGATTAATTTCATGTGGACCAGGTGCATGTAGTGTGTGTGCAAATATGTGCGTCTGCTCGTCACAGCAAAGTCCCTCTGTGATTTAAAATTATTGTTCATTCTCTGAGGATCCACTGATAACGTTTGTTAACTCTTTAAAGCCTCATTTCAGCCCACTTCTTACTAAAAATCTAATTATTTACTTGTGCATGCCATCCAGGGTGACACATAGAAACACTTCTGAAAAGACTGCCTCCTTTTGCACAAACCAGCCACCCTGCATTCAATCTCTGCATGCCATGTTTTTTCCCATGCAGGCCTCAGAAACGTCAGGACCGGCCCTGCAGGAGCGCCGTGTGTGTGTTAAAGATGGTGGAGAGCCAGTGCTGATGATCGCGCTTCCAATGTTTGTGTTCGTGCTCTGCCTGCGTGCATATGCTGGATCGACGCATGTGCGACTGTCACTCACTGGTATCTTGGCTGTTCAGCGGGAAAACGTCAGACCTGCTCAACACGTGTGAGTCAGTGTAAGAAACACACACCAAACGACTCCAACCCTTTCGCAGTAGCAGTCATGTACACGTCTTCCACAATATTGCTCTACGAATAAATCTTACAAATGAAGGGTTGCACATTGAAGGTGATAAAAACAACTTTTTTTAAATATCTGTTGGGGCTTCAAAAGAAGGAAACACCGACTGAGAGGCTTGAAATAATCCTCTACAAGAGACAGCGTTCAACCTGAAAAATGCATTCTTTAAACTTGAAAGTATAAAGTAACAGGTGACAGATACATGATTAAATATTTTCCAGTCTCTCGAATATGAACACTTGGGGGGGTAAGTGCGAACGGTAAGCGCCCCCCCCCCCGCACAATGTCCCACCTGCAAAAGAGGCTTACCCGTGTCAGGTTCCCAATGCACAAAGGACCAAAAGGCTGAGGTAGCGGTTACATTATAATTTCAGGGGAGGAAGCACCTGAGGGAGGAAGTCTGGGCCAGTAACCAGAGAGCATGATGGGATAGGTGGGAGGGGCCGTGGCGGGGCAGAGGATTAAGGAGGGTCCAGTGAGATTGTTCTGCTGCTCTTTATCTCAGCTGTTCAATGACTCGGTGTATGATGTGTTCATGGTGTGTTTTTATTAACGGGAAAAACAAGAACTTGTGTGACAAAAAGTACTTCATCTTAATTTAGGAATGTGAACCGAGGAAAAGTGTTGTAGTACTCGAAAACAGTCTGGGTCTCGAGACCACTATTTGAAGGTCTCGTCTCTGAATCTAAAGCATTTTAACTCGGTCTAGGCGGACTCCAGATTTTAAATCAAGACCAGTCAAGACCACCATTGACAGGCTAGTCTTTCACGTGATTAGAAAGTAAACGTGATATTCATGATCTTGATCTTGTCTCGGTCTCCATCCCTAAACATCTTGGTCTCGCAGCACTCTGATCTCAGGTATGTCTTGGTCTCGGTTAGTGTGGTCTTGACTACAACACTACGGAGGACTCATGAACTGTACCCTTACATTTCTAAATCATACATGCATATAACTTTACATTTAAAGGACGTCTGCTTCGAGAGCCTCGGAGCTTTAAATTACAATCTGAGCTGGCTGGAGTGCTGGAGTCCTCTTCTGATGGACGCACATTGACCGAGAGTTTTTCCCACGGGGATTACATCGCAGCCATCACAGCCTGTCTCCTGGCCCCTGGATTAACATGTATAGTGAAGCATTTGGAGACTCAAGTGAACACTCAAGGAAATGACTGGTCCATGCAAAGTAACAGCACAATAACCAACAAATCTCAAAAGGCAGATTTTTCTGTTAGCGCCATCTTTTCTTTTCATACTAATTAATCAACTCCAATGTGACATATTAGTCTGCAGCTTTTCTTACATTTGGATCGATCAAGGTTTGCTGTTTCCCTCAGTTACTGCCTTTATGTTAAGCTAACTAGCTGTTCTATTGATTCATTTTTAGTGTACGGAAATGAGTGTGATAACTCTCCGTAAGAAATGAAGACCCTGTAAGTGAACTGGAAGATTCTGGCTATGGGGAATAAATACATATATGTATATTTACAGTATTTTATTGTAATACAGGTCAACAGGATGATCGTGAGAGACTGAGACAATTATAAAATAAAATATGATTTCTGTAAGTTTGAAATAACAGACCTATAAAAGAGAGAAAAGGGAAACAGGCCGGTAAGTTTATAAATTTGACTGAATATTAAATTAGAAAACATTTTAGCGGTCAAAAACATGAAATGTATTTTGGTGACGGGAGAATTGTTATTTTTTTGTGATTTTGGAGAAAGATCTCCTCTGTTCTGTTTTCATTCTCTGGATTGAAGCCTGAGACATTTGGAAAGACTGATTTGAAAAATCTTTAATCCCAGAGGAGAGGAGGGGAGGGGAGGGGAGGGGGACGCCTGAAAAAACTGCCAGAATTCATATGAAAGCGTTTGGAAATTTTAAAAAACGTGTAAAAACCTCCGAGCCTCAGAGGGATTATACTTCGGTATTGGGAGCTGTTAATCACTTTGGAAAACGTAGGGTCACTCGTCTTTGTGAGATGAGATTCTGCAGATGAAACCTCTCTCTCCTTCACACCTTGAACGCCGCCAAACGTTAACGCCTCATCACCTCGACACTTTAAACTTCCCCGTCGTGCTCGTCTCCTCCTCCTCCCTCCCGCTCGCTGGCTCATCGCAGCCTCTGATCTTTGCCACCACGCGGCCGTTCATTAACCGCTCGACACCATAATGCCGCCGCCCACAAACCAACACTTCAGCAAAACACATCTCCAAGGACAAGAGTGCAATTAATTACGCTTGTTGTGTGATCTTTGGCTCTGGAGCTGCAGAAGGAATTTAAAAAAAAACAACTCTTTATCTTTCACACATGCTTAGAAGCCATGATGACAAACTTTCAAAAACAAAAACAAGCACATGACTGAATGCAAAGAGTGGCTGCTTTGCATTTCCAGGCTACTTTATTCTCCATCCAACGCCTCGAGAGCGTGCACACCGATGGAGACACAAATATGGAAACAGACTGTGACAGACAGGCTGAGTGACAGAAACAGGCAGATCGACAGACTCACAGGGACCTCCACATATTTGGCAGCTGCTTTCACCTTTCAGGAGAAGAAGAGAAGAAGAAGAAGAATGACACTGAAGCTCAGCTGGGGAGATCTGGTCGCCTCAGTGAGCGGTGAAAGAAGCAGCTTGACGCTCTCTGTCTCAGGGACACAAAAAGAAAAAGAAGGTTTGTACTCACCGTGAAAGAGAGGATGGAAGAGAAGAATGTGCCTTCATCGTATCGGGAGAGCTTGGAGAGGACACTGTCCAAAACGGCAGAAAACTGATCCCAAAGGAGAGAGAGAAGACGACGCCTTTATTTCACCTTCAATAATACCTTCAGACTTAAAAAAAAAAAATGTTTCAGGAAATCTCTCAAACAAATCTGTGCTTTCTTTCTCCAGCAGACATTTCTTTAAAATACTAAAGAAGACGACGTGGAGGCTGAATATCTCGCTGCATCTTTTTTTATTTTATTCATAATGTGCATCTTTACGGTGAATTAAATGAATGATCCCATTACAGTCACGAGCTCGAGCAGAGTTTTTAAAATATAACTATTGTAATACATGAAAAGATGTTTGAAAAACCAAATATAATGCAATTAAAGGAACACCCCTAATAATAAAGAAGTTAATCAATAAACATTATCTGTTCAGACGAACCACCTTTATTATGAATATACATTTAAATGGAAAAATGGAAAGATTAAGAAAAGGCTGAAATATAAATGTGTGAATGTTTAAACTCTCAATGGAAATCTATAAAATATAGAATAAATATAGATATCTCCTAAACTCGTAAAATAAATCAAGAAATCTAAAGAGTTTATATCATCAGATCTTGCAGCTGCAGCTTTACCTCCCGGCCATAAAGGGACACATTAAATTGCAGATAAAACAATCCATACTGATGTGAATAAAGGAAAATGAAAACATCTGGGAGGAGATGAATAAAATAAAAGGCCAACAAAAGACATCCCGAGAGGATTTTATAGGATGATAAAAAAAGATTTACCCTCGTGACGAGCGACGAAATCATTTCTTTTAACGCGTCGTCAATCAGAACATCGATTTTGGAGTGGTACTGTTGCTGCAAATAGAGGAAGGGGTGGGGCATGAGAGAGAGAAGGAGAAGTGACAAAAAAAGCTGTAAATTATTTCAGAAAACTGAAGCAACACAAAGACCCCCAAAAAATGACTTCACCACGATACAGAACAGCAGCTTTGTTTGTGCTGCAAAAGACCGAAAGAGAAGCCGACAACACTTGGTGTGAACATCAAGTCTGCACACACAGACACACAGACACACAGACACAGACACAGACACAGACACACACACACACACACACACACACACACACACACACACACACACACACACACACACACACACACACACACACACACACACACACACACACACACACACACACACACACACACACACACACACACACACACACACACACACACACACACACACACACCCTCCTGACACGGCGAGGCGTGAAAAACCTTCCCATCCGTGTATCGCCGCTGAGTTAAGCAGCTAAAAGGACCATTATGCGGCTGACTGACATTCCCGTCCGCGCTGGAAAAGCGATGGAATCTGAAGGATACTTTTTGTGCGGCTCCCCCGACAATTAGAGCAGCCTTGTATTCCTCTAAAGCACCGGTCCAGCTGCGAGGACCAAAAGCTCACACAAGATTCAATTAATCCGCCATTTCATGTCTCGTTTGGACCCCCCCCCAAAAGCATATTCATGGCACCTTTTCCATTGAGGGGAGACAGGGGGGGAAAAAAGGCCGGGGCTGAGCAATGAATGGCAGCAGCAGCAGGGGAGTTCATCTCTTGGCGACAATGCCCTTTCACTGGCCGTCTAAAGAACACCCAAATTAAAAATTTCAATCAACAAAGCGCACGGATCGCTGACAAATTCTGGGTCCAGGGAGGTCACCGCCGCCAGCCCTAATTATGTGTTTTTTTTTTCCTCCCCTCCACAAGTCCGCAAAATGGCAGTTCTCTTTCAGCACGCAGGAGTCTTTCTGGCAAATCTTGAGAGCTTTTCTCCTTTCCCTCTTCTTACCTCAATTAACATTGCTGCTTTGGCCCATTTTACGTCCGACAAAAGGCGGCCATAAAAAGCAGAAAAAGGAGAAGGAATTGTTTGGTCTTTGCCATGTGCACGGCAGAAACTAAAAAGGACAATAATTGCTTTTAAAAACATTTATCCGCTGGTTGAGCTGCCGTTGCCGCTGCTACTTCAGCAGCGGCAACGGCAGCTTGCCTGCATTTTTTTAAGAGGATCCCTCACCCACCCCCCGACACAATTTACATGACCTGTGGAACAAAGCGACAGCAGACTGATGAGCCTCTTTGGTGATTTCAGATTAACAGGCAGGTAGAGGAGTTTCTGGTTGATTCAAAGGAGAAGTTTAAGGCAGAGGAATCTGCGGCTGAGCCTTCAGACATCGCTGAGTCTTTTGCTGCCGATGGACGCACTTGAAGACTAGTTGGCAGAAAAGTGACCACACGGAAGGTTCAGACTGGCATTTCTTAAGACCCTTTATGCTGCTGGTCAGGGGTCAGAGGTAAGGAGGCCTCATTCACAGCTCCTACTGCCAAGTGAACACGACAGTGCTTCAGCTGAACCACATACACGGAAAGTCAAGAGTGTCTGCTTAGGCTTTCTTCAAAAACTCTGGTGAATTTAAACACCACAGTGGAGATAAACTTTGTATTATTTTCAAATTGAGGCTTTCTCAATGTGTTGACATGGCTCAGCAGTGTGGCTGTGTCAATGCTTTAACACTCAAAACTTTTCTTCAATATATGACGCTTAAAGATCAGTTCAGGTTTAAGGCATTAGCGGTTTGTTAACGTTCCAGTGAACTGGAGGTGATGCTTCTAATGAGTTGTTAGTGTTAGTGGTGTCACAGAAATATAGTTGAGGATCCAAACTAAGAGTTTATGTCACAAAGAAACACGAGCGAACTAAGGCCCCGTCTCCACCTAGCGTTTTTCTCAGCACCAGCATCTTTTATCAATGAGTAGAGAGCTTTCACAGCAGAAAGCGGCCGCCTGGAGAAAAAATGCACAGCGTAATTTTTCCAAATACTCCAACTGTTTTGTGCGGCCACTTGAAGCGTTCAAGATTAAAATCTTTCCACTTTCCAGAAAGACATTGTTTACATCACCATCGCTCTTTTCCAGATGTATGATACTCCCTGTAGTTTTGTCTCCTACTGATCGTGTCTTGTACCAACATCCTCCTCGCTCCGTGCATATAAAAAAATACAGTAAAAAGTAATGGAGCAGTGTCGGTCATACAGCGGTTGTTGTCAACAGACTGTTGTCATAGAGACAGGATGGATGTGCGCACAAACACTCCAGAGCGCACAGCCATCAAATATGCTAGGTGGACACGGAGCCTAAGAGATCAACGTGAAGGTACAACAGCTAAACGTTGGTTATGCGAGGTAAAACAACTAGGGATATAACGATTCACTCAACTCCAGATACGTTTCTCTCACGATTTATTTTACAAAATGAGACTGTAGACAAATGATGACTGATAACGATTCCTTTAGGGGTGGCAAACCCACGTGTCAGTGTGGTTTGGCCTTTTAATGTTTGTTTTTCTCTCAACAAGGGGAGGTGATTGGAGCTTCTCATCGTGGTGTGGATTAAATGCTGCATCATGTTGGTTGTGCTATTTGTGTAGTTCTCTGTGTTCTTGCAATATTTGCGCACAGTTTTCGTCCTGTCTGTTATTTTCTCACCTCTTTCATTTTCTGTCTTGGGGAAGCCAAAATGTTTCTACACCTCTTTAAAAAACGGTGGAGCGTCCTCAATTTCTAAATCTCTGCAGCTGCTAACGCTCACCATATTATTGCGATCGCTGCCCAAATAATCATTGCCATCACCACATAATTTTCAGTGAACACACCCACCACCAGTAACAAGAAGACTAAACAATAAACATATCAGTAAATAAACCATGAAAACAAATACACAATCACCTTACATTTATGGCTCCTACAATCAAGTTACTGTTTCCTACATGTTGAGGACCTTCTCTAATCACCATCACTGTGAGCTTATCTGATCTGGTATTAAGAGCATATATCTGAATTGTGAAGAGATTTGATGAAAAGTTTGTGTTTAGCACGGATCAGGCAGCAATACATGAAGCTTTTGGGTAGAAAAGAAAAACCAAAAAATCAACAAGGAGGGACTTAAGAGAAACAGTTCAAAACAAACAGGGATCTAAAGACTTATGTGTGACATAATCTTTTGAGGCTTACTTTTTGTAAGTTTGAGAATGTCTCCTAAGAACCCCCCTCAATGATGGTAACGTTGAACCATATGCTGATGAGATGATGCTTTACAGAAGTAGTGCTCCCTATAGTTGCTTGAAAGGCACAGCCATTTTTTCAGCTTTACCTACACCTGATTGGTTGGATCAAGTGTGTTCACCCAATCAAAAGCTCCCCTGGTGGACAGAATCAAGAATGGAGCTCTAAAGGACTACAATGGACCCCCCTGCCATCGAAAAAAGGGCTTACATTCGACATGAATAGATTCCCAAGGAGAGGTCATTCTCTTACTCCCAAACTCACTGCAAGCCTCTTAAAAGGCTCAGTTATTTATGTGGCATGGCATGGAGTCAGATGTCAAACAAAGGGAATGTGTTCTTCCTTTGGGATTGGAGCGTGTGTGGAAAACTGTGTGAAGGGAAAAGAAAAGACGATGAGGCGATGAAGGGACTTACCCATTGTTTGTCAAACTGGGAATCAAACAATGTCGTGCAGGACACATGGACATGATCGAGGGAGGACATGAGAAAAGAAGGAGAGGGAAAACAAGTCAGCCAGTCTAATAAAACATCAGTTACATTCAAAAACATTTATACATGACTCTTCAAAACCTGCATAAGAGTGAAGGAATACAACTTTATCTTTCTACTATTTATCCACTGAATTAAGGGCCTTTCAGAGAGGACGCGATGGGTGCTGTGTGTCGCTGTCAAGCCCATTCATTGTCTATGTGTTGCTCCTTGCAACAGCGAAGGGTCCTGCTTGGCTTTCTTCTAGCTGAGTGGAAGTGAAAACATTTTCAACTTGGGTGCAGCGCTCTGTGACGTCACCTCCTCGATCCACTGGGGGGAAGACGAGATAACAACAAAAGGTGTCTTTCCTGTGCCATGTTGTAGCCGTTTGTCAGGAGGCCCGCCTCAGCTCTTTGCCAATATGGCGACCGCCATGGACGGGCTTCCAAAATCACCCTTCAGAAACCAATAGATGATGTCACTCAGGAGCCTTCCATTATTATTTACAGTCTATAGTCTGTCTGTATTTGTGCTTGTTTTACATCTCAGAGATGCTAAATCAAATGTGCCAGTGTAACATGAAAGCAGCCTGTATGTGTATGAAGCTGGTACAGAGTGCCTCTCTACAGGCGTGCATTCAGCGTGTGTGTGTGTGTGTGTGTGTGTGTGTGTGTGTGTGTGTGTGCGAGAGCAGGAATAAATGGACAAACTGTGTTTTCGATGGAAGCTGGAGAAGAGAGGAAGCTGAAGGTTAAGAGAACAGCGATCTTATCTCTCTGTCAAGACTGAAGACGGCCAAGGGTTTCACTCTCAGCAAAGCCAAGGCTGCCGCCTCACACGGGCTTCACGGTCATCCATTTAACAGCTCGTGTCGAGCCCTTGGCCGCTTCAAGTGAACACAAATACACCTGAACTCCACCACTGCTTCATGTTTGGAGGGAAATGGCCGCGTTTTAGTGGCTGATCTGACAGTTTGACTCCACCTGTTCAGTGTGAGGCTGAAAATAAAAGACCACTGAGGGCTTTGGAAGCTGACACGCTTTCACTCCACGAGGCTCTAAAGGTGAGATGGTAACTGGAAAAAAAAAATACTAACATCCATGTTAACTGATTTATTTTGAATCCCTTTTTTACACCCATGAAATAATGTGGAGATGATTTAATTTCTTCCAGCCTCAGTTTCTCTTCGTTTGGATTACATTACAAGGCAAGGGTCAATATCCATCCCTCCAATTAAAGGCTTCTTCTTAAAGCAAATCTATCTTCAACTATCTGAAGACCTCAGATTTTGTGAACATTCGTGAGAATTGTCTGATGAGGGTTTGCTAAAGTTTGCAATGGCTGTGTTAAAGGGTTTCTTTTTTACAGCAAAATATCTAAATTAATTAAAAATTTACCAAACCTATTTTAAATTTTGTTGAGTACTTACATATGCTCCGTTTCAGATTTGCTCTCCTTGTGACATCACAGTGGGATTCTTGTAAAAAGAAAATCCCCTCCCCTGGTATCTTCACCCTTGGACCCCACCCCCAGCCTAGAACAAAACTTTTGAGGGGGGGGGGGGCTCATTGAATTTAAAGAGACACACTCACCAAAACGGAGCGTTCTGAGAGAGCTGGTTTATACAGGGTCATAAACCTCCTCTGGTGCTTGATTCATGTTATATTTTGACCAAAGCACAGCACAGATGTTTCATTTAGACCACAGGGGACTGTTTGAAAAGGTGGAGAAGGGGGATAATAAGTGTTCCATAAACGTGACAGATATTGGATATTTGCAGATAGTGCACATACAGATATTTCTAACCTATTTAGGACTTATTATCATTGCTGTTATATGCACGGTAGCAGCGCCGGTTCGTCTTCTTTGCATTATTACTCTGACACATGAAGGGGCGCCTAGATCATACCCTGCAGCGTTAAACTTTCAAAGACGGCTAAATAGAAGTTAGCAGCCATTTTCCCTTTAATGTATGGAGAAATGAAGCATGCTATTAGGGAATGTAGAGTGTTGGAGTATGACATGCAGTACATGTTGTGGGTTGAAGTCTCGTGACAGTTGTAACCATGCAGCTAGGTAGCGTGCACTGCAGAGACAATCCACGGTGAAAAATAGAAAGTGTAGACGTATATAGATTTAAAGGGAAGCAGAGCTCAGGAACGGTAGCAGAAACCTGTAGACTGTCATGACAGTGTCTGGTTTTTGAAGGAACTTAGAAGCTCCTGTAAGCTGTGTGTCACTGTCGACTTGGACTGGAGGTTAAACTGCCCCACTGAATAAATTAAGCCTTGTGTGAAGTTATTCGCCATCATATGCGTCATCACGATTTCGGATGGTTATTCTCTGCACTGACAGATCAGTCAGACAGCAGTGATCCTCTTCCACTATGGGTAAAACCATTATCTTTAAATCTGCAATAAACCTGCTTTGACACAAAGCCTGTGACGCCACATCGCTGATTTCCGGCGCCGTTAGCTCACCTCCTGTCCGGTGTCCAGCACGCAGAGTTTGGAGCACTGCTTCTTTGCATCCATCAGCACATTGAACATGGTGCAGACCGACAGCGGCACCCGGAAGTCTGTCGACTTATTTGCTTTCTGCATTTTGGAATCAAATGACGTTTTTGTTCTGTGGGACAAAACACAAAGAGGATTTTTATTATTGAACGACTGCGATCGCTTAAACTTCACAACCCAAAGAAAGAGGGCTTTAGCTCAGGTGGTCGAGCAGGTGCCCTCTTTGCACTGGTTGCAGGTTCAAATCCTGATTCTGACGTTGTTTGGGACATGTCATCCCTCACTCTCTCTCTCCCTGCTGTCACTATCAAGTCATCCTATATAATAAAGACTATAGACTGAGATCCTCTCGTTCTGACCTCTTGACGCAGGCCTCCATCATGTCACTCGCCATCAGTTTGAGTCTCTGCTCCAGATGTTTGGCGAACTCAGGTTCTGGCCAGTGGAGGTCCAGCACGAACATCTGTAGAGCGTCCAGCTTCCAGAACAAATCCTCTGAGGTGGCCGAGCCATTGCTGCAGGGACGAATCAGAGGGTAAATAAATCAATATCACAAATATGAAAAAATACAAGACACACTAGGGAAGGGACCGGATGTAGTTTCCAAGATGGCTGACAGATGTCCTGCAATCATCACTTGTCCCACTAAACTCACATTAATGGTAACTGAGAGTGTAAATGTGCAGGATTGTGAGTTTCATGGTGGGTTTTTATCAAGATTATCCATCAGTGATATCCTCTCCTTTTTCCAGGTGAAGTTGAGTGTCCTTGTTTCATTTACCAACTTTTACTGAAGTGTGACTGATGTCTGTTCAACTGATTAAAGAAAAGCAGAGTTTCTGCCTCACTTAAATACTTGTTGCACTTTGTTTTGATTTGTCACCAAGACCCCAAAAAAAGTCAGTTTACATCCCCAGTTTATTTTTTTTTAGGTTTATTTTTGGGGCTTTGTATGCCTTTATTTAGAGACAGGACAGTGGATAGAGACAGAAATCAGAGAGAGAGAGAGGAGGGGAATGACCTGAGGAGGAGCCACAGGTCGGATTTGAACCTGGGCCACCCACTTTGAGGACCGCAGCCTCTGTACATGGGGTGCTTAAACTAACCACTCGGCTACCAGCGCCTCCATTCCCAGTTTAAAATCTGATTATGTTTAGCTACTTCAAGAAACTACAAGGTGAATATATTTTTGAGCTACAGTTTGATGCATGATTATTGTATCTGGGTCTTTAATGCACAGTGTGTGGAGTGTCATGGATTATCACTCTGCAGTGAAGCGACTTCCAAAGAAGAAAGGTAGAAAGCAAATCTCCAAGCTAATGGGCTGATTTGAAAAAGATGACTAAAGGAAGGAGAGAGTTTTAGATTTTTTCTTATTGTGATAAAACATAAAGATATAATGTTGTGATCCTTAGATACTGGTCTTCAGTAAAAACCAGAGACAACATCAGAGAGTCCACACGCTCTTGTGTATATATCAGGACTCGCAGGAGATGAGTGTGTTCAGGTTGCGTTGTGGTTTTCTTTCCACAGGTTCTGTTAGTTTTGTTGCAGAGTTGTGTGGTTTGAGACAGTGAACACAGCATCGGGCTGAAACAGAGACAGATGGACGTCTCCCCGCCTTCTCCCCTGCGAACAGGTTACACAGCAACACATGGCAATGCTCGCCGCCACCGACATCCAAGTGTACAGCGCCCGGCTAGAATGACAACCACATGAGGATGGAGGAGGAGGAAGGTGGGGGGTGATGGGGGGTTAAAACAAGCACCACTCACTCCCTCACTTTTCTCACTTCGCCTTTAAAAGACTGTTACCTTAACAAGTGGCGCACAGGAATAAACGCTTTGGGCTGAGTCTGCAGTGCAATTAAACACTCGGTGGCTATCCCCCTCATGTCTAATTAGCAGTGCTCTTCAGTGAGCGCGCTCTGCCCCGCTCCCCGGGGAACGGGACGATCCCACTCGCCCGTCTGTGCTCACTAATGAAGTGCCAGCTTTTTTTTTCTCTCTCTCTTTCTCTTTCATTGCAGCAAGGAGGGCCAAGTGAAGAGAGTAAGAGGAACGGCGTGCTCTGTGCGGTGGGGGTCGAATGAGGAGCCTTTTTAATACTCACTCCCTCCACCAGCGTCCTGGTCCAGCATTCGTGACCCCGACACAGGGCCACCTACACTGAAGGTCCTGATGAAGACAAACTTTCTACCAAACTAAGCTGGCAGTCACATGAGAATCTAGACAAACGTTTCGGGTGAATTCACGTCAAATCCTATGACGGCTCGTTTTCTTTTTTCAATATTTAAACTCAGACTATAAAATGTCAAAATAATAGTGAGAAATCTCTTTAAGTTCCCAAAAGAACAAAGTGTTTTCAGATGTCTTGTATTTATAGCTTTCAGTCATGTGACCAGCGCTGAGGGCGGGAGGGCAAAAAGAGTTTAGGAAAATAGCTTCCACCATTGAAAACATAGTAGAACTGCAGAACAGGTTTTTTTATTTTTCCATCTCTTCTAAATGACGCATGTTGACATCACCTGACAACCCAAGCAAAACAGAGATAGTAAGATAAACTGCGAGTTTCGGGCACTTGTGACCCTTGCACAGCACACAGGGCGCAACTTTTTTATATTGCAAAAATGACAAAATCCTCGCTGGTGTTACGGTTTAAAAAGTAACCGTGTAAACTGGCGACTTTCATCTGATTGCATCTGTGGTTGTCAGATGTTTTGGATCCTAACGAATGCCTCGTGCAGACAACACAAGCTGAACAAAGAGGCATTAGGTTGGACACTTTCAGTCGTGTTTGAGAGTGATACATAAACGGTGAAAAGCAGTAAATCCTCACTCTTAAGAAGCAGGAGTTTCAGACTGATTGAGATTTTTGCTCCACTTAATTTTAATTTCTGCAGATATTTAATGTGAGAATATTGTCCAACTCATTTCTGGCTGATGCCAGTGGTGATTAATGCACAGCAGCAGTGTTGGTTAGTCTGCTTGAATTGTTGTTCATTTGGATCTGATGTGTGATTTATTGAACGAACTAACACACACTAGTAGCTGTTACGATAATGAAAACGCTCACACCAGATGTAGTCATCAGAGTTTTCTGAAAGCTAGTTTTCTTTGGATGTGATCCATTTGAAGGTCCTCTGGTTTTTATTGTTAGAGCTTAGCTTCACAGATTGTGTTTGCATTCATAATCTGCTGCTTCCTTTTTACAAACAAGTTAACTTTCCTTTCTTACTTGTGAAGAATGACGGATGCTAAATAATGGAGGACCGGGGGTATAAAATGTTGCATATTGAAAAGTGAAGGACAGACATGTTGGTTTTCTGTGTTTTGTCATGTTTTGATACAGAGGACATTTGAAAGAGGGGTCAGAAAAAGCTTTCACTCAACTTAAGACAGAACATTTCTCAACTTACAAGACGTCGGGTAGATTTATCCCTTGCAGGCTGCAATGGGGAAAATTAAGCTATTGTGTTATTGTTCAACTGGAATTCTTAAGATCGTGACATGCACATTGCACAGCACAAAAGACTTCACACACTGCACGTCACAAAACCTCAGGAACGAGAGCTACATGTACACTGTCACAAACACAATCCAAAACAAAAAAACATCTGGATTTTTATGCAGGTGAAGAAAAAGCTGCATGCGCTTCGATTCACTCTCAGAGAGCAGGGCTGAATGATGTTTACAACACAACATTAAAAAACAGAACAGTAAAGAAAAAAGCCCAAAAGCATACACAGAGGTCTGTGTGGAAAGTTTTTATCCTTATAGTGACATGAGCTCTGACAAACATGCAAACCGAATGAGAGCTGAAGGACTGTGGAGCGGTTCAGGATAGACATGCAGAGTCCGGGCTAAAGGTCTTCATCGCTATCTGATCCCCAGAAAATCAGGCAGAAAAAACGACAGAATTTACGAAACACATAATTTGTTTTTTTACAATCCTGCAGCTGTGCCACAGGAAGTAGAGCAGGTCACCGAACCCGTGGCGTTGCAGCCTCTTCCATCAGTTTTTGTGGCTTGGCGTAGGTGCTTTGAGTGATCAGAGGAATTAAAGAGGCCCTTTAGGATTTAGCATCCATCAGCCCTCACTGCCAAACAAAGCCAACTGTACCTTCTCCTCAGGTAAGCCCTCCAAACTCGCTCAGGATAAGTGAGTTACAGACGAGGACATTATTTCTAATACTTAAATAAGGACAGCCAGTAAAAATATAGAAGCATGCCAAACCTTTCTACATCTAGCAACAAGTTAGAAGCATTAAGCATTTACATGACACAACCTGCATTCAAAGGTTAAGTAATCCTTATCGCTATTTTTCATGCTAAGACAATAATCTTGGTTAAAGTGACTCTGGGAGCACTAAAAGTTGTGAGTGAGGAATCACACGTGTCCAAGTTGTCCGCTGCTAGCACTTGGCAACATGGTGTGCAGATATTATTACTAGCATGCGTCAATCAAAGATATCGAAGAGAAATGTCATTTGGAATGAACCAATCAGCTTCTATGATTAAATCTTCTAGTTCATTGTTTGTTTCATTAATCTATACCTTACTTAACTCAGATGAAAAGGCGCTTAGCTACAAATTCTCGGGACTGAATGAAGACCTTTAGCCGGGTTGACCCCCTGCTGGACTTTATACATACGTGTTTTCACACAGTGGTCCCATCCAAGCCGGCGCTGAGAAGCTGGGCATCGGTGGCAGCGTGAGAGGGAGGCTGGGGACTTTAGGAAGAGGAACGCTGGCGAGATTGTTAGTTATTGACCTGCCGGTTCAGAGCGATCGAAGGTGGGAGGGGAAAATGTTGAAAGAATAAGAGAGAGAGAGAAGAAACAGGAAGAAGAGTAAGAGTGTGAATTCTTCACACAGGAGAGTTGTAAAGTATAATAGCAGTCACTTGCTCAATGAAAATTGAAATTGAAATTGACCAATGACACACACCAATAAAAGAGAAGTCACTGCTTCCTTCCATTCATTCCATCTTCTTTCAGTTCAGGTATGTATTGTTTAGGAGTGCTGCTGTCAGTGCATTTTTCCTGCCTGCAGTGTGTCCTTGCTGTGTGTGTTGTTTATTCATCTCTGCCTCCTTTTGTGCTTGGTTTGTTCATAGTCTTTTATTATTTCTCTGACATAAGTGAAGCAGCCAGAGTCACACCTAACAAATAACGGCCGCTGTTAGTAAACAGAAGGTTAATAAAGCCAATAAAATGTGACTAAAACCGTTTGAGCGCACGTCAAGAAGGGTGTTTAATAAATATTCTTTCAAAAACATACCTTTGGAGGCATGGACAATTGTTAAAGGTCCCATATTCTGCAAAATCCACTTCACCATGTTTCTCAAACATTAATATGTGTCCCTATAGTCTGTCTACAAACCCTCCAATGATGAGAAAAGTCCATCCTCTCCATCTTTTGCCTGTTCCACTTGTCAGAAAATGTGTGCTCAAACAGGCCGTTTGGAGATTTTCCCTTCATGACATCACAAAGGGCAGTCATCCCTCCCCTGTGAGTGACACTCCCACAGCTAGGTGTTTGTTCTGCCCTCTGAGTCTGCCTTCACACTGTAAACAATAGGACATGGATCGAGAAAGCCTGACTCACCCAAGCCCTTCCAGAGAATGGCGTGGTCAGACACAGCTCATTTACATTTAAAGGTACAGACACAGAAACAGCCTGTTCTGAGCAGGGCTTAAAATAGAGGGGTTTATAGACATGATCAAATACAGGATCGGCGTGGATTCTGAGCAGGAAATTTCATACACAAGTTTTGCGGACCTTTTAAACTTATTTATTATTGATGAAAAGCAGGATAATATGTGACCTTTAAAAGAAAAAGTTTAATATTTTTATCAAAGCTGCAGGTGGCAATGAAAGGGCCCTTGCATGTTCATTTACGTTGGGGTGTTTTACAGCTGCAGAGTGTGTCCATGTTGACCCACACCTGAAATCTTCATGTGTATTGGACAGTACACATAAAGAGGTACATGTTGTTGGCAGAAGAACATATTCAGTTATCGACAAGTTCAGACCACACAATGTCAATTTCATGTAATTTGGTTAATGTTTGTTGTACACTTCCTTCCCTTCATCTGTGGTCGTAGCTCCAAAACGGTGGTCCTAAGTCGCTCTGTGAGAGAGGATTAAAGATGACTGATCTCAGAGTCTTGTGACCAAAGATAGTCTGCGATAAATATCTAACAGAGTCAGAACTTTGGCACGATCATCTCACAAAGTGAAGGCTTCAACGATTAACGTCAAACAACCAACCAATAAAAATTTAGCAAGAAATCACGCATGAATTGGTGTGACCACACACAGCATTGCTGTCGAAGAATATGCTGACAGGTATGCGACTTCTCCTCACGCTCTCTTTGCAACTCTGGCATCCAAAGTTGGCCTCTTTTCTCTCGCTACACCAGTGTCCAAATTTTACTGGTTTAATTTATTTTCCACGCACATGAACATCACTGTGGCAAGAGCTCCCTTTATGCTGATCGCCATGGCAACCTCAGCTTCATCAAGTTGACGCACATACACTGATAGCGATGTGTGGCGTGTTGACTTGACTTGCAGCCTACGATTCACTAGGTAACTGATCAAACAGTGTATGCATGTCTTACCCAACATTGTGAGGTTCGTGTCATCCAGTGTGGTTTGCAATAAACTTATAAGACTGCAAAAATAACACAGTCTTTAAAATTTGGAACTGATTGAACATTGTACATGAAAGTGGCTTTACCAGGCTTCAACATCAGGTGGCGCAATGACTATGCTCAAATGTATGGTCCAGGGTGGGACTATAAGTAAATTATGTAAAATTTGACTGGACCTTGTATAAAGGAGTTACACCAACTTTGTGTTACATGAAGAGACTTTAAGTTTGCCACCCAGCCATGGAGACGCCAATCGACGAAGACCCAGTCTTTAGAATAATGCATCGTCAATTTTCTGTTTTTTAACAGTCTCACAAGAAACATCAAACTTTGACCAAAGACCCTGACCATGCGCTGTGACGAAAACACAGGCTCTGTCAGGACTTTTGTCAAGCTCATGAAATTCAGGGCAGATGTGTTTCTAGGACATCTAGGGAGCACTGTTGAATTTAATTGTGAAATCTGTGCGTTTGTTTAACCTTGGCAGCCAACGACCTTACAGAACTGACATGATTTAAGGTAACCTTTCATTTAGTTATGTAATCTAGAGAAGAGCTGACTACAGGAACTTGTTAGCTTGCAGTCTAAGGTCTGATAGCCAATGGAAACGGAGAAGGATCACCAAACACCTCAGCTCAACTGTATAGTGTTACAAATGATTTTGTTGTCAAAAGTTTACAAAAGGTTTACAAGAAATTTACAAATGATTTTATATATTGTAATAGCTTATTATACTGTATTATTTAAGTTGTTGCTAGTTCTGCGTTATTTCCTTGTTAATTGTTTAGCACCAATACACCAAGTCAAATTCCTTGTATGTGTAAATGTACTTGGCAATAAAACCCGATTCTGATTCTGATGAAGCCAGCATAATAAAGTCAGGTTTACATACGCCCAAGGGCCACGGATGGAAAGAAATATGTTTATCCTGAGAACCAGTTTTTCCGTCAAGTGAACTCGTACTTTAGGCTACAGACACAAAGGAACTTTATCAAGTGAAGAATATACACACTTATGGGAGATGCCCTTCAATTATAAAGCAATTAAATAACTGCTTGGCAGTCTGCACAGTTTTCACAAAAATAAGAGACATTTAAAGAGGAAACTTGGTGCAAGGACACACTTTCATTGCTAAGTGTACTCATAACTTATTTCAGTTAAGTTGGAGAGATATTTACATATTTGGTCTTCCTGAGAAATAACTCATCTGCAGAGCATTGCTTTTACTAAATCTACAGCTTTCAACAACCACAGTGAGTCAGACAGCTGGATTATCAGTATGAGCTGTCTTCAACTAACATTGGCTTCTATGCTCAGATGGCAGGGACTAGTGTGTGCAGAGACCCCTCCAAAAGTGTCTCGGGATCTCACGACACTTTTGCAAGATCTCTTAGAAAGCTGTTGTGAGGTCTCTCTAAAGTCTATTGGGAGTAACCTTAAGCAATGAACCTCAATGGCCCTCAAGCAACACAATATTTAAAAAAAAGAAGAAGTAATGTTCTCACTAACTTGCATTTGTTGTGAATTCTGACCTGAATACAGAATTTGCGGTCCAATAATAAAAAGGCTTGTTGGATTTTGTACCATTGATGGGGGAGGTGATGCAATGAGCCAGCTTGTTTTTTGCTAGAAAGCCAACCTCCCTGCAATGAACTGTACACTGTGCATTTGTGGATCCTGGGCAGCTTAGGACAAGTCAACAATTTTGAAAAATGCTGATGCCAGTGTTCCCAGGAATCCTAAAACTCACATCCTGTAATCTCCTTTTATAACCCTTGAGTGTAAATAAGAAGATCGACAAATAGATTGAAAAAGCCCAAACACTTGGAACCGTGCCATGAGCAGCTTCTATAAAAGCAGAGTGGTTCTCTGATGCTCATCATTCAGCTTCACTGAGAAAACTACCTTTTTGGTGTTTCCTTCCAGTTCTACTCTGAAGCTAACCATCTGCAGCATCATGTATCTGTGGTTCAGCAGTCTTCTTCTGGCGGTGGGGTTGTTTCAGAGGTGCTCGGCTCTGACTCCTGAAGAATGCCAACCCTTGGTTGAACCTTTTTCTACTTTTACACCGGTAAGCCTTCCTCTGATTCCCATCTGGGTCTCTAGGTTAGCATCGGCAATGAGGTCGTGGGTTATAGGTTTTGATATGATTATTGAGGCTTCTCAACAGTCTTGATCATTACTACTATCGCTACGTTTCTAGTATTTGCTGGAAGGATGGGTCTACTTCACTGACTTTATGTTTGTCTACAGAGTTACGATGGACGGTGGAACTACATCATGGGTTTCATTGATAGTGAACCTTTTAAAGCCTTGAAGAGGTCAGCCAAGAGCATGTGGATTAAATTCTCTCCAAACCCGTCGAGCCCCAGAGATTTTGTTGAGAGTATCGGGATCAGGCAGTGAGTATATAACAGTGCAACATCAGCTGCAAAAACATCAAACATAAAGATTAAAATAAACAAAGAGAGGAAAGAAATCTCCCTCAAACACATTAAAACCAGCTAAAGATGGTCACCATCTTTGTTGATAAGCTGCTTCAGGTTCACCTTGTTCCTAATCATCCACCCAAATCAACCGCTATGCAGATGACACTATCTATTATCCCTCTGAGAAAAATACTCTCTAATAAATGGCAACAAACAACAGCTGAGATGCATCCTTTGATGCACATCTTTGCTAGGCTAGGCCTGTTATTACTACCAAGGAGATTCCTCTCCAAGCATGTTCAAAACTCCAGTCCTGGACAGGGTTTTTCTTCATGGTCTTCAACCTCCCAATGACATACATAAAGTCGCCTTTCCTTTTCTCGTTTTTTCACAGCCCTGGATATTGCAAGTACGCATCTTCCCCTGTCGCTATTGTGACCAACACTGCAGTAGTCTCAAGTAAGTTGCCTGTTTTTACATAACACTGGAGCTTGTAAATGTTTGTTCTTTTAGTCAGTGAATGATAGAAGTCATGAATGAAAGAGTTTTGTCTAGTCGTCTAAACTTATGGAGTTGATGTCAATTTATCCATCTGTATTTGAGACTCGTACCGAGCTAAACAGTGTCTGTTTCAGATAAAAGTGTTGTTGTTTTAATTTGTATTTTACTTTATGTCGTCAGAG